GCCACTTCTAATATCATCTATGGGAAAGCATTCTGAAATTATCCCACATTTTCTCACTTTAAGACATTTACATGAATAATTTTATCCATATCAATTCCTTTGAGGACATCATTTATCCGTATCAATTCCTTTGACAACATCATTTATCTATCCGTATCAATTCCTTTGACGACATCATTTATCCATATAAATTCCTTTGAGGACATCATTTATCCATATAAATTCCATTGAGGACATCATTTATCCATATCATTTCCTTTGAGGTCATCATTTATTCATATCATTTCCTTTGAGGTCATCATTTATTCATATCATTTCCTTTGACGACATCATTTATCCATATAAATTCCTTTGAGGACATCATTTATCCATATCATTTCCTTTGAGGACATCATTTATATCATTTCCTTTGAGGCCATCATTTATCTATATCATTTCTTTGAGGACATCATTTATTCATATCAATTCCTTTGAGGACATTATTTATTCATATAAATTCCTTTGAGGACATCATTTATTCATATCAATTCCTTTGAGGACATCATTTATCCATATCAATTCCTTTGAGGTCATCATTTATCTATATCATTTCTTTGAGGACATCATTTATCTATATCATTTCCTTTGAGGACATCATTTATCCATATCATTTCCTTTGAGGACATCAAACAAACAAACAAGAAAATGATGGTGTTGCAGTACTTATTGTTTTAATGATGACTTTGACATCCAAACCAATACTGGTGAGGATGTTATGGATCACAATAACACACAGATACATAGTTTACTAACTCACAATGCAGAAAATATATTCATGAAAAAATTCTTAAAAACCAACCAAATCAATATGCAAATATCATTTTAGTAAATGCATATATGTTCCCAGTACATGGTACTTTAAACTTCATTAGACAAGCTACCACATGAATGTCAGTAAAGGTCTGGGAGATAGAGGTTTGTGTATATATATATACCTGAAGCTAGTGATGATGACTACAGACAATATGTATTGTTAATCAATGACTATAACCGCCTAACTACAATGTGTGGCTAGTTTTCAATACAAATTGTAGACATTTTTTTGTACTTTTCTCTCAGAATACACAGCCATTCTCAGTTTTCTTACATAATTATATGTAATGTACCATATACCATATATATATACAACATACATGCTTGTGTCAGTCTTTATATATACCTGAGCATCTAATATAAGAGAGATTGTATTACCCTCTCTCTCACAATTTGACACACTATTTCATTGACAAGCAGCTCATTCTTTCCCTGAAAATCTGATTCACATAAACTGATGTTTCAAGATTTAAGATTTTAATCTTACAACAGGTAACTGCTTTCATTTGGAAATAAAACCCAATGCGATTCATTAATGACATATTTTCAAGAACATATTTTCAATTCATGCAATTTACTAAAGTGCACTAAAATGTCAACACAAAACCACACAGACAAAATTGACTAACAAATTATCTCCCCTTAATACTGTTCCTCAATTAAAACCATGCTGACAGTTGACTGCAGGATTACCTATTTCCCATTTAAATCTATAGAAAATCTGCCAGATTATCTCCCCTTAGCTGCTTCCTTGATCGAAACCATAGATACATTTGAATAAGTGTTTACTTTGCAACAAAACATAAGTGTTTGTTACTATACCCTCTTTACCAAACAGTGAAAAATATTGAATAATTGTTAAACTTAATTATGTGGTACAAATAACTCAGCAGTAAAATAAAATAGTAAAGGGAAATAATCCAGCAGTAGGATGCATCCAATTTATTATCATATTTCAATTTAATAAATGAAAAATATGTGCAAAACAAATAAATTTGGTTAATAAACATCTTTTTTGAAGGAACATTATAATGCAATTAATAAGTGATGTATATGAAAAATAAATCTTAAATGAATCTGTTGACGTGAAAGACATGAAATAATATATATAAATACAGTTACTTTTTTATTAAATGCCATATTACACGAGTTTTGGAAACCCTTCTGACTAAATGCTTCCCACAAACTTTACCCAGGTACATGTTATTAATGTTTGTTCATAAAATTTATTGACACCTGTCAATTAATTGTTGTCTGAGACTATTAACTACTCCTGTCTGTACCTTTTCTGTTTGTTTTGTATATTGTGAAAACACTACACAAAGTTTCCTATTTGTAAGCTTAATTTGATCTTTAATATGACAATGATTGGCAAAGTGAATATTTAAGGCTACATCTGTATATACATAGCACTTTGTCAGTTTCTGTGAAAAACCAGCAGCTTTTTCAAGCGGTTGATAACAAATATTTGTACACTCATTCTACAGATACACTAAAAGGCAAGATATTTTGGAATGTTACATCTACTAGCAAATCAATACTAGGATTATTGGTTCAGGGTCAAAGGTTTCCCTACAAGGTCAAGCATAATTACATCTATATGAGAAAATGTTGTGTATCAATAGTATTTTCTCTAAATCAAAAGACTTTCAACAGTTTTTTTTTTTTTTTGAAAGTTTGTATTCGAATACCTCGTTAAATATAAATCTTCTGAGTAACCATTGATCTTTAATCTGATTCAACAAGAAGAAAAGTCATCTGAAGCCAAAACTAAGTACTTTGTCAGCACTTTTGGGAGATCCCCATTCCAATGCAAACGAGAATCTTAATAGGTGTAGAACTGATAGTAGGAGGGTTCATAAATATATCAGTTGAGAGGTTCTGAGGATATGGGACATTGATTAATTCAAAATGAGATGCATAAACCTCCCAACCCATCATAAAAATATTTAAATTATTCTTCAAATTTTTGTCTAAAAATGTTGAAGGTAGAAAAAAGTAGATAAAACCTAAACAGGCAAAGTCTGATGGTTACCAGTAAAAATATTAACATTTGTTCCAATGTTTTTCTCAAAACAAGAAATCTTTTGGCTGGTCTACAGTTCACAAGCAACTAAAGGTGAAATATACTTGGCATTACAACTCCATCCTAAATGCATGCAAGAGATGGCCTAATCTTGGATAAAACAGAAGATTAAACAACACTCATTCACCTATGAATGTGAATTGACCATTTTGGTAATCACAGATAACAGGAGTTGACAAATACTAGCAAATCTTTATTTTATACATGAATCTTGGATTCTAAAGCTTACTGCACAGAAAATATCACAATTAAAACCTAAATTAGAAATAATTATTGAAAATTACCACCATTTAAGGGTTTATTAAAAAATTGCCCTTGATTAATCTATACGATCATTTTCTCCTACACCGAGGGGTCTGACTATGAAACTGCCTTTAATACTATATTAATAACCCTTAACATCAGGTAAAAACAACAATGATATATTGAGATATAACAAGCTTAGCATTATACCTAACTTTAAAAGAGGCAAACAAATAATATCTGATAATTGATCAAACATTTTTTAAGCCTTTAAACTTACTGGTGTAAAAGTAGACCTGTATGAATTTCAAAGGTTTATAAAATGTACAAGATATCAGATTTATGTCTTATCTAGTTGATAAGGTGGAGAATACCAGCCGTCTATCAATACTGATCATTTTATTAGCTGGATCTTAAGCATACCAGATAGAACCTCTGCAGACAGAGGTTTTCAGGGATGTACTCAAATACCTTGGCAGGGGTTAAAACTGACAGGATGACACTTCCATCCATCTACACTGTAGCCTCCTGTACCTGGTAAACATCACACAACCTCCTTAATAACAAGGACTCTAGGACTTTAACATGCATTAACATTCATCACACATCACCACACAACTTACTGTGGATGTTTATATTTTAGTAGTAATCTTATTTTAGCGTTATAACACTTAAGACACTAGACAAAATATGATTGTTATTTGTTGTTAATATAACAGCATTATGGCTGATGCACAAACTCATCATTAGTCCCAAACTGATGTTGTGCTTAAATTCAATCATGTCAAAATAAGTATGTTTACAGTTTTTCATTCATAACATATGCCATTTCTCCCTGTCTTTTCCTATGACGAGGTATCATCTAAATCAGCAATATGGTTTCCTTGGAGACACTTATACGTGAAATAATTATATATTACCCTCATGTCCTTTCTATATTCTATATTTTTAATATTTTTAAATTTTTGTTCTCTACTAAGAACTGACAAGAGTCTCTTGCATATACAGACATCATTTATGATCAACAGATCAAATCAAATGATCAAGTCCGACTGAAGGAAGAAATAATGACAAGGATGGAATCATGCTCTATATGTACAAATGATTGGAGTAATACGTATATTTACAATGACATTCTGAAAGTGATTAAACATTCTTTTGATATCTGGTGATTTCAACACATCAAAGTGCCTTCACACAAAGACTTGTTTATAAAGAGGCAATGGAGCATCATTTCACCAAATTCTGATAAAATTCACATAATCGGCAATCATACTATTCCAGAGATAAGGATATTAAAAAAAAAATGTTTTACTCTCGATCTGTTATCAAGCACCAGCACTGTATGGTACTGCAAGCAATATGTGGGTTATCTCCCTTACTTATGGTCAATCCACTACAAAATGAAATGTTAAGTAACTCACAACAAAAATTATAAGTATACAGATCACAGATATACCACCATTTAATTTTCAGAGTTAACCAATATTTGAAATGTTTCTCTTGAAGTTTGAAAATTGGCCTTAGACTTTACAAACTTTGACTGAATTCTGCTCCCGGCTATAATGTTTTGGAGAGATAATGTGGTCAGATCCTAGGGGAGAACGGAATTACTATAATGATTAAGTATGTACTATCTAATGACCAGACCACATCTATAAAATAGGGGGTGATGATAAACCCCCGGTTTCTTAATATCACACACACAAAATATAATTATAATATGATAATTAAATGCTAAAAAGAAAATCAAGATTTTGTATCAACTTACAAACACAATAATATTAGTTAATTAAAGTAATGATCATATTCATACAAATTCACTTTTCTCTCCACACAAACCTATAAACCCATGAGATTTAAGTAAAATCACACACAATAAACCAAGATGTTACCGTTCTCAAGAGCTCGGTAAACATACTCAGTACAGATGTACTCAGCTTGGTGCACATGTACCTAGCTGAGTACACACATACTCAGAAATTCACATATACTCTGTCTTTTTATTGTACCACAGGTCTTCTAACCCAATATTGCTGTTGATCTTAAAAAGACTGATTTACTTGGATACATGATCTATGTATAATCTATTTGTACAAGACTACAATGTCAATAGCCAAGGATATGTTTTGATCGCGGTGCAATTTGACCACATTCCCACTACAGTACCTTTCCCACTACATTACCAGATATTCTAGCAAACCATATATTACATCTGGGAGTGAAAAATGCTTTCAGCTTATGGAGGGCTCCAGTTAACATTCAAAGCTTATCTCTACTTTGGACATGTAAAGCACAAGATTGACATATCCTTGCAGTGGTTTACACAATATCTTGAACAACCATTGACAAGTTTCAATAAAAGGTAAGTGTATCACAGATACGCATGCTATGATGTGTGGCAGTCTAGGCATGTTTTGTTCTTTACAGAATTATTGTATATTGTACAATGACCTCTGTCATCATGGCCCATGTTTTTATACAAAAAGACCATAGAAATAATATTTCACCTTGGCCTCGTGTATAAGCAACTCTTGTCACCTCACGTGATTTTTTTATAATCATATTCCATGCAACCTCAACATTATTCCTCTTCATTCGTCTCCCGCTTTCATCCTTCGGAAGTTGATGCAATCAAATGTTTTAATAGAATGAGGATTGGCACCAGTTTTTTTTCAGGTTTTTAAACCTCGTTTATCAATCTGTGGAACACTCAGGACCAGACTCACTGTCCGTTGGCAACAACTTCTGGAGTCTGAATGACTGGACTCTGTTGCATAACTTTGGCTTTCATCTCTGCTACGTCACCATTACATTTTGGTGCTGTACAATCAGTAACGTCACCATGACATTTTGGTGCAGTACAGTCTGTAGGCATATTTTCTTTATTGTCTGTGTTGTTTTCTTCAGTTGTTTTCTCCTTATTGTCCTGTTTGTCTGAGCCATTGGTTTTGTCTATGATTATTGGTTTTGAATCCATGGGGGTCTGTCCCATCTGCTGTTTGATCTTGTCAAGGTCATTTGGGCTGAAAAGAACAAAAAACAGTCTTAACAATCTTATTCTAAATTGATAGTAAAGTTACTGACACAAAGACCTTTTCAACTTGTTTTATCTAAATTACCTGTTCTTATAATTACTAACACTGGGAACTCCTTTAGTGATGAGAGAGCCGTCATGATTGGCCAGGTCCACTGGGAATTTCATTTTAGTGATGAGAGAGCAGTCATGATTGGCAAGAAGCACTGGAAATTTCATTTTAGTAATGAGAGAGCCGTCATGATTGGCCAGGTCCTAAGGGAATTTCATTTTAGTAATGAGAGAGCTGTCGTGATTGGCCAGGTACACTGGGAATTTCATTTTTGGAAAGAGAGAGCCGTCATGATTGGCCAGGTCCTAAGGGAATTTCATTTTAGTAATGAGAGAGCTGTCGTGATTGGCCAGGTACACTGGGAATTTCATTTTTGGAAAGAGAGAGCCGTCATGATTGGTCAGGTCCACTGGGAATTTCATTTTAGTCATGAGACAGCTGTCATGATTGGCCAGGTCCACTGGGAATTTCATTTTAGTCATGAGAGAGCAGTCATGATTAGCCTGGTCCACTGGGAATTTCATTTTAGTCATGAGAGAGCCATCATGATTGGCCAGGTCCGATGGGAATTTCATTTTAGTAATGAGAGAGCTGTCGTGATTGGCCAGGTCCACTGGGAATTTCATTTTAGTAATGAGAGAGCCGTCATGATTGGTCAGGTCCACTGGGAATTTTATTTTAGTCATGAGACAGCTGTCATGATTGGCCAGGTCCACTGGGAATTTCATCTTAGTAATGAGAGAGTTGTCATTATTAGCCAGATCCACTAAGAACTTCATTTTCTTTTAATGACAAAAAAGACAATTCAGCCATGTTTGATGCTAAAATGAACAGGTAGGTTAAAGAAACTTATGTTAATTTTTTCTATAACAAGTATCACCATGGGAAAGGAAAGTAAGCTACATTTATTGTCTGTTTAACACAGAGTGTTTCAAGAACTAAGCAGTACAACTGCCTACCTGATCTGCACAAAGACAATGCCATTGATAGCATTGAGGGTTTCCATTACACTGACGATGGACGGTGTCTGTATCTGAAGGGGAGGTAATGTAATACTCTTCTCTCCCTTGTAGATCTCGTTCATCTTCTTTTGGAACACTACAGCCTGTTGTGTAAGATGCTTTAGGCAGTCGGAACTCTCCTTTGTCCGTTCATGTTCCTCACCAAGCTACACAAAACAACAAATACGATATAATTTTGTTTACAGAATAAGTGTCAAGTTAGGAAGAAGCTATACAATACTGTTGAGATTTATTGTATGTATCCTGACTCCAGGGCCAACACATTACCAGATTATAATATCAATTTCTTTTGTTATTGTAGGATACTAAGACCTACTGTGTGTGACAGCTTCCTAACATACAAACTAAATGAAATGATTCCGTGTTATACAGAGAGAAGTAGATTTATTTATTTAACAGGTTTTACGTGCACAATTACGGCCTTTCAGCAGACAAGAACGTAGTAGAGGGTGACACCACCTTGTGTTTACAACATGGTCCTATACATACCATTTGTTTGTATATAGCGTATGCTTCCTTTTCTGTTTGTAGAGCAGCTCTGAAATCTCCCCGACAGGAATGAGTCCTAGCTACTAGATGATAGCTCATAGCAACCTTTAAGCTGAGCTTTCGGTGAAACCTGTTAACAAAATGTAAAATAAAAATTACAATTATCAATTATCTAATCAGTATTTTCAGTTATTTTTGTAAGATTTTTCGAATTGAATTCAGCTACACCACCATTTTCATAATTTTTTTCATTACATAAGAAAAGTGGGCTCTTCCCAAAGGAAAACATTCTGACTCAAATATCCATGTCTCAAAAATCAGAAATTTTTATATTGAAATGAGGCAACTTTTTTTCAAAATTAAATAATGCAACACATTGTGGTATATTATTTTTCTCAAGATAGTCTTTATAAGTCCATATCGAGATTTTTTGGAATTGTTTTCAACATGTTTTTCTTACTTTTGATTAAGTTGTAAAGCATGTTCCAGGAATCTAAGGGACAATTCGTATTCTTCAACAGCATGTAGAATCAGTCCTATATTGCTCTGAAATAGAAATCTTATGTCAGAATTCTTTTTTCAAAAAAGTTAATTACCTATGTAATATTAATTAATTTAGCCCATTAATCACAAAAACATTAATTAACACTTGTATTCTTACATTTCAGGTATTGTGTGTTTGGTAATGATCCCCAAAAAACGATGGAATTCACATTTTGGATGATTTTTTTTTAAGTTGGTAAATATTTCTAGAACTTACATCAATGAGAGCAACCTCGGGATGTTCCTCACCGTGACACAGTAAGGCAAGGTAGCGGGTACGGTACATCAGACGAAGAGAACTAGACACCTGGTTGTTGGCGAAGCAGTAAAGTGCCAAATGTGACTGAAACATAAAATGATTCAATCCAGATTTATTCACAGAAAAACAAAACTTTTAATATAGTTGAATTCCGTATTTCTATCACACCCATCACTGAATTAACCATGAAATAATTTTGATAAATAAAAAAAAGATGGTTGGTTCTATTCCAGTAAAACATCTATCCCTCTCCCAGAACTTAATTGATCCCTTGTTTAGAAGTAATTGACAGGAAACTTAATCATGGATAGAAGTAATTTATTCTAAAGTCCAGGGGTCATGTAGATATCTTATTTTGAAGTCAGGGGGTTATGTAAATATTTTACTGGAATTCAACTTACATTTATTTATTTTCAACAAGACAACAAAGTAAAATTACAACTTCTGAAATCTCTAATAATAACCAAACACTGAGTTTCTAGACATGGGACTTAAGTCAGGCAACAAAACACAGAAACAAGTTTGTGACATAGGAACTTGGTCTGGCTACAAAACACAGAAACAAGTTTGTGACATAAGAACTTGGTCAGGCTACAAAACACAGAAACAAGTTTGTGACATAGGAACTTGGTCAGGCTACAAAACACAGAAACAAGTTTGTGACATAGGAACTTGGTCAGGCTACAAAACACAGAAACAAGTTTGTGACATAGGAACTTGGTCAGGCTACAAAACACAGAAACAAGTTTGTGACATAGGAACTTGGTCAGGCAACAAAACACAGGAACATGTTTGTGATACAAGACTTTGGTTAGGCAAAAAAACACAGAAACAAGTTTGTGACACGAGACCTTGGTAAGGATTTGACTCCATGCAACATTAATATAATCTACATGACCCAACATTTCATTTTGGTAGCCTATAGTCGTATAAACTTACATATTCAGTGATAGTGTTAGGGTGGTCCAGTCCTTGTACTCTTTCACTCATCAGAACTGCTCTCTGCTGGTAGGACAGAGCCTGTGAATCAAGAAGAGAGTTCTAAGAGTTAAAAACCATATAAATGAACCAAAGACTTTGAGCATTTTCAGAATCATCACAACCCGTGTTTCTTCAATTAATTTTAATGTTGACATTTCATTTGAAACTGAACGGTACTTAACGACACTATCAACAGTGGCTGAAGACACAAAGCACTAGTTTATAGCTCTGGTTATAATTTGTTAAAATTCTGTTGAAATTACCTAGTTAGTAAAATAAATCACCACCAGAAACCTACCTCCCCATAGTCCCCGAGAATGTAGTTGAGTCTGGCCATGAGCCGAAGACAGGCTGCCACTTCAGGGTGCATGGCCCCATACACATTGTTCAGGAGGTTCAGAGCCTCACTGATCAGATCATACCCTTCCTTCAATAGACCCTGTTGTATCTTCGCCTGGCCACTGGTGAAAAAGTGGTATGCGTCTGAGGCCTGAAATACATTACGTGTGATAATTGTATAATGACTGGAACTGGCTCGTGATACAACACATCACCATCAAACCTTGTAAGATTTACTACACTTCACCATCAAACCTTGTAAGATTTACTACAGATCACCATCAAACCTTGTAAGATTTACTACACTTCACCATCAAACCTTGTAAGATTTACTACACTTCACCATCAAACCTTGTAAGATTTACTACAGATCACCATCAAACCTTGTAAGATTTACTACAGATCACCATCAAACCTTGTAAGATTTACTACAGATCACCATCAAACCTTGTAAGATTTACTACACTTCACCATCAAACCTTGTAAGATTTACTACAGATCACCATCAAACCTTGTAAGATTTACTACACTTCACCATCAAACCTTGTAAGATTTACTACAGACTTCACCATCAAACCTTGTAAGATTTACTACAGATCACCATCAAACCTTGTAAGATTTACTACAGATCACCATCAAACCTTGTAAGATTTACTACACTTCACCATCAAACCTTGTAAGATTGACTATAATGGTTTGCTTCTTAATTGGTATTAATGTCTCCTTGATTTTGCCAGAGGTTTAAAGTAAAAAGAATAATTTTTCATGAAGGACAACTGTTTTCTTTATAACTTTCAGTTTTATAATGTTTTATTTTTCATACATTTAATTGTCCTCTTAAAAACAGTGAGAAACAGAACCATTGAAAATCTACCTTCGAAAATAGCAAAATCAAAATCCCTTTCAAATTATTATCTTCATATCAACTGGCAAAATGTCCTTCTCTCACTCAGATAGGAAAGTGGATTTCATATCTTATTGAATTAGAAGTAGCATGACTTTAAATAATTTTCATGGCTGGTTAGAATATTATTTGTGATACATGGAAGATATAAAATACTTTTCTTTTTTAACCTTGGCAATTTGAACATATCACTCAACACAGATTTTATAAGTACTAAATACAGACTCCATCAAATGTGAATGCTGCTAAAATATACCATTTCATACAGAATAAGTTTTTGAGATAACTGCATTCAGGATGTCTTTGCTGACTTGCAGATAAAATGTTATGATGACAATTGCACAACTTGTTCAGCAACTTATTTCATGAACATACACTGTAAAGAACTGAACATACTGTATAAAGAAATCAGATCAGTATGTCATATTGTATTTGTGATTGATATTTGAAGTTAACCTGATTTAGATATTTGTTTATAAAGTTAAAGGTCTAGCCTACCTTGGGATGAATGTGTTTGACTCTAGGGTAGATGTTGACGATATCCTCTTCATAGAACACCTGCTTGTTCCTCGACTCCATGTTGTACTCGCGTAACAGGATCTGTATTCCACAGCAGCGACACACTTCCCTCATCATGGACACTCTCTGCAGGCCATACTTCTCAATAGCACCATCAACAGAGTCACTGAGGATATACATGTTATCATTACTCTATAAGTCACTTCAAATTCTCATCATGGACACTCTCTGCAGGCCATAATTCTCAATAGCACCATCAACAGTGTCACTGAGGATATAGATGTTATCATTACTCTATAAGTCACTTCAAATTCTGATGGAGACATAAAAAATTCCAAAAGCTGTAACTCGGATGATAAGCCACATAAAGGTGCTGATATAGGTTTCGTTTATGCGAGTTGGACTGGCGTAGTTAACACGTAATTTACAACCTGAGGTTTAACAAGTGCCGTTGACGAGCTATCTCCAAGATTTAAACAGGGATCAATGTTTATTGTAACATGAGTTTCAAGGTTTAAATACTGTTCTACTTTTACCATAAACAAACATTAGTTTCCAGCACTTCAGCATTTCTTCTGTAAACCATTAAAAATGGTTAACACTTGATGGAAGGACATGTTAATTGTAGAAGACTTACCAATCCAATGAAAAGTAGAAGTAGTCTTTCACTTCCTCTACAATCTTTTTCCACATTGTTTTCGGTGTCTCTGATACCCATTCCACATTATCTGAACCAAAACAGAAATATTGTTAAAAATAACAAAACAATTGAAAAGTTCACCTTTGTTCCTATGTTGACTTTGAATTTGTCAAAAGCTTTGAATCCCTTACCTTAAGGAATAGCATTTTCTTAAACACTAAGTCTATTTAATCTCACTGTCCCTATCCTTGATATAGGATTTATTGGTGTTATATTACAATGTCTTACTGTCATAAACAATCTATGTAACAATGTATTACTGTGATAAGACATTCTTGGATAAAATGAAATTTCCAGTTCACTTGGCCTAAGAATGCTCCACATAAAACTGCATCATTGTCCACACAGTTGCTTGAGATTAAATAAATTATGACTCTATTTTCAGTGCCTTTGTCCTTTTTTTTAAATACTGGGGCTTTTGTCAGCTTTAAATCATTAAATCCGACAGATTCTGAAAGGTCAAGATTTTCTATTGTAATCAGATCAGCATGTCATTTTTTTAATTAGAACTTTTAAAACTCACCCATGTTGAAGATTGCAGCCTTGTTTTTCTTTATATTCTTTCGTCTTGCTTTCTTGCCTTGTAACTGTAAAACAAAAATGTTATTACAACGAGATTTGGTTTAGTTATACATTACCTGTAATCTATATATCATTTCTAACATTTCTTAGACCCAATTAATTAATACATCCTTCAGTTTCATACAAAAAAGTATAGATAATTTCTGAAGCTTTCCAACATGAGGACTTCAAATCAAAGAGAATATCTTTCTGTGTGCCATTTATTGACATAATTCAAGTTTCAAGTGTAGTTTTGATATAAATGTTTTTGGCTACTTTCTCTGTCGTGGACACTTGTCTTCTTCATAGTTTGTCAGGAGAAACTGAATTTAACTTGTATCATTCAGTCTTGAACACTATATAATTCTTTTTATCTCTTGGCATCTTATTGCTTATTTTCATTATAAAATCTTAGTCCATCAAAGCACTCGTTTATTGATGGCATAACAGCCAACATTCCTACCTCTTCAGCAGTGAGTTGAGCATGAGGAGTAGGGTAGGACCCTAAAAAGCAGTTGAGGAAGTGGCTGACAGCCGAGGATAGACTCATCATGTCTACTCCCTGCATGTAGGTTTTAAACAGGTGTTTCACCGCCCTTGTGATCAGCTCGCCTACAGAAATGGTCTGCAGAAAACAAATTACTTCCGTGTTATCCCTCACAATGAAATCTTAGTATATAAGTATTGAAAATTACTCAAAATTCTAACAAAAACCATCATGATTAAAACCTCTGCTTCGTGATACAAAGTTAGGCCACTTTTAAGGTGACTTTTGTATAACCGAGTGTTCAGCTTTTGTATAACTGAGTGGTTCTAGACTTAGGTAGTTTATTAATTGGAAACAACATCATCATCTTGAAACATCAAATGATACGTACATATACATAGGACAGTGTTGGATACTTGGTCAACATCTCTGCCACTTTTCCTAGATATCTCATGTTGATGCCCCTGGAAGAATAAAATTTAATTTACTCATATCTCTAGCAGTACCATGTAAACTTTATTTAAAAAGAAGCTTATTTGAAATAAATCTAATAAAACAAAATGTAAAATTGTGGTTAAAACAATCTACCTTTAACAATGCAGTGTACAGGAAGTAGATTGTGAGGCCAATTCACATTAAGCTTTGAAAACTATAGATCATACAGATTACAGCAGAAATGGGAAACAGTTGATTCCTCACAGGAGAAATGGGAAACAGTTGATTCCTCACAGGAGAAATGGGAAAACAGTTAATTCCTTACAGGAGAAATGGGAAAACAGTATATTCCTTACAGGAGATATGGGAAAACAGTTGATTCCTTACAGGAGAAATGGGAAAACAGTTGATTCCTTACAGGAGATACGGGAAAACAGTTGATTCCTTACAGGAGATATGGGAAAACAGTTGATTCCTTACAGGAGAAATGGGAAAAGAGTTGATTCCTTACAGGAGATACGGGAAAACAGTTGATTCCTTACAGGAGAAATGGGAAAACAGTTGATTCCTTACAGGAGAAATGGGAAAACAGTTGATTCCTTACAGGAGATATGGGAAAACAGTTGATTCCTTACAGGAGATACGGGAAAACAGTTGATTCCTTACAGGAGATACCGGAAAACAGTTGATTCCTTACAGGAGATACGGGAAAACAGTTGATTCCTTACAGGAGAAATGGGAAAACAGTTGATTCCTTACAGGAGATACGGGAAAACAGTTGATTCCTTACAGGAGAAATGGGAAAAGAGTTGATTCCTTACAGGAGATATGGGAAACAGTTGATTCCTTACATGAGATATGGGAAAAAGTTGATTCCTTACAGGAGATATGGGAAACAGTTGATTCCTTACAGGAGATATGGGAAACAGTTGATTCCTTACAGGAGAAATGGGAAAACAGTTGATTCCTTACAGGAAATGGGAAAACAGTTGATTCCTTACAGGAGATATGGGAAAACAGTTGATTCCTTACAGGAGATATGGGAAAACAGTTGATTCCTTACAGGAGAAATGGGAAAAGAGTTGATTCCTTACAGGAGATATGGGAAAACAGTTGATTCCTTACAGGAGAAATGGGAAAACAGTTGATTCCTTACAGGAGATACGGGAAAACAGTTGATTCCTTACAGGAGATATGGGAAAACAGTTGATTCCTTACAGGAGATATGGGAAAACAGTTGATTCCTTACAGGAGATATGGGAAACGGGAAAATGGGAAAACAGTTGATTCCTTACAGGAGAAATATGGGATATGGGAAAACCTTACAGGAGAAATGGGAAAACAGGAGAAATGGGAAAACAGTTGATTCCTTACAGGAGAAATGGGAAAACAGTTGATCCTTACAGGAGAAATGGGAAAACAGTTGATTCCTTACAGGAGATATGGGAAACAGTTGATTCCTTACAGGAGAAATGGGAAAACAGTTGATTCCTTACAGGAGATATGGGAAAACAGTTGATTCCTTACAGGAGATATGGGAAAACAGTTGATTCCTTACAGGAGATATGGGAAAACAGTTGATTCCTTACAGGAGAAATGGGAAAACAGTTGATTCCTTACAGGAGAAATGGGAAAACAGTTGATTCCTTACAGGAGATATGGGAAACAGTTGATTCCTTACAGGACATATGGGAAACAGTTGATTCCTTACAGGAGATACGGGAAAACAGTTGATTCCTTACAGGAGAAATGGGAAAACAGTTGATTCCTTACAGGAGATATGGAAAACAGTTGATTGCTTACAGGAGAAATGGGAAAACAGTTGATTCCTTACAGGAGAAATGGGAAAACAGTTGATTCCTTACAGGAGAAATGGGAAAACAGTTGATTCCTTACAGGAGAAATGGGAAAACAGTTGATTCCTTACAGGAGATATGGGAAAACAGTTGATTCCTTACAGGAGATTCCTTAAAGGAGAAATGGGAAAACAGTTGATTCCTTACAGGAGATATGGGGAAACAGTTGATTCCTTACAGGAGATATGGGAAACAGTTGATTCCTTACAGGAGAAATGGGAAAACAGTTGATTCCTTACAGGAGATATGGGAAACAGTTGATTCCTTACAGGAGAAATGGGAAAACAGTTGATTCCTCACAGGCAAAATGGGAAAACAGTTGATTCCTTACAGGAGAAATGGGAAACAGTTGATTCCTCACAGGAGAAATGGGAAACAGTTGATTCCTCACAGGAGATATGGGAAACTGTTGATTCCTTACAGGAGAAATGGGAAACAGTATATTCCTCACAGGAGAAATGGGAAACAGTATATTCCTCACAGGAGAAATGGGAAACAGTTGATTCCTTACAGGAGAAATGGGAAAACAGTTGATTCCTTACAGGAGATATGGGAAAACAGTTGATTCCTTACAGGAGAAATGGGAAAACAGTTTATTCCTTACAGGAGATACGGGAAAACAGTTGATTCCTTACAGGAGATACGGGAAAACAGTTGATTCCTTACAGGAGATATGGGATAACAGTTGATTCCTTACAGGAGAAATGGGAAAACAGTTGATTCCTTACAGGAGAAATGGGAAAACAGTTGATTCCTTACAGGAGATATGGGATAACAGTTGATTCCTTACAGGAGATATGGGAAAACAGTTGATTCCTTACAGGAGATATGGGAAAACAGTTGATTGCTTACAGGAGAAATGGGAAAACAGAGGATTCCTTACAGGAGAAATGGGAAAAGAGTTGATTGCAAGTGGAGATACAGTTATATAGCTAGATATTTAAACCATATCTCCCCTGTAGCTATTGAGTTAGACACTAACTTGGGAGATACCCCTGTAGCTATTGAGTCAGACATTAACTTGAGAGATACCCCAATAGTTATTGAGCCAGACATTGATTTAAAGATACCCTGTAGTAACAGAGACACTTACTTGGTGTGCATGGCCTCTGTCAGTGTAGATCCATCAATAGGTGAGGAGGTGTGGTCCATACAATCATTAATCTACAATTTTTATAAAAAATTTTACATGAAAATTCTGAAAATTACAAGACAATAAAAGTTGTACATGAAAATTCTGAAAAATTACAAGACGATAACAATTTTTTGCAATAAACAAGCACTACATCATTTCTGTCTGTTGTGTTTATCAAACATAAAACAATAGTGGATAAGCATTGTACTTGTCTTGTTGAATTGAACTACTGCTACTCACCAGAGAAGGGATCTGATACACCACCAGGAATTCTGCAGCATCCTTTACTATCTGTTTCTCTCGACGCAGTGTCTCACTCTGGAAAACAAAACTTATGTTTACTGCAAGTATATTAAAGTCAATTTGTTTCTATTGACACTGTTTCCCTGTTAAAAACAAAGCTCAGGTATAGATATTGTAAGTATATAAAAGAATATTTGATATCAACTTAAATGTCTTAAATATCTAATTTATTATTTATGCTATGATATGAAAGCCATGTACTGTTTGCTATTACACTAGTGTTATTAAATTTTTACCTCTGGATTTGCATGCTTGACATGAGCTTGGTAAACATCTGGGTTGAAAGTGATGTTAAACTCTGGAAATAAACAAGGTAATTACAGAACTGAATAAACAAAATCAAACTATATCAATTAATGAAGATATAGAAATTTAAATGAAAAACAGTAAATGTACTTTGACACCTCAAATTTACCAGGTAAGTGCAATATCAATATTGAAAACCTAGGATTTGTGAAATTGAAAATAAATACTTTATTACATACAGAAATTGCATGTTGTTCTATCATATTTCAGTGCAAAATAGATAAAAAAGCTAATAACAAGATTACCACTAAAATATGTTAACAGTGAGCAATCCGAAGTGGACATGTTAAATAATCATATTCCTATTTTTTCTTATGTGGCAAAAGTTTCAGATGAACCTGTATGACTTTCATGTTCCTGGTTAACTGCTAAAGTTACCTTTGGTGTAGTACATGAGTTACCTAGCTACCTGCACTATATGGTATTTTAATTTAATTAGTATTTGGTACCTATAGAATACATAATTTTACCTGTGTACATCAGCTTTACTACGTACCTGTATCACTGAGAGAGTTAACAAGTCTAGCAGCCTTGTTCACCACATCCTTGGTGTCCTCCTCCACTGAAATAAACAAAAACAATTATCAAACTGGTGGTATTTTCCTAGATTTTAAAATTGATCAGGTACTTTAATGATAAATTTGTGAGAGATCCGTGTACCCAACATCACATGATCTACTGATTCTGTGTACATGAGACCTTTTCACCTTTCTCAGTGTAATTTTATCTTGTATTGACACCCGAGCAAAGTGAAACATGCCCACAGCTGATGATTTGGACTAAAACTGTAAACCTACTGAACATAGTGCATTCAGATTTCTGTGCATTATCACCTTCTACCAAATAAGGGCATGGTGAGTTAGCACATCATACAGTAACTTAAGTGCATAAATGTATTAGTTTAATACTGTCAGTGCAAAATTACTTAATAAAACATCTTAGTTTATACCTACAAGATTACTCAAAAGTAAATTTCATCACAATGGAAGTTATTTAAAACTTATCTAGTATTATATACATTTTAACTGACTTTAAGATAAAATGTTTCTTCTAATGTATTATTATAATATTTTGTTTGCTGACTACTAAGTGATAATTAAAGCAAAATCACAATTTTTTAAAATCAATTAAAATCTTCAATGGGATTAATCATTGGCACGTGTGCTTTAGATGTATTGGTGAATGGAAAACCTACGTGTTTTTACATCAATCCCTGGTAGTATTTGAGCGACCTGGTCTGCCTGCTCAGCCTGATCTGTGTTAGTTAAAACTTCTACTAATTTCTTGTCCTCTTCTGTAACTTCATTCTCCTCCTTTTCTTCATGTGCTTTACTTTCATCACAGTGACCATTGGTCAGTTTGGCCTTTGGAGTCTAGAGTATAAATTTATAACATTTAGATTTGTGATCACACCATAATGCTATGATAAAAATGATATTTTATCACACAACCTTTGTAATTGGATCCTACATTGTAGAGGGGCTGGCTAAAAATTACTTGTAAATAAATTGGAAATAGAGGAAAAAAAATCCTACCAATTTACATATGAGAATGCCTATATCATATGCAAATCTGCAGGGACTATTCAAGAAAATAATGTTGTAGCTAAAGTACACTAGGATAGAAAGAGCATCCCCTGAACTATAAACCTGTATATCTGACATTAGATTTGTTGCAGAAGTCTCACCGTGGATGCAGGCTTCACCTCCGTCTGAGTCTTGCCTTGTCTCTTTAATTGTAGGTGTTGGTAGTTGATGGCGGCATGTCTCACAAAGGTCACATACTTTGCCCTAAAGACACAATTTTATGTCCATGATACAGAATATACTATTCTTACAAATACATACAATGACAATTATATAAATAACACAGTCATGAAACTTTTTTTATTTTCTCTCAAATACTTCATAATATTTACCGTAATAAGTGTTAGAAATCTACAAAACATCTCTGTTGATGACTTTTCTGGGGATAACATTGTGTACAGGTGAAATAGGGATTTTTAAAAAATTATTTGTGTGAAATTATCTTAAGCAAAGAATTAATTTTGTTGCATTTACAAATAAGAGAAAAGTTTTGAAATATTTTACATATATCCAATATTTTGCATCAATTCCTTATTAAGTTCCTCCCAAAAATATCATTGTATTATCATTTTCATGCAAAGAATAAAAGCCAAAAACAAATAGAAAAAAGAAATCCCCAGAATTATCATTTTAAAGCTTCTATGTTAGTGGCTACAGCTTGTAAGTAAAACAATAAACATACTCAACAAAAGCCTCGACAAGTTCCTGTCGTAAGCAAGCCAAACGATGTCTGTGTTCTCTTGGGAAACCATGCTCTCCCATTATGGCACTCAATTCCTCCTTGCCAACTACACAAGAACCAAAACTCAATCTTGAATATTTTACCAGATGTGGTCAAAGTTACACAAGATGTGTGTTCAAAGTTACACAAGATGTGTGTTCAAAGTTACACTAGATGTGTGTTCAAAGTTACACAAGATGTGTGTTCAAAGTTATATAAGATGTGTGTTCAAAGTTATACAAGATGTGTGTTCGAAGTTATACAAGATGTGTGTTCAAAGTTACACAAGATGTGTGTTCAAAGTTACACAAGATGTGTGTTCAAAGTTACACAAGATGTGTGTTCAAAGTTATACAAGATGTGTGTTCAAAGTTATACTAGATGTGTGTTCAAAGTTACACAAGATGTGTGTTCAAAGTTATACAAGATGTGTGTTCAAAGTTATACAAGATGTGTGTTCAAAGTTACACAAGATGTGTGTTCAAAGTTACACAAGATGTGTGTTCAAAGTTATACAAGATGTGTGTTCGAAGTTATACAAGATGTGTGTTCAAAGTTACACAAGATGTGTGTTCAAAGTTACACAAGATGTGTGTTCAAAGTTACACAAGATGTGTGTTCAAAGTTACACAAGATGTGTGTTCAAAGTTACACAAGATGTGTGTTCAAAGTTACACAAGATGTGTGTTCAAAGTTATACAAGATGTGGTCAAAGTTATACAAGATGTGTGTTCAAAGTTACACGAGATGTGTGTTCAAAGTTACACAAGATGTGTGTTCAAAGTTATACCAGATGTGTGTTCAAGGTTATACCAGATGTCTGTTCAAGGTTATTTAAAAGGTTATACCAGGTGTCTGTTAAGTGCTGACACCTTATTTAAATTGTATATGTTTCTTAAGATACATGCCAAAGGCACAACAACCAGTAGACAATTTTAGTAGACTTTATAGTGTAGATGCGTTTCTGTAGACTTACCTGGTAAAAAGTTCACATCAGGGGAGATAATTTTAGTAGACTGTGTAGTGTAGATGTGTTTCTGTAGACTTACCTGGTAAAAAGTTCACATCAGGGGGAGATGTTCGTAGTAAATCAAGCACATAGTACCGTCGGTCATTTCCAATAATTCCCTAGACAATGAAAATTCAAATTATGATTCCAGATCACTCTTACCCACTTTTCAATTGAATTCTGATGATTTTTTTTTACACCTTTTAATTTTTATATACACCGATTCATTGTTTATAGATAATTTCATCCTATTCAATATCAGCACAGTGATTAAAACTGGTAGAACAAAAGTAGAGCATTACTTACTTTGCATTCTAATGAGGTAAACAGTTCTATTTCTTCTCCTTTTTCATCTACAACCCTGAAAATCAAAAGCAATTGTGTATTCCAGATTCTGAACGAATATTCAGAGCTGACTTTTCAAAAAATAATTAGTAAACTGTTAACTATAAAACATGTGTTCATTAAATGAGTTACATTATGTATAAAATTTACAAAAAGCAACCTGTGTACATCAGATGGATATGAACTTACTTGTGAGGCCTGATTTTAAGAAGACTTGCAGTCTTTTTGAGCTGAAACAATACAAACAGAAATTTACTATGCCACTTGGGCGATCCTATTTACTTCAGTAATAAGGACATCTGATTTCATATACAAACTTACAGAGACAGTCAATACATTCTCCATAGACTGGTCACTCAATTAACAATATCTATCCCACAATACTGAAATGTCCAGATTTATGAGGTCCATTTAATTTCTCCAAAGTAAAAAACCAAGACAGGTTCCTTCCCCTTAAATCAACACTTTGATAATGACAAAAATTTCATTCCCTTTCAATATTATGACTTTCTTTAAAATTTGATACATATCAAGTTTTTCATTACAAATTTTGATCCAATCAGAGAATTACTATCCTGTACTTACAATTTCTTGATATTTATCATTGGTGACAACAGTTTTGCCAAAGTCTATGGAGCCATAGACAACTGACTGTTCTTGTTCACGCTCCAGTATGCCTGGTATAATGGATTGAGCGGTGATTCGGTAACCACGGTAATCTATAATGACTGTCCCCAGTGTGTACAGACCTTCGTGGTCCAAGTTGAAGTATGCCTTCACACCTTGTAAGTCATTTCCCTACAAAGCAAACACACAAGTGAATCAGAAGTATATAATGTGTTCTACAAACACACAAGTGAATCAGAAGTATATGTGTTCTACAAACACACAAGTGAATCAGAAGTATATGTGTTCTACAAACACACAAATGAATATCAAATAAAACTTATGTCTTCATTATGCAATAGTTAAGGCTAATGTTTAAGGTTTTCAAATGTAAATCAAAGGTCACATGGTGAAAAATTTTGGAATCATAAGAAAGGTCTTGTCACAAAGAACACCCATTTTTTTTGTCTGAAAGAAACTTACTGGGGCTGAATAAGCAGCTGCATCACCACCAAATTCTTTGTAGTGATCCCGCACATCAAATCCCAGGCTAAAGAATATGTTGTTCCAGATAAACATCTGCATTCTGTGGGATAAAGGGAACAAATATACAACTGTCTTTGTCATCAGGAATCAATAAACATCAATAAAATTAATAAAACCAGACCTAAATCATTTAAATCAAGTTAAAGTCTGTAAGACCTGTAAGACTGCTAAGTCATAACATGTTTAAAGTTAACAAGCAGGATTTTTTTATCTTTTGTCCACAAAAATTCAGTTCAGTATTAACTGCTTACAACAGCTTAAATGTTGACATTATCATTTTGTCAAATTCTTTGTTAGTCATTTTTGACATTTCAAATTTATTCCAGTTTCTCTAAAAACGATATAAATCAAAATCAATAATTTACATCAAACTGCAAATTCTACATGATAAATTCCACCATTTGTTAAAGACAGACTGCACTGATTTTCTCCTGTTCAATAATCTAAGTATTCCAGACAGCACAGTGCTGCCCTTTAATTTTCTCCTTATAAATGTTTCCAAGTTATAGGAGTTTCATGTTCAGTGGAAGAAGTTTGTTGAAGAATAAATCTCAGATGTTACAACAGAGTTAAGATTTTTTTGATGTTAGAACACTTACTTTGCTTCTTCTCCAGGATTGATTGCCATTACATTACCATCAATAACTGCCATAGCACCGCGAGTAGCTGCTCCGACAAAATCACTGTGCACCTACATAAATAACATTTATTGCCATTAATGCATATAATATAAAATATTACAGTGCATATGAAAACAAAAAAGCCACATAACTTGTTGACACTGTGTTAACAATCACTGTGCACCTACATAAATAACATATATATTTTTATTAACTGCCATTAATAAAGAGCTGCCGACAAAATCACTTGTTTTACATAATTAACATTTATTGCCATCAATAACTGGCTGTATGCTATATAAATCACTGTGCACCTACATAAATAACATTTATTGCCATCAATAACTGCCATAGCACCGCGAGTAGGTGCTCAGACAAAATCACTGTGCACCTACATAAATAACATTTATTGCCATCAATAACTGCCATAGCACCGCGAGTAGCTGCTCCGACAAAATCACTGTGCACCTATATAAATAACATATATATTTATTGCCATCAATAACTGCCATAGCACCGCGAGTAGCTGCTCAGACTAAATCACTGTGCACCTACATAAATAACATTTATTGCCATCAATAACTGCCATAGCACCGCGAGTAGGTGCTCAGACAAAATCACTGTGCACCTACATAAATAACATATATATTTATTGCCATCAATAACTGCCATAGCACCATGAGTAGCTGCTCTGACAAAATCACTGTGCACCTATATAAATAACATATTTATTGGCATCAACATATCATTTAGGAGGGCTTATTGTGTATTATTTTAATCAATAACATCCCACCTTCCTCTCTCTTCCAATCTAATTATGACATACAAGACATTAACATGTAAGCTAAGTCACCTTAAATATTGCCCTTTCCCTGATCAGCCTGTCAGGCAGTGTTTTGCGAGGCAGTTCCTGTGTTGTCTGTATCTCCTCGTTCCATTCACGAGTCTGTCCAGGGATATGCTCTTCATATCCGAGTCGTGTAGAAAATGCTGAAACCAAAATCGTTTTTCTTAGCACCAAGGTAAAATATTAGTATAAATATCACTTCTAAACTTGCACTGTCCGAGGGCCAACCCAAAACCCCACTCAACCAAACCCCCAACCCCATACAACACAGTTATTTGTAGAATAAAACGGCACTTAATATTGGTGACACAGGATATATATGACGGCGGCGGTGATTACAATAGGTCACCACAAGACTTTGACCTAAAAATTGATATCATCTTCAACATCGTATTTGATTGACCAATGCAAAAGAGTAAGTATTTTTTAAAGAAAAAAATAATTTATAAATGTCCAAAATATTGTGAAGAGGCAGGACTTTGAGAGACAGGGGAAATAGCTAAACCTGATACATATTATGCACATCTACTCTGTATAAAAATAATAGCTATCAGATTTGTTGGAACACTTCCAGTAGTTTAGGAATGACTAGTATTATCGTTGCATTCCAAAAGGGGCATAACTTTCAAAATAGGGGAGGTAACTCAACCCTATGTAGATTATGCACATCTACAATATATAAGAATTGTAGCCAGCAAGTATCACTGAAATCAATCCAGTAGTTTAGGATTAACCCCCTATCTATATCATTGCAGGGTATATAACAAGTTTTCTATATTTAAAGGGAATATCTTACCATCTTCAGCACGAATGTAATCGACGGTGTGTTCCGATGGGGGTGCCATCCAGCTGTAAATCTGATAAGGTGTAGCGACTCTCTCAAATGGATGTCTCTGGGCTCGCTTCTTCAGTAATATACCGAAGTTTCTCTTAAAGGCAGGACTGACCTATCAACAAGAGCATAACTGAGATCACTCAAGACAGTCAGGGTCCAATCCCCTTTGTCACAATACTATACGGAGTCTTTGTCTGACCACATAGGTTTTCTGGCAGTATTACAATTCCCTTCTACTTTCCTCAAAAAAGAACATTGTGTTTTCTGTAAGTCAGTTTCTTATTCTCTGTAGATTATCTTGATATCAAATTTTGTCCTTATGACCGAGATATAATTACAACAGCACTTAACTTGTTTCAAATGATCTCTAATTTTGTCCTTATGACCGAGATATAATTACAATAGTACTTAACTTGTTTCAAATGATCTCAAATTTTGTCCTTATGACCGAGATATAATTACAATAGCACTTAACTTGTTTCAAATGATCTCTAATTTTGTCCTTATGACCGAAATATAATTACAATAGCACTCAACTTGTATAAAATGATCTCAAATTTTGTCCTTATGACCGAGATATAATTACAATAGCACTTAACTTGTTTCAAATGATCTCTAATTTTTATTTATGATAGAAGTATTTCTACATCAGTGGTAAACTTGTATTACCTGGATAAGGAGGTCTATTAAAGAATGTGATAAAAACTTCTGTTGAGCAGCTTTTGGGTTAAATTCATCATCTGTTGATCTGAAACAAAAAAAAAGGAATAGCTGAAAAATATATTTCTACAACAAAGAAAGATAGAATATATATCAGCAACTTAGACTTCTTTGGGTTGGAAATACCAACTTAAAAACATCATTCTTTTTACATATCCGATATCTTGAATCATTGTTCTTTCTGCAGAAGTAGTAATGTGAAACACTTTACAACAGGACACGTTACATCAATTTGGTATGTACGTAGATCATTAAACCATAGTATTGAGTCTAGTGTACACTTCTAAATCTTGTTAAGTCCCTGAAATACAGAGTCTACAATATATTAAAGCATGTCTCTGATGTCCTTTTCCAAGCCTGATACTTCGTCTATTTACAGATTATATCTGAGTCACATATAACCTGTGTTTAGTGAGAGCCTTTCCCCCCCGAGTTATTTCTGTTAGATATATGTCTTTATTACAACAAAATGGTTGATCACACAAGCTCTATTGTGAGTCTAATGTGTCTTTTATTAAGTTATAGGACACAATCAGGAGACAAAAGTTTAAAGTCAAGTGACAAGTCCTTTTCCATACCACTGCTAACAGTTAGGTCAAAACGGTTTTTTTCCTTGTCAGCACACACCATTAGTGAAGGAAGTCCAATGTTGAATCTGATATGATTTTTTTCTACTTTTTTTTTGTTACTATAAACTAGGTCACAGAGACGTTTTCAAAGTTTTTTAAGATCTTTTGAAGTGTAGTCTCTGTGATACCACACATCTGTAGCACCTTGAAGGATATGAGATAGACTTACTGATTCACATAGAAGCCTCGTGTGGAGGCTGTGATGTGATATTTCTTCTCCTCAAGTGTTACAACATACAGGTAGAGTAGATCACCTACAAGTAAGGAAACATCAAATTTTCACCATTCAAATTAAAATTTACAGCTGGTAATTTACCAGCATGGTCAAACAATAAATAATGCACTACCCATCCCAGAGTATCACTCAGTAATAATTATGCTTTGTTTGCATTTATCTTATTACATTATTTTCCATTAAGGACTCGGCATCTGTTTATTGGAAAGCTGAAAATGAATATAGAGCTATAAATCACCCTGGGCATTAGAACACTGAACACCAAGGGAGATTATTTTACGAAGTTTTATTGCTGTAAATCAAGATGGAACATTGTAAATTATCTAGCTATAAAGTAAGTTATTCTGGGCATTAGATCATTGAACACCAAGGGAGATAATTTAACAAAGTTTTATTGCTGTAAATCAAGATGGAACATTGTAAATTGTTTTATTGTAGATCACCATTTATGATGTAACAATAGCCAATCCCAAAAAGATTACATTTTGATTTACTGTAAGTTGGAATTGGAATGCTTGAAAAACAAATTTATGACTTACTTACTAATCAACACTGCACTCCTACAGATCTGTAAAATATTCCCCTTAAACTACTAAAAAGGTTAAAATCCTTCACATTTGTGTTGATAATTGCAAATATATATAAATTACCAGATAACGAAACCCTTGAATGGTTTTACAGTACATACCATGCATTTTCCTGTTGCCTGGCGGAGGGTTCCAGCCACTGTATGTTAGCACTTTGATGCAACTCGGACCCTACAAAGACAAACAAGGTTAAAGCTTACAACTTACAACTGTAGTCTTTAACAGTCCTACCAGCCAGTTAAATATGATATTGATTGATATTATACTATCTATGGGATCTCTAATTATTGTGATTTGAAATTGTAAAGTCTTAAAAGATTGTTTGATTAAAACTCCGCATACACAATAATTTTCAGAATTACATGTGAAATTGCTGTATACGAAACAATATATGGTAACCTGTCGGTCATTTTGAACAAAATTAATTAAATATTGTTGAACCTGTTTGAATTATACTAAATAATGTTTGTGAAAAAAAATTTGAGTTCAAATTATCAGGGTTGACATTGCCCAAAATCACAACGAAATCCTCAAACTGACCAGAGGTTTTCCATATTGTTAGACTGACCAGAGGTTTACTATATTGCTAGACTGACCAAAGGTTAACTGTATTGTTAGACTGACCAAAGGTTTACTGTATTGTTAGACTGACCAGAAGTTTACCATATTGTTAGACTGACCAGAAGTTTACCATATTGTTAGACTGACCAGAGATTTACTATATTGTTAGACTGACCAAAGGTTTACTGTATTGCTACTGACCAGAGGTTAACTGTAATGTTAGACTGACCAGAGGTTTACCATATTGCTGGACTGACCAGAGATTTACCATTTTGCTAGAAATCCCAACTCCCCATCTCTAAATTAATGAAAGTATAACAAATTGTTAAAGGGCTATAACTCTGTATAAACATAATCCTATCATCACTAAGTGCAAGCCTGAAGTTCTGATGGGGACTTGATCTAAACTCGTCTGGTACCTGGTGACTTAAAGATTTCACTAATAAAGAGATATTTTTAGCTAATCAGTGACACAGTTTTAAGCTGTATGTAGACAGCACCTTGAGGTCCTTGATGCCAGGATGAAGAGGGAGGATTGGCCTTTCTTTGGCATTCGGCATGATGTAGTCTGGTGGTGTACAATCAACACTGTCAGGTTTGTTTCTCTTCTTGTCTGAAAATATAGATAATTCAAAACTTAAAACAAGTAGCAAAGAAGACAAATCCACAACAAGATTATGGTCTATCTCATAACATACATCTTGTAAGTATCTGACATTGGGACCTTAAATAAACATTGAAATATGGAGGTTATCTTGTTATCAGATTAATTAAAAACTCTGAATAAACTGAAACAGAAAAACTTTTGTTCGTATTTTTGGTGTTGTTTTCCCAATTACTTCAGTTTTCAGTATGTAGTTTAGTATCTTTAATCATACTTCTGTTTCTGCCATTTTGCATTTTATTCAAAAAGAGTTTTTTTTTTAAATTTGAGATATAACCCTTCAGTTTGGAGTTCCTTTGATAAGATGATATCACTGTCATGGTACTGTAGTTGAGATGCTACTTAACATATGAATGGAAACTAATGTATCATCAACTTGTAACAAACACGATATGGTTACTGATGTTGTACACATAATTGTGTTGTCATATCTGTAAGAAGTGTATCAGTGTTGTTATAATGTTGATTAAATGATTTATTCAAGAGATTATTATTTTTGTTTAGTTTGTTTATTTTAAAGATAAAAGCCTAAAAGATGACTATCATAAATCCATTTTGATACCACGTCCTTAATCAGGACTCTCAGGCTGATAAGGGATGTGACATAAAAATGTTCATACAATAGTCTCTTAGTATCCTTCTGTAAATTTCACAAGAATGACCTTTGAACTTTGACAAAGAAGAGATGGTATGGGTTAAGACTGTTGTAATATCACAATTAAATGTTTCACAGCATTTTCATTGAACCTTGAACAAAATTTTGTTGCTAATGATTGTATCTTCCAACAACAGATGGACAAGTCTTTCAGATATGAGCACTGTATTTAAGGTTTTGTAATTTTTTTTTTCAAAATGAAATGTCTGTTAAATTGTAAATGATGATAAACAGCAGCAGACAATACACAATAAGGTGAGAAATAAGCTGTCCACTGATCGGCTTACCGAGTATGTCGCCACCGGTGACAGTGTTGAGGAACGATAAGGAAGCACAGTCAGCTCCATTGTAAGCATCTGCTGGGTCCACAGATTTCAGCAGGTCACGGATGTGACGGACATGGATTCTTGCCTCACGAATTGTGTACGGTTCTACAAATTAAATTTTGCATCACGTAAGATGAAATTCAACAATTTGTTAATTTCAATTTAAACACAGTAGCATTAATAGATCATTTTTAGTATAAACTGGTAATGAATTAGGTTGTTGCAAAAACAAGATTTTTTTTAGTGTAATAATTCTTATGAATCCCTTTCAGTCAACATCACTTTCAAACTTATTGTCTTTTGAATCAGTTTGCCTTTAATGCAGTTTATCTATCTGCCAAAGAATTATGCAGTGTATGGGAGCCGAAAATATACAGAAGTGTTAGATACATATGTTTCTGTTATTGACCTGCACTGCTTGGGTTTCAAATATAAACAATGTTGTCCACAGTGACTGTTCATATGTAAAGTGAAAATGATATTTATCACTAGCAACATCTGGAACAAGGAAACCTGACCTCATAAATGACTGGCTACATACACTTATAAATTAGAAATGGAATGAATGTACAGAGCACAACATTTTCACAACACGAAAAAGACATTCTTTGACCAGAACATCTGACCAATACATTTTTCTGAGAGTATTCTGAATTTCTAAGATAACAAAAGTCATCCTACCTTCCACAACTTTGACAACAGATCCTTCCTTAAGGCCTTCAATGGATTTCAGCTCAGAGAAGTTGTCGAGTGCAACATTATCAAGTTGAAGTGAGAAACATGTTCGATGGCAAGTTTCTTCTCTGTCTACAAGTACCTGGTGTATTTCCTGTACAAGCTCCATAGAGCTCACCTGTAACAGTCACAATGTACAATGTAAACATAGAGCTCACCTGTAACAGTCACAATGTACAGTGTAAATATGGAGCTCACCTGTAACAGTCACAATGTACAGTGTAAATATGGAGCTCACCTGTAACAGTCACAATGTACAATGTAAACATAGAGCTCACCTGTAACAGTCACAATGTACAGTGTAAATATGGAGCTCACCTGTAACAGTCACAATGTACAGTGTAAATATGGAGCTCACCTGTAACAGTCACAATGTACAATGTAAACAGCGAGGTCATCTTTTACAGTCTCAATATCACCTGCAACTGTTACAAGGGATGGAAACATGACACACCAATACATAGAGAATACATGGTCAGTGTCTTAATATATAAGCTGTATTTTGGAGAAGTTAAAGAAAGACAAAGGTGGCAAGCAAAACATTTTAGCTGCTTTTAACAAAGTCAAGGATCAAAAAAGAAAAATTAATAAAAATATATAGAAAATGTCCCAAAACATAGTGAGGCACATGTGTATATTTTTATTGCCAATGTCCTTTTAAAACAATCATGGTCATTTCTTTGCCCTCACAACCATGTGCTATTACTTAGTGCCCAGTGCTTCTTAAAATGACATGTAAAAGGCTGGGAAATGTTGATTTCCAGTAAATTGTAGCCAGTTAAAAACATCAGATAATTGTCATATAAAGTCTTAAATTCAAACAAATTTTCAGTCAAATTTGCTTTATTATAAAGAACTGCTGACTGCTGTCAGAGGTCAGGGATTGGGGGTGGTCCTTTTTTTAAATTTTTTTTTTTTATTTTGGGAGGTTGGAGGTAGGGGGTAGGAAAACTGTGATACAACATAGGAATAGGAATTTTGTTGATACAACAAAGGAATTTTGATAATCCTACCATAAGACTATTTTAACATTGAAAAAGTCTTACATATCTTTGGTAACTATATCTTAATAATTCACATTTAAAAGATAATTTGCCTCCTGCATCAAACTTATGTTGACAAAGGCAGTACATGTGCAAGCATAAAAGACCAGTAGCTGGTGTATGATCTGCTTAATTCTACAACATGTACACTTCTGTGTAATCTGATTACCAGCAGGTTTAGCTCCAGGGTCTAAGGTCACGAGCAGATAATACTCAGACCTGCTATAATCAGGCTCGCCACAGACCATTAAGTGCCTGTTAAAGTCATCAACAACTTACTTCCATTGCAATAGGAAGAAAACGACCATAAGCAAGACAAGAAGGCTAGCTGTTTCAAAGGAATAAATCAATGTGCTTTTCTATTTTTTTTTAAACAAGATGCAGCAGAAATGATAGGATGACTGATAACATAAAGGGAGAAAAACATCACATATACCATACAACAAAGGGCCAAAAGCATTACATCTACCATACAACAAAGGGCCAATAGTGTCACATGTACCATACAACAAAGGGCCAATAACATCACATGTACCATACAACAAAGGGCCAATAGCATTACATGTACCATACAACAAAGGGCCAAAAACATCACATGTACCATACAACAAAGGGCCAATAGTGTCACATGTACCATACAACAAAGGGCCAATAGCATTACATGTACCATACAACAAAGGGCCAAAAACATCACATGTACCATACAACAAAGGGTCAATAGCATTACATGTACCATACAACAAAGGGCCAATAGCATCACATGTACCATACAACAAAGGGCCAATAACATCACATGTACCATACAACAAAGGGCCAATAGTGTCACATGTACCATACAACAAAGGGCCAAAAGCATTACATCTACCATACAACAAAGGGCCAATAGTATTACATGTATCATACAACAAAGGGTCAATAGCATTACATGTACCATACAACAAAGGGCCAATAGCATCACATGTACCATACAACAAAGGGCCAATAACATCACATGTACCATACAACAAAGGGCCAATAGCATTACATGTACCATACAACAAAGGGCCAATAGTATCAAATGTACCATACAACAAAGGGCCAATAGCATCACATGTACAATACAACAAAGGGCCAATAGTGTCACATGTACCATACAACAAAGGGCAAAAAACATCACATGTACCATACAACAAAGGGCCAATAGTATCACATGTACCATACAACAAAGGGCCAATAGTATCATATGTACCATACAACAAAGGGCCAATAGCATCACATGTACAATACAACAAAGGGCCAATAGTGTCACATGTACCATACAACAAAGGGCCAATAACATCACATGTACCATACAACAAAGGGCCAATAGCATCACATGTACCATACAACAAAGGGCCAATAGCATTACATGTACCATACAACAAAGGGCCAATAGCATCACATGTACCATACAACAAAGGGCCAATAACATCACATGTACCATACAACAAAGGGCCAATAGTGTCACATGTACCATACAACAAAGGGCCAATAGTATCACATGTACCATACAACAAAGGGCCAATAGTGTCACATGTACCATACAACAAAGGGCCAATAGTGTCACATGTACCATACAACAAAGGGCCAATAGCATTACATGTACCATACAACAAAGGGCCAAAGGTATCACATGTACCATACAACAAAGGGCCGATAGCATTACATGTACCATACAACAAAGGGCCAATAGCATTGCATGTACCATACAACAAAGGGCCAATAGTATCAAATGTACCATACAACAAAGGGCCAATAGCATCACATGTACAATACAACAAAGGGCCAATAGTGTCACATGTACCATACAACAAAGGGCCAATAACATCACATGTACCATACAACAAAGGGCCAATAGTATTACATGTACCATACAACAAAGGGCCAATAGTATCACATGTACCATACAACAAAGGGCCAATAGCATCACATGTACCATACAACAAAGGGCCAATAGCATCACATGTAGGACCAATAGCATTACATGTATCATACAACAAAGGGCAAATAGCATTACATATACCATACAACAAAGGGCCAATAGCATTACATGTACCATACAACAAAGGGCCAATAGTATCACATGTACCATACAACAAAGGGCCAATAGTATCAAATGTACCATACAACAAAGGGCCAATAGTATCACATATACCATACAACAAAGGGCCAATAGCATTACATGTACCATACAACAAAGGCCCAATAGTGTCACATGTACCATACAACAAAGGGCCAATAGTATCACATGTACCATACAACAAAGGGCCAATAGCATTACATGTACCATACAACAAAGGGCCAATAGCATCACATATACCATACAACAAAGGGCCAATAGCATTACATGTACCTTACAACAAAGGGCCAATAGTATCACATGTACCATACAACAAAGGGCCAATAGTGTTACATGTACCACACAACAAAGTGCCAATAGTGTCACATGTACCATACAACAAAGGGCCAATAACATCACATGTACCATACAACAAAGGGCCAATAGCATCACATGTACCATACAACAAAGGGCCAATAACATCACATGTACCATACAACAAAGGGCCAATAGTGTCACATGTACCATACAACAAAGGCCCAATAGTATCACATGTACCATACAACAAAGGGCCAATAGTGTCACATGTACCATACAACAAAGGGCCAATAGTATCACATGTACCATACAACAAAGAGCCAAAAGTATCACATGTACCATACAACAAAGGGCCAATAGCATTACATGTACCATACAGCAAAGGGCCAATAGTGTCACATGTACCACACAACAAAGGGCCAATAGTGTCACATGTACCATACAACAAAGGGCCAATAGCATTACATGTACCATACAACAAAGGGCCAATAGTATCACATGTACCATACAACAAAGGGCCAATAGTATCACATGTACCATACAACAAAGGGCCAATAGCATCACATAAACCATACTTTGTATTAACAGATTTGTAAAGAACAAATAGATTTTTGAGCCAGAAATGTGGTAACATGTAGGACATGTAGGCAATACTGCAGTGTTTCATGCTTTCCTCATGTTGTTAAATAGGGAGAGAAGTAGTATTTGGCTGTAAAGCTGATGTTTCATCTTCATCTTTTTTATCTTCATTATTTCATTGGATTGACCAAAGATTTACAAGGCAGGTGTAGTTGATGAAGCAGAACATGCTTACCCTTCAGAAACACCTAATCCTTTTTCTCCTTTTGTTTTTTCAGGAGTCTCCATGTACATCTTTTTTTTCATATTTTGCCCCAATTTGATTGAATTGCAGTTTGAATTATGTTCACATTGCAGTATTTCCTTGATGTTTTGAAAAGATATCTACATAGATATACGGATGCGATAGCCAGAAAAACAAAATAAATTAAGAATTTACTTACTGGAAGATCAAAATCCTCCCCTCCAGGGATGGACAGTTTTACTACGAATCCTGTATCCTGGATAAGCACTACTTCTTGATCATCACATTTTTTATCTCCCTTCTCATTGATCTCAACTTTTTTTTCCTCCTCATCTGCAGTTCTCTCCCCTTCCTCCTGACTACTATTCTCTGTGGAGGGAGAGTCATCTGACAGCTCACTCTGGGGACTGTCTGTACCGCCGTTCATGTCTACTGTAATATATATATGTTATCATATTATAACCTAGGTAATGGAACTTTTCTTGTCTACAGTAATATATATATATTTATTACCTATGTTAAAAAACTGTTCATGTCTTATGTATTTTTTATATATATATATATATATATGTCTATTACCTATGTAAAGAAAATTGTTCTTGTCTACATTAATATATATATATTTATTACCTATGTTAAAAAACTGTTCATGTCTTATGTAATATATATGTCTATTAACTATGTAAAGAAAACTATTCTTGTCTACAGTAATATATATATATTTATTACCTATGTTAAAAAAAATTCATATCTTGTGCAATATATATTGTCATATCATATCTATGAAAAGAAAACAGAGATGTCTGACACAAGTTCATGACATTAGCCTGTCTACTGCTTTTATTAAGACTTCTGTCAACATGTGTACTCATCCTTTTCAAGGACAAGTTTTAAGGTCATCGCCCACAGTCTCCAGTCATTGTAGTGAGATCACTGGATATGCAACATCATCCTTTATCAGTCTATAGTATTTATAAAGGAAGTATGTACTTTACATGTGCACAAATTATATGAATGATTTGTCACGAGCTTGGTGGGAATGCCAAAAAAAATTAAGACATTGCCTGTTGAACATATGAGCATGATATTACATATCAGAGATTAAATGTTATAACACTTATCATTTAAATAAAATGTTTGCAATATTTAGACTTTCACGGCTTCAATTTAGTCAAACTAATAATATTCTAGGCATGGTTTGTATCACAATATCTTGAAAAGTCAATAGTGTTTCATCTCGACTCAGAACTAGCGAAAAAAATCAATCAGAAGAGATCTCTTATTAAAATGCATGACAAAGTCATTTAACAATAAAAATTAATTTTGTTGACGTACACAACAGCTAAGAATGTCACTGTTTATGTTTATTTACATTATCAATGCTTGCATTGTGTGTTTTTGGCCGTAAAACAAGCCCCCCACCCACCCCAACCCCTCCCAGCCCTCTCAAAGATGTGATTTTATTTGAAGTTATGTGCAGACACATATTATGTAGACAATCTGTTTCCATGGCAAAAATCCAGCAGACACTTTCATCACAATCAAAATAACTACTTATACAAAGTCAGTTGTATATCTATAAAGTAATTTGTATTTCTTTAGAAAATCAAGATTTCTGTGTAGTTACCTAACTTCTAGAATCCTTTCAGAATAGAGCGAACGTGACTCCAGTCACACTATTTACTTGTTTCCCACCTGTTCCCTCTCATTTTATACCTCAAGGTTACTCTCCATACACACCACAACCTATTTATTAATCTCCTAACAATAAACTATCTTCCGACACAATTATCTGTGCATAAATCTTACTGCATTGCTTTTGTTATACGTATTGTAATAAAGTGGTTTCTTATCAATCACTGGCTGGTACACTATATCCTTCTAACAATGTCATTTTCAGGGTAAGTATATATTAGGTAATACCTGGTAAAATTATGGTGTTACAAAGAGCTTTGTGATGACGAACTACAACACTTTCAAGGTAAAGAGGTAATCTAAGCCTCAAGTATAAATTACCTGGGAATTTAATCAATTCAAACACACAAAATTAGGCAAATGAAACGATTTTCTGGTGAAGTTAGATTTGTGAATAACAAGTTCATGCAAGTCAGTGATCGATCTACATGCAAATCCAGAGTCGTGTACTCATTTGATTTTTATGGGACTTGTAGAATTTACGGATATAATTAAATTTTATACTGCGGGACACATTGTTTTTAACAATAAAGTTGAAAAGATTTCATGAAAATAAATTCCAAATTGGTCCCTGGCAAGCGTGTGCAAGAATGAATAATTAACATTACCCTATTCTTTATAATGCTAGATTTAAACATCACTTAAACAGATAATACAGTTTAAGGAGTTTTTTTCTTTGTCAATATTGACATCTTGGTAATCGATATTAAGTACTGCAAATCAGTTTCTATTTTTTTCTTCTGTAATCTCTATGCATATTTAATTAAATATTAATTAATATTATTTATTAAATATGTTTAAAGTGTTAATATGGAACGAATCATATCAATTATCAAGTACTTGTTTTGGCCACTTCACACAAGTACTTCATATCAGGAATGAGTTAATTTGATATTTTATTAACAGTTACAGAGATTGCACAAAGGTAACTTTACTTTTTATTTTGCTGCTTGAACAAGAAAAATTAAATATGTTACAAAACTGATATAATATGTCATAGAACGGTAAAAAAATGAATGTATAAATACCCGAAAAACAAATTAACACAGGGAAGTAAAGCACATGTTACCACAAAGGAACAGTGTGGCACAGTATGGTGACTAAGCTGGAACCTTTATATCTACTTCACTGAGCCTAGCGATCACTAATGATAACAATACAGATAAGACGACACTGTGTCAAAGATTCAGCTAACTCTTCTAATCTCTTCATTGTTAATGTTACTCTTACAATCTACTCAAACATTTTCTAACGGAGTCACAAAGAATAAATCTGGCTAATGAACACTTGAACGATCTTCAGTGACCCTTGTTGTCGCACTGATAAGATCTAACTTCAATGGTGTGTCACAAGAAACAATGAAAATAGTCAATAAGAATGTATCGCACATTGATTTAGTTTAAATGGAACACTGAACATTGAAAATTGGTCATTGCAATATTCTTTACACCCTAATAACAACTGGTTCTAAACAAAGATAGAATTTGTCTGGGTATTTGAGCAACTTTGAAATTACTAATAATCAAAGTCTTCTGGAACATTTTCATATTTCATAAACGCAAGTAAAAAATAGAATAGGAATGGTTTTACCTGTGCTTCTTCAGAATACAAATACATTGTTGGGTGTACAATGTTGCATCGGGTATCGTTTTCCAAACAAATTGAAAATGGATACAATATTTCTCAAGTAAAATCAAACTTGAAGGTAATCTATTTTTGTATCATGTTTAGTTGGAGTTTCACTGGCTCCTAAATGTGAGACTTTTAAGACATACCATAGACACCGACAGATGCCTGGTATGGAGCCAGTGAGCATGGGGTAGACTGATGGCACGGGAAATTGGAGACGGGCTAGTCTTGATCATCGGGTGTCAACAAGAATTCAAGGGTCATGGATGTGTTAGGTAAATATCTCTATGATTAAAGAGAAGATCTGCTCTGTACTAGACCTTCCACAACTTGACACTGCAGGCTACAGTTGTATACATCAGTCTATACGATATTGTACTCGTGGTGTTGTAAACCCCATCAAAACATGAGTTATTGTCTCCAATGAATGTTAAGTGTTTGTTGTATCTCTTCCTTTTCTGGTTTGAAAAGTTCATGAGATGTTTTCATACTTTTCCGTAAAAGTATGCATTTGGCTTGTACGTGTTGAAGGCCAAAAGGCCATAATAGTTGACCTAAAACCATTTAAATAAATAAGGCATAAATTCTAGAATTGTAAGGAAGGCAAATAAACATGAACTTCCAAATGCTATGAAGACAAAACTCCTGTCAAAGTAAATTTCTATCTAAGTGTTGTGGAGATCGGCAGTTGGTTTCGGTGATTCTGTACATCAAGCAATCCTGCTTAATATCTAAATTCTGACAGTATGTTGACTGCTCTAAAATCAATATCCATGTCAGTAAGGTTTTGCTAATATCAAATATTCTAATGATTCCTCATCATAAGTTATGCTCACATCAGATATAAAAATCTAATGGTTTGTCACAAATGTTGGCATCAAGCAACCTTTGTTCTTTTCTCTTATAAACAGGTAAGTTTAAAAGAACCATCAGCCAATCAGTTAAGTTAAATGGTCATCATACTGATCGCTTTGTAAATTAGTTTTTTTATATATTATTTACCCAATCATATGTCCATGGAGTCCAACTGAAACCTGTTAAAAAGGTGAAAACTTGCTGGGTTTTACTAAGAGGAATCTGATGTTGATGAGGCATAACTTTGAGTCAGGTGCCATAAAGGATGCCGACTCCTTCATTGAGGATCTGACTTTTGAGTCAGGAGCTACAAAGAATGCTGATAGCTTTACGAAGGAACTGACCTTTGAGTCAGGAGCTACAAAGAATGCTGACTGTTTCACTAAGGAACTGACCTTTGAGTCAGGAGCTACAAAGAAAGCTGACAGCTTCACTAAGGAACTGACCTTCAGTTAGGAGCTACAAAGAATGCTGACAACTTCACTAAGGAACTGACCTTTTAGTCAGGAGCTACAAATAATGCTGACAACTTCACTAAGGAACTGACCTTTAAGTCAGGAGCTACAAAGAATGCTGACAACTTCACTAAGGAACTGACTTTTGAGTCAGGAGCTACAAAGAATGCTGACAACTTCACTAAGGAACTGACCTTTGAGTCAGGAGCTACAAAGAATGCTGACACCTTCACTAAGGAACTGACCTTTGAGTCAGGAGCTACAAAGAATGCTGACACCTTCACTAAGGAACTGACCTTTGAGTCAGGAGCTACAAAGAATGCTGACAACTTCACTAAGGAACTGACCTTTAAGTCAGGAGCTACAAAGAATGCTGACAACTTCACTAAGGTACTGACCTTTGAGTCAGGAGCTACAAAGAATGCTGACACCTTCACTAAGGAACTGACCTTTGAGTCAGGAGCTACAAAGAATGCTGACACCTTCACTAAGGAACTGACCTTTGAGTCAGGAGCTACAAAGAAAGCTGACAGCTTCATCAAGATTTACTTAGAATTTAGTTTACACTATATTTCCATTTAGAAATTCAATGATGTTGTACATGCAATAAATGTCGGGGATGGGGGAAAAAAAACTTAAAATTTATTCAGTGCAGCACATGATAGTGTTATTCATTTACACGAGATTATACTGGAATAATATGTTAAAGTAATTTCTTGTATTCCAATCAAGTATTTACTTGTTGCATATCAAAAATAGTGCAAAACAAGCTTTTGTCTTTAAAGATCCTTTGGTCTCATTTAACCGCCATGTTTTTTATTTTACTTTCTTAAGGTCACTTATGTCTTTTCTGATAATATCAGAACATCAACGGTTTTATCTTTCTTCATATCATTTATTGTTTAAATTATCGTAAGCACTGGTAAAGTAACAGTAAAATGTTCTGAAACGGAGTTTTTCCTTATGCCGTGTTTGAGGACATCTGGCCCCACTTGTATAAAACATCTCAACTTGAGATTTCCTCAAGTCGAGATTTTCCTCAGCTGATATCTCCTGAAAAACGGCTTGTATAAAATTTTCTCAAGGAACAGGAGGAAGTCATCGGCTAGGATGTCCTGAAATTCCTTGCGGAATTTTCATACAAGATATTTTCAAGGAGATATTAGCTGAGGAAAATCTCGACATGAGGAAATCTCAAGTTGAGATGTTTTATACAAGTGGGGCCTGATTGGCCATTTTAAATAAGCACTAATATAATAGCCATGTCTTTTCAAAGGTGAACAGTTCACATTTGGTCAGCTTTGTTGGCAATGCTCGATTATCAATCTTCAGAACACATTTTATCGAAGTTGCAGTAATACACTCTGTTTATAGATAAACTTTTCAAAGGTGCCAAATTATGAAGCCTACACTGTAATTGATGAATGAATTATTGAGCAAAATATATGGTGATGACATTGTAATTTCATGTAGGAATTTGACCACATCTTAACTGTGAACATTACATGATCGGTTAAGATAATTCATGATAGCATGTCAGATATTTCAAAGAATAAGCAAAGAATAAAAGTAAACAAAAATCACTTTTTTTATCTCCAAATAATTTCTGTTAAAAACAAATCACTTAGGCACATAAGAAAGCTTACATCGGGGCTCAGATGTCCGAAAAATGTCTCAATTGTTAATGTCACAATCTGCTTATTATCACATCCCCCTAACAAATGGATCATGATATTAAGTAGTTTCCACTGTACTAGTTGATGTTAATATATATCACTGCTTTCAAGCTTTCCAACAGGAAACATGCATTTGAGTTAATAGAACTATCTTACATGTGTATTGTTTTGATGGCATTGACATGGCAGCGACAATCTCATAACACTAAAACCACCATCTTCTGGCTGCAACAATCTCATAACACTAAAACCACCATCTTCTGGCTGCAACAATCTCATAACACTAAAACCACCATCTTCTGACCGCAACAATCTCATAACACTAAAACCACCATCTTCTGACCGCAACAATCTCATAACACTAAAACCACCATCTTCTGGCTGCAACAATCTCATAACACTAAAACCACCATCTTCTGGCTGCAACAATCTCATAACACTAAAACCACCATCTTCTGGCTGCAACAATCTCATAACACTAAAACCACCATCTTCTGACCGCAACAATCTCATAACACTAAAACCACCATCTTCTGACCGCAACAATCTCATAACACTAAAACCACCATCTTCTGGCTGCAACAATCTCATAACACTAAAACCACCATCTTCTGGCTGCAACAATCTCATAACACTAAAACCACCATCTTCTGGCTGCAACAATCTCATAACACTAAAACCACCATCTTCTGGCTGCAACAATCTCATAACACTAAAACCACCATCTTCTGGCTGCAACAATCTCATAACACTAAAACCACCATCTTCTGGCTGCAACAATCTCATAACACTAAAACCACCATCTTCTGACCGCAACAATCTCATAACACTAAAACCACCATCTTCTGACCGCAACAATCTCATAACACTAAAACCACCATCTTCTGGCCGCAACAATCTCATAACACTAAAACCACCATCTTCTGGCCGCAACAATCTCATAACACTAAAACCACCATCTTCTGGCTGCAACAATCTCATAACACTAAAACCACCATCTTCTGGCTGCAACAACTCATAACACTAAAACCACCATCTTCTGGCTGCAACAATCTCATAACACTAAAACCACCATCTTCTGGCTGCAACAATCTCATAACACTAAAACCACCATCTTCTGACCGCAACAATCTCATAACACTAAAACCACCATCTTCTGACCGCAACAATCTCATAACACTAAAACCACCATCTTCTGACCGCAACAATCTCATAACACTAAAACCACCATCTTCTGGCCGCAACAATCTCGTAACACTAAAACCACCATCTTCTGGCTGCAACAATCTCATAACACTAAAACCACCATCTTCTGGCTGCAACAATCTCGTAACACTAAAACCACCATCTTCTGACCGCAACAATCTCGTAACACTAAAACCACCATCTTCTGGCTGCAACAATCTCATAACACTAAAACCACCATCTTCTGGCCGCAACAATCTCGTAACACTAAAACCACCATCTTCTGGCTGCAACAATCTCGTAACACTAAAACCACCATCTTCTGGCCGCAACAATCTCGTAACACTAAAACCACCATCTTCTGGCTGCAACAATCTCATAACACTAAAACCACCATCTTCTGGCCGCAACAATCTCGTAACACTAAAACCACCATCTTCTGGCCGCAACAATCTCGTAACACTAAAACCACCATCTTCTGGCCGCAACAATCTCATAACACTAAAACCACCATCTTCTGGCTGCAACAATCTCGTAACACTAAAACCACCATCTTCTGACCGCAACAATCTCATAACACTAAAACCACCATCTTCTGGCTGCAACAATCTCATAACACTAAAACCACCATCTTCTGGCTGCAACAATCTCATAACACTAAAACCACCATCTTCTGGCTGCAACAATCTCATAACACTAAAACCACCATCTTCTGACTGCAACAATCTCATAACACTAAAACCACCATCTTCTGACCGCAACAATCTCATAACACTAAAACCACCATCTTCTGGCTGCAACAATCTCATAACACTAAAACCACCATCTTCTGACCGCAACAATCTCATAACACTAAAACCACCATCTTCTGGCTGCAACAATCTCATAACACTGTGTTTGAACAGACTCTTGGACCTACACTGATCCAACCTTAATACTCCCAGGAGTTACAAACAGTTTTGCTCTCTACATCCCTGGAACATGTCATAGAAAAATTGAAGGTTCCATGTGTGATATGTTGTGGACAAGACAAAAAAGTCTTGTTTGATCCTTTGATGTACAACAATCGATTCTGAGATCCATAATAGTATATTGTAATGCCTTTGAAGTTGCTCCTTTGTAATCTTCAAAAGGAGCCTATCAGCCTGTGATTAGTCAGTGATTTTTTTCCCCCAGAACACATCAAATTACCTTGCTTGTGACTTCAATTTTGCCATGACATGTTCCAGGCATGCAGACAGCAAAAAATGATCTGTTGAGGATGTCTGTGATCATGACATCCTAAACACTAACAGTTGATGATATCACATCACCATAGTTACCTGTTTACAGATGTTGAGATGTTTTCACAGTTTAAATATCATGAATCGATAGCACTATGAAATAATACTTGAATTACAATTCATAGAAAAATACAGATAAACACTTAAAGTTCCAAATGATACAAAGAAAAAAGTCAAATTTAAACCAGGAAGGGAGGTATTGCTGATTCTATACCCAGTAGCTACTGTATGTTAAGAGTATTTATCATAAATAAAATTCGAAAAAAATTATAACACATAAATGATTTTGCATGGACCTTTACTTTTGTAAACAGGTAAATATAATGCAAAAAGAACAAAATCAAGTGATTTCTTCAGCAGAGATAGTTAAATTTAAAGGAGAGGTTTAATATATATATTTCATATATGAACACACACACATATATGTATATGCTGCCTTATAAAGCTCCTCAAAAATCAATCTACAATGGTTTTTTTTATTATCATTTTTTCCCATTTAATACTATTACAATGTTATTTCTTATTTTTTTTATATTTTTGTGTCAAGTTTTCAAGAAAGAACTGCTTAAATCATGATCAGGCCTAATACATGAACCGTTAACATACTTGAAGATGGATGAAATGATTTCTTAGCATACATCTACCGATTTTTTCATGCAGCACATTTTAATTCTAATGGTTACCTATCTTTTCAAATTTCAAATGGATTAATTGGGTTTCCTTTCATTTCTATATTTTTTTTTCAACTATCAATCATTGTCTGTCACTACAAATAATTGTTTGCTGTATCTGTTTTCAACTGTCACAGTTGCACTTTCACTTTTAAATGCAATATCAATTGGTTCTTTTATCAGTTTTTGTCTGACAATTTTGCCTTGGTGTTGTATTGCACAGCAGACAGTATACACAAATGCTTTTAATTAAGAAATCAAACCAAAACCATTAGAATAACACGGAGTAACTTTAAATGCTGTCATCTACGTTTACAAGTAATATACACAATATCCTTGGATACGATTACCCCCTTTTTGGCCTCTTTGAATATACCCGGCATAATTTGCATAACTACGCTCGAAACGTGTAAAATATATCAACTTTGAACAGAAGTCTGCAACTTGTGCTTCCCTTCCGTAAACGCACGACACAGAAACCCTAAACCGGAACCATGTGTTGGTCCCTAATCAGCTGTTTACAACGTAAGGCTCACGACGGGAGTCCAGATACGACCCTTTCGACCTTGAAATGTTAAGCGAGAATTGACACAAAATTTGTGCGATACTTAAATGTTAACAATGTGTTTGCAAGAAAATAAAAGTATTTAAATATGCATTTACCACTTCAATGCAGGAATGAACCGCATATCGCTTAAGATGCATCCTATGGATGTTTCATAACTTTTTCCGTCGCCGAATTGGTTGCATAAACAGTTGCATTTATGTTGTTGTTGCGAAAACATAGACATATACATCTATAACACACACAAAAATAGCAATGCAGTTCATAAAGAAGAACATTTCTTTCATGAAATTCCCCTGTGTCATTGGTAATGTCTCTGAATGTCAACACTTCATGTCGTTCCCTTACGATGTACTTACTATGTATAGCCACGAGGTTTCGCCCGAGAAGGAATATAATAAACATTTTCTTACCTGATTCGTTCATATGAAGATTGTCATTTGCTGGACGTTCTAATTTATCCTTTGTGCATTTCTGTGCAATGTCATCTTTTTTCTCTGTAGCTTCAGTTCCAGAAATCCCTGCCATTGTCGATGTAGGTGTCAGAACACGTGTGTGATCGGTCTGCTAGGTTTCTCCATGTAATCTCGAACATTGACCTTCAGTAGAAATATACACAGTTTGTTTCATCATTCGCTCAGTTTCCCATTTGATAGAAAATAGAAACAAAATAAACACATTCTCCTTTCAAAATCTAAAAATAAACGATATTAGGATATTGTGTGTATACAATGTTAATTATTTACCGTCAACAATTATCTTTAAAATAAATCGTTAATTGGTTTGAGAGTACATTTTTTCTTAAGGATACATGGACCGTCAAAGTCGAAAGTAATATTTTGTTGGAATTTTAAAAAATCAAAAAAGATAATATGTTAACAAAATAATTATTTAAACTCAAAATCAATCAACGAAGTTAAGCTTGTGAAAGAGCTTTGAAAATTTACAAAAGAAAGTCACAAGACCGTATGTTTCGGAAGAGTAAATGTAATGGTATTTAATCAGCACTTTTAAGTATAAAAATAAACGTCACGTTCTCAAAACGATGGAGGGAAGAAGAAATTTCTTATTTAATTACTTTGTTTATATTTTAGCATAACGATTAATACTGAAATCTGCAAACATAAACTTGATTAAATAATGTGCTCTAAATGAGACATATAAAAAGAGAAGAATGCTTGACCCGTGTCTTTATTCTATCGTGAAACGTCAGGGACTGTTTATTGTTTACCTTTGAGAGGAATATTGCTGAAGCGAAAGGAAACCCCTTTGCAATCCTAGCATGAATGAATGCGATTCATTCAATTAGCCAATCGTTTTTTTCTTTTTCATACCAAAATAAAATTCAAATAAGACACCCATCAAAACTTATAATTAATTTCTTAGTTACGTCGAATAAATTTGATAATTTAATGAAGGATTATTTTTATAACAAATCACTGCACATTAATGTTGTTTCAAAATTGTATGATTAAATTTAATGTATTCTTAATTATCATTACAACTTAATCAAGTTCTAGATTAATTATGTTTTAATTATTTCATTATTATATGTATTGATGTTGACTTTGATTTACTTGATTTAAGGGTAACTCTTTATTATTACATATGTATGTCAATGGGGTAGATATGATGAATGATTAATATTTGGGAAGATTAGTATACTTGTACTAAACATGTTACCCTCTGAAAATAAATTATTTTTATGTGACAGCTTGACATGACGTCCACTTCAAGGTCATCTTTTTCGTGCCATTCAGTCATTCAAAATTCATTCGTGATGAGCTTTTCCAAACGGCCAATGTATAATACTTTGAACAGTAGAAGGAGGAGGAGATGCTACGAGAACATACCACTTGACAGGTGGCGGTTTGATTACATTATTAGTCGGAAGGAGTGATGTTGGATAAACAGTAACACTTAACTAGCATTTCCTGCTTATCCTGATACAAGATGTCGCTGGTGTTTACTCTATTCTCATATAATTCACTATCCAAATAATCATTCCCAGAATCAAAAACACCGCTAAGGTTGACTTCTAATCCTAATTTGGATACAAAAAAGCAGACGTTTTGATCAGGTACCGTGATATTGCTATCAGTTCAGTGGAATATAACGAATTTCCTCTTTTATTTAGTCGTTGTTTATTGTTTGTTCACAGTATATTGTAAGATATTTGGAGATTTTATTATATGTGGTAGTCCGGTTTTATTAAGTTGAATGACAGCGATCCACACACCAGATGAATGTGTAAACAGATATTCCTTTCAAAAAAAAAAAAAAAAAAGGGGGGGGGGGGGGTGTTTAACAGACCCATCACATTCACTCTTATCTTCGATCTTTTTCAGGTGGATGAAACTACATTTTCTAATCGAGACATGAAAAGCTTGAAGAATGAGAAATTTGCAATTTGCGTACGAACATCGAAAAATTAATTATGGGATAATGAATTTAATGAGTATTGTCGATGACGTCATATGATGATTAATCAAAACTTCTAGAGCATGCCTGTTTAGTTACTACTCCTTTCGCCCTCAATAAATGATGATAATCTCTTTGATCGTTGTCATAATCCTATTATTAATAATTAATAGATATTCAGGAGTGTGCATCTTTAACTGAAACATAAGGGAGACTACTCTAAATACTGTTGATAAATAAACAACCATGGCTGATGTTTTAGCTGATTTGCAGTCTAAGGGCATTATCAAACGAATCTTGTATGGAGGCGCTGGTGATTTGCCGCAATTCAGTGATGGCACAAAAGTAGGACATGCTTTATTTCCTGACATCTTTAACATGTGTCCTTTCTAATATATAATTGGAGGTTTTACGGGTATTTGTAACACCATCCCCCACATTCTGATGAACGTTTCCCAGGCTCTCGCCGTATAATTTTCGTCATGTTTCCACTTTTTGAATTCACGGATCCGGAATTCACTTCAAACGAACTTCTGCACTGCTGTATATCTAAACAAATTTAAAAAACTGGTTCGTCAGCTTAAAATCATAGTTAGAAATAATTATGCTATGATTTTGACAGAGTGTTGGAATCCTTGAGCTCACTTATTGCATGTAAAGTAGTGTAGGAGTGTAACTTATATTAACAGGACTATAGGATTCGTTGCTCACCTGTCCATTCATCAGTCAACTTTAAACTTTTTGTAGAAAAGACAACATTATCTTTATAGTAAAACAAAAAATCTTTCATAATCTTCTCAAGTTTTGCAGATACGACCCTAAGTATTGGTATTTTGGCCAGTAGGTACATGAGATGCAGCACTAGTTTATGTAAGGATGATCATACAAATACCATTTACCCATTTCCTAGGTCGCAGAGGTCAACTTTGTTAAAAATCCTTAAGAATTCTGTCAATACCAAGGGTCCTGATTTCCTCAATTTCCTCAAATTGATCGCCATCAAGCTCACAGGGGTCAGATTTTTTAAAAATCAAACAGCTTTACTGGACAACATTATGTATATATATCATGAACACTAGCTCTATATACCATTTGTTATGTACTATTAAAATGTATTTGTCGACACCAGATTACAGAATACATGATGAGTATTTTGGCATGGTTGCTTTAATATACAAGATATAATCACTTACAAGCCCACTGGGACTTCTGTTATGTTGTGTTGTCAGGGATGTAAATCAATCCTTTGCCAGCTAATGGAGCAAATTCAAAGAATTTGTTTTATAAGAACCAAACAATACTGTACTGTATTTGATTATTTGATTTCTTTCCATGATAGATAAATGCGATAAATTATGTTCATTTTTGTCTGTATGGATTTTTTTCTTTTCTTCAAATTTTGGAGACAGAAAAAATCAAGATAGGAACATTTTGCTTTTTTGATCTACCAAAGTTACTTCCCTTTGTTTCACTTTACATAGTATTAACTGTATATCAATAAGCTTGACAGTCGATGGGTGCCATGAATGTGGTTTTGTTATATCGTAAAAGGTTCACAGTATCATTTTTTATACATGAAATATCCTTCAGCTTGTATTATGATACAAAACTGACCTAACTGACATACTCAGGGACTGTAATTTTAACATTCAGCAGTAGCATTGTTACAATGAAGGTGAAGATGTAAGTCACTTTACTGGTATCTGCTATGTATGACTTCCATCATGGGTGTGAGTGGTTACATTTTAACTTCAATCCCAAGTAACGACGAGGCATTTTTCACTACTTTCTGTTATATACTTCCATGTGATAAATGATATACAGTTAACACACTAATATATGGGTCTAATTGGCTTGACATCAGGAATTGTAACACCTTGTGAATATAACACTAAATGTACATGTGCACAAATCCATCTGCCTGAATACAGGTGTCCATATTTATAATGTTTCCTTGAATGGCCGATTTGTTTTCCCTTCTTTATTTTGGCATACATGTGATCAGTATACAAAGCATGGTGTAATATTGTAGCAGGATGTTAACATTGAAGGGATGTTACTTATGATCAATAGTTAAAAGTCTACATACAGTATCTATGTTAACCTTCAAATTCATGTTTCAAATACCTACTGATGTTTAACACCTTAGAACTTTATTTATGGAATTAATTTGGTCAGTCTGTTTTGTTTCCCTTTATTAATCACCATCATGATTTTATTTTATTTCATTCAACCCAATTCAAAAACATGGTTATTGATATATACATTGTACAAATTGGAAAGGTGATAATGTTGTCATTATTTATCAGAATTTTTGTCAGGAGTGGAATATATTCAAAATGTTAATACGACAATACAGAAGCTGAACTGTACATGCTGTTATATATTTTGATACTTTTCCACCAGTTGTTCTTCCACTACCGCACCAACAAGTGTGATGATGAGAAGACACTTTTGGATGACAGTAGAAAACATGACAAACCAATGGAGTTGATTGTTGGTAAAAAGTTCAAACTAGAAGTTTGGGAAACTTGCCTTGTCACAATGAGGCAGAAGGAGGTAGCCGAGTTCACAGTGTCCACTGTTGTAAGTAATTTGTGTTTCTACTGGAATATTGATTAATTGCACGTTAAACCTGGCTTTTGTCTCGAAGTTATCCCCCTCAGATAGATTTTATTTTAAATTATCTGTGGTTAATTCTCAGTACTAATTAGACATGACATTAAATGTCATTGTGTAAATAATCAAGTGAAAATCTGAAAACCAGTAACAAGTTTTCTCGTTTAACTCTTCTGGAAGGAGATAAAAATATCAAAGTACTGTAAGTACATGAATCCCTAATAACTTAAGGTAACTAATTTTTGTAGTCATTCTTTAAATCATACAACCTGTATGTCACATCATTTAAATAATTTTTTTTTTCATTTAATGGCAAAGAGAAATATCAAGAATAATAATTCTGATACATACAATTAATGTTCATTTTTTATTTGTGCAACAGCATGCTGCCTCTTACCCATTAGTGGCAAAGAGTTTAAGGGATATTTTTGAGAAAGGTGGTGCTCACTCAAAGGCACCAAAGCACTGTTGTGGTATGATGGCCATGTCAGAGGAAGGAGTCGGGTACCCGGACCTCAATGAACTCATGAAGACACCACAGCCTCTTACATTTACACTAGGTATATCAATAGATGAAGAATTCTTGGGAGTGAATATTTCAAATCCACATATTAAATATGAGTTGTTGAATACTAAGACAGAGTATGAATCACAGTATAACTGTGTTTATAAACCTGACAAGGTACATATACCACAAGTGTAACAGATTGATTGTATAAGTATGATGACAAAATGCTTTATATGTTAAAGCTTGTAGAAGATTTAGAAACCTTGAGTTTTTGTTATATGTATAAAATGATTGATATTTGCTTTTAAGTGTTCTTATGACAAACATATGGAGATTATCAGATTCACAATACCTTTTAAATCATTTCATTTGTTGTTGATGGTTTGATGTCTTGATAGAAACTTCATTAAAAACAAACATTTATCCCTGTAGTATAAGCTATTTTCTACCCCTTTTCTACCTTATATACTACCTAACTGTGATATTTGCTCCATTTATAGAACTACTCAAAGTTGAAAATCCAGGGGAATACAACAAAGAGTCTTGGGTAATGACTGAAGATGAGAAACTGAAAGCTATTCCAAGTCTGAAAGAAGAGGGCAACTCCTACTACAAAGAGAAGAATTATACTGTGGCTGCTGAGAAGTATGGAGAGGCCCTGGGTATGCTGGAGCAGCTGGTACTTAAGTCAGTATTCTATACTAAATTGTGTTCTTATACACTACACTGTGTTCTTCTCTACTACATTATGTTCTTGTATACTACACAGTATTCTTGTATACTACACTGTGTTCTTCTATAATACACTATGTTTTTCTATACTACATTATGTTCTTCTATACTACACTTTGTCCTATACTACACAGTGTTCTTGTATACTACACAGTGTTCTTGTATACTACATTATGTTCTTGTATACTACACTGTGTTCTTCTATACTACATTATGTACTTCTATACTACACTGTGTCCTATACTACACTGTGTTCTTGTATACTACACTGTGTTCTTGTATACTACACTGTGTTCTTCTATACTACATTATGTTCTTGTATACTACACTGTGTTCTTTTATTCTACACTGTGTTCTTGTATACTACACTGTGTTCCTCTATGCTACATTGTGTTCTTCTGTACTAAACTGTGGTCTTCTGTACTGCACTGTGGTCTTCTATACTACACTGTGTTCCTCACTACTACACTGTGTTCTTCTGTACTAAGCTATGTTCTTGTATACTACACTGTGTTCTTTTATACTACACTGTGTTCTATACTACACTGTGTTCTTCTGTACTGCACTGTGTTCTCCTATACTACACAGTGGTCTTGTATACTACACAGTGTTCCTCTATACTACACTGTGTTCTTCTATACTACATTATGTTCTTGTATACTACACTGTGTTCCTCTATACTACACTGTGTTCTTCTATACTACATTATGTTCTTGTATACTGCACTGTGTTCTCCTATACTACACAGTGGTCTTGTATACTACACAGTGTTCCTCTATACTACACTGTGTTCTTGTATACTACACAGTGTTCTTGTATACTACACTGTGTTCTTCTGTACTAAACTGTGTTCTTCTGTACTACACAATGTTCTTGTATACTACACTGTGTTCTTCTGTACTGAACTGTGTTCAGGTTCTCTTTAAGCTTCATATGGAATACCAAATTGCTCTACAACAAATTTAAGTGTTTTCTTTCCTGACAATGTACATTTACCAGTAAATATTTGAAAACTTGGGGTAGAAGTCATAAATTTCACCATTTTTTTGTGCTTTTGTACACTCATTCACAGGTGAACACTGAAATTTAGAGAAGATAACTAATTCAGTAATTAAAAATAGAGTTGTTGTAGACGTTAAATTGATTATAAAATATATAACAGTAGTTTTTTTTTTTTTTACAAAACTAGGTTGTTTCCTTGTCAGTATGTGGAATGTAAATTCAATAACATCAATATAGATTGTTAGGGAATATTAATACATTGTAATGTATATATTGAAATATAAATGTTGTAACTTTTTCATGGCAGAGAGAAACCAGGAGAAAAGGAATGGGTTGTATTAGAAGACATGAAGACTCCATTTCTTTTAAACTTCGCCCAATGTAAACTCCTTCTGAAAGATTTTTATCCTGTCATAGAACACACCACCACAGTCCTAACACGAGATCCAGGTACGTGATTCAGTATACTCACACATATCTCTGGTATGTCATACACTGTACTCACACATCTCTGGTATGTCATACACTGTACTCCCACACATCTCAGGTATGTCATACACTGTACTCACACACATCTCAGGTATGTCATACACTGTACTCACACATATCTCAGGTATGTCATACACTGTACTCCCACACATCTCAGGTATGTCATACACTGTACTCACACACATCTCAGGTATGTCATACACCATACTCACACATATCTCAGTATGTCATACACTGTACTCACACACATCTCAGGTATGTCATATACTGTACTCACACATATCTCAGGTATGTCATACACCGTACTCACAAAAATCTCAGGTATGTCATACACTGTACTCACACACATTTCAGGTATGTCATACACTGTACTCACACACATCTCAGGTATGTCATATATTGTACTCTCACTCTCACATCTATGGACATTACCAACCTAAAGAAAGTGTTCTTAAATGTGATGTTGTCTGAATATTTTGTAGATAATGTGAAAGCTCTGTTTCGGCGAGCCAAGGCACATGTTGGGGCATGGAATCCCAAGGAAGCCAAAACTGACTTTCAGCGAGTGATGGAGTTAGATGAAACGTTAACATCTGCTGTACACAGAGAATTAAAAGCATTAGCAGAAAAAGAGCATCAGAAGGATTCGGAGGACAAAGCAAAACTGAAGAATTTGTTTAGTTGATAACCTAGAAATGATATTTTAGATAGTTAAGTGATAGAGAAGTTTTTAATATACACATAGTATTATACATGTAGCCAGAAAGCCAAAAGAATGACAATTCTAGGGTCTTATTTGAATCACCATATGATACAGGGTTTATGAAACAAGTCGTAGAATTTTTAATTTTATGTGCCTTTGGTGAGCTAGAATAAAAAATTGTGATAAGTTTCAAAAAACCATGTAGTAAATGGAAACAAATTTAAGATCTTTTTTCTTACATAATCAATTATTCTGGCAGCTGTCGTAGATAAAGGACATTTCCACATCAAACTTGAAGTCATTTCATATCCGTAAATATGGTCACTATTCTTGTATCACAGTGCAATCTGTGATCATTTGACATCATTTCATTCTCTGAACCTAATATCACGACAGGCTGTGACGTGGGTATATTCACCAAGTCAATCATATGATCAGTGTATATAAGGTCTTCTGTATACTGATCATTGATCTAGAAATGACTTCAAATTTACAAATTATGAGCTGTTAGAGACATGGACTCTGACACTCAGATATTGGTAACCAAGTCAAAATGGATGTCATCTAGTCTTATTTTTGTACAAATAGTTGCGAAGGATTTAAATGCATGATTCACTCTCCTTACATGGCAATGCAAAATAAATTCCAAACACAATATATATATATGTAATTTAAAAAGATAAAAACTTTGTGTATGGTATATACAGCGAAAATTAATCACTTAACATGACAAACAAGTTAAGTGTTTAATTTTCTCTCTATATATATGTGATTTAAAGTACCATTACACAGCCTGTGCAATCAGAGTGGATTGGATTTATTGAGAATGTTTGGAAAATGCTATCAAAAGCAGTGGTATTTTTGATTGGTTGTCCTTTTTTCAATAGACTCATTTCTTCATCAGTAATAGGTCAACTGGAGGACCTAGGATTGGCTTTAAATGCTTTACTTTTTATATGATATTGTCATTTGGTTTTAACTATCTGCAATAAAACTTGAATGAGTTTTCCTGAAACAAACAAAGCTAACTAAGTAGAAGTTGATTATTTGTGGAGAGTATGAAAGTACGAAAAAGAAAAAACCAATATTTCACTATTCTTGATTGATTTTGTCATTATGTCAGTAATACGTGTGATTTAAACATATCTTATTTGTCGTATAACAAAAAGGATTAGGCACAAGTTGTCACATCTTAAAAACGCCTTCTCCAAAAGATTTCACAAGTTAAGTAATACGTGTATTGTTAACAAGTAAATCTTGAAATTTCCAAGATATTTATTTCTCAAACATGCTTTTCAAATGGCTGAAGTACATGTTTTTTATCAGGTAAAAAGATTTTTAAAAAATCATTTTTCAATTAGTTAATGTTAATGTTGTTTGCATGTTTTAATTATTTTAATGGTGCTAATATATTGTGTTTACTTAATGGTACTGAATTATTCATGTTTTGAACTGTAATTCCATATTAAGGAAATATGAATTGTAAAACTTTGTTATACATCTACTGCCATCGTCCTGTAAAAGAATTACGATATTTTTGCCAATTTAGATTGAGCAACATGTATATAAAGAGGGAAATATACAAAAGAAATGTGAATAAAGGGATGAAGCAAATGGAACAGGAAACATTTTATAATTAATCCACCTTCCATATTAATCAGTATACAAAAGTTATTGGAAAAGTTTTATATTCAATAGTGAACATGCTTAAATCAGCACATTCTCATTTGAAGTTATGTTCTTTAAAAAACATATAAACAAAAACATGATTTAAACCAGAAGTGATATAGGCTTTATGTGTAAGGAAGTGAAGGATTGTGAAGGATTCATAAGATGTTTTTATTAATGAGTTTGATCAGTTGGACTAAGGTTGTTAGTTTATGAAATAAGGGCAGCCCTGCTTTGCATTCCGGTGAGTTTTGACTAAGCCTTTCGTGGCCTGTATATATATATAGGGGTCTGTCCTGGACATTTACATTTTTATTGCAGGATAACCAGTCCGCGTAAACGAACAGGCCCCTTAGGTCTATCTTTATTTAGATATAGCTATAATTTGTCCTGAATAAATGTATACTTGTCATTATATTGATGTGATTTAGAAGTGATGATGTTGTCATTTTTTTTACAATAGTAGTGTAATAAGTAGGAATTACAGATTTTATAAAATTTATGTGATTTGTTTGTTAAAGGAACAATAATAGCATACCTCTTTGTCTGGAGATTTAGTAATTAGGAGAATATCTAATCAAGCTACTTTCTTACAGATTAACATAGATATAAATGTTTTAGGAAGTGAATTTAGATACCAGGAGCAGGCTACAGATAATGATGGATTTGTAATGATTAACTTCGAAGATGAAACAGGAAAATACTTAAATAAGTGATAAATGGTAATCCCTTCATCAGATGATACATATAGTATATTGAACAGGTTTACATTCCGTCCCTATCATTATACACTGTAAATCTATATTAATTTATTCAAACATATAGTGTGTTCACTAGTCCTGTATTAGTAACGATAAAACAGTTTATTTCATTATCAGCACAGTTTAAGATAAAGGAACATTAATTTTGAATTTTATGTACTATATAAGGCACACCCAAGACTGAGGTCCATAGCCTAACTCAACTGTTAGTACAGTGATGTATCCACAAGGTATTGTATTTGACACGATTTTTAACTTATGTATCATTGCTAAGGAGGAGTTGAGGTAATTTATTTTTCAGGCCTTTATTCTCAAGGTCACAGATCGTGTGTAATGTTTTGTCACTCAACTTAAACTACAGAGCTGTCATGTTTGACCCCTCATGTTTGACCTCTGAGAGCACTCTGTTTACACTGCACCATGATGCAAAGTGTTGATATTGATGATGCAGTATCTACGATGTTGTCATGATCTCACTTTAGACTTTCATTTCCTGTGTATAAATTATGATCTGGTAAGATTTTATGAAAATGTGTTCATGCTAATATCTATTGCACCCTTTGTATTCTTTATTCAAATTTGTTAGAAAAAAATATACTAAAATATTTAAATTTTAATGGTAGAGAAAAACATTCTAAAATATTCAAATTTTAATGGTAGAGAAAAACATTCTAAATTATTCAAATTTTAATGGTAGAGAAAAACATTCTAAATTATTCAAATTTTAATGGTAGAGAAAAACATTCTAAATTATTCAAATTTTAATGGTAGAGAAAAATATTCTAAAATATTTAAATTTTAATGGTAGAGAAAAATATTCTGAATCGTACAACTGGTGTGTAAACTGAACACTTTTTGTTCTCTATGTTTATACAGGTAAATCTTTACTCACACCTGAGGAGGAGAGCAATGTATGTGTATTTTACATTGATATGAAATAAGATTACATGTCAGTAGTTTTAATAATAATACATCTAGACCTTATTTTGCTGGGGACTACTTTTAAACACTCGTACAACACTTTCTTTCACCAATGTATTTACTAGATGTGGTAATCACATGGTAATAATCTGTCACCTTATAGGTAAAAATATTAAAAGAATCTGAGTCTTTATTTTTTTTTTGTTTACATTTATTTTCTAAATATACACTACTTTAATGTTGGTTTTTTGTTTTCTCTTTTTAGAAGAAAATAACTTTATACCAGGCAGACTTTAAGTATGTATGTTATTCAGTAGATCTACGATACCATCCTTGTTAATCTACCATACTTGTTGTTACAGATATTGGGTATTGATGTCAGATTTGTCCTAAATGCCAGCTGGTACCCAGTGAGAGAATCAGTCACAGTGGTTATAGAAATTCTAAGTTGATATATAGTATAATGTTATCTCGGATATCTACGAATGATATTCTTTGTCTCATTGTGTAATAAGTGTTCAGTCGAGTTGTACGTGTCAAACATTAATGTAATATCTTGTTAGTGACATCTCTCTTATATTGTTTAGTATTTATTGATAGTTAAAAAAGATGATCAAATAAAGGATATGTTAAATGCTTTCTGGTTTATGTTTCTTTATAAAGAATCTGAGATGTGTTCATGGTTGATAAACCAAAGTTGTTTAAAGTGCCTACTTGTCAACTCTACTTCTCAAAAGAGGGAGAAATGTTCTATTTGACAAATTAGTGGTAAAATATTAAAGCTGTGTATTTACTTAAAGTTTACAGTAAAAGTACAGGAGATTTGATCCAATAACAAAAGGACCATGGTCGTTAACGGTCATCTTGACATGTTGACTGAAATTAATTTTGTCATTGAAGTCCTGTCTTTTGGGGTTGAATCATCTTTATGTATTTAAGACAGGTTTTTTTCCTTAAGGATAGTTCAAAGATATTCAGTCCCATTTCTTCATGGCTTTGTGGCAGGAGTAGTGTTAGTGTAGTCTAAGCTTAAGTGGGTCATGATACCGACGATGGAGGTGTCATTAAATTTGGTAATTAAAAGATTGCCCTAACCCAAAGATGCACCAAACCAAATTTTGGTGAAATCCACAAAGGCATGAAGGAAGTGTAGCATTTCAAGCAAATTCCAGGTAAGTCAACCCTTTAGAATCTGCCCCTTAGCCACCTGGGGGGAAATAAAAATTCAAAATTATAGGAAATTATTGCAAACCAAATTTGAATGAAATCCATTCAAGCATTAAGGAAAAGTTGCGTTCTGTAGCTAACACCACCAATTATGTTTCAGACCAGTTGAAATCACTAAGGGGTGTTTTATTGCAAAATCTTGCATAATTTCCCCTTTTGGGACCCGTCCCAAGGGGTCAAATCAACTTTCTGAATATAACAAATGATTGCCCTTGCTAAATGATAGATCAGATGAAATTTGTTGAAATCCACCATGGACTGAAAGAGGAATAGCATTTTAAAGGAAATGTTTACGGACAGCGGATTACAACGCGAATTGGATCCTTCAGGCCTTTGGGTCAGACAAGCTATAAGTAGGAGTGATAGGTACAGGGTGGCCAATTGTTGCTAAAAGTAGCCTTTTATTTATCAATTCTAAACCAGTTTTATTCTAGGAAATATACAAAGCTTCTACAACTTTATATCTAGTCAGCTATCTATAGTCTGCCTGTTTCACATCTCGGTGGGAATATCATAGACTGGTAATGCACTCAGCTTTCACCTAGCTGTCCGGGGTTTGACTCCTGGAACGGACCTGAAATGTAAGGGTCACCTGCCCAACCATGTGGGTTTTCCCTGGGTACTCCAGTTTCCTTCCACAATAAGACCCCTCACACACTTATAGTCAGGCCAATAAGAGTGATTAGTATAAGATCAAAAAACTTGTTTTACAGTTGTTGGAAAATAAATAAACTTTATATATTCAGGTACAGAGTATCAATCACAACAGCTTCAGAGATTTGATGTCTATTATTAACCATCTACTGGTTTCGACCTCTCCGGGCTTCATCTGGACAGGAAGTGTAAAGGAACCCAACACCCAACCTCCCTAGCACGAACGGTGTTGGCTCTACTACGTAAATCCTTCTAACTTTATATCTTATAATTTTAATTCTGTAGATTCAGGGTTACCATTTCAAGGTGTTCCTTCCTGTACAATACATAATTGTACTGACATACCCAGTAGGAGTACAGGTTATAAATAACATAAGTCACTTTCTCTACCAAATATGTCATTTATTGCTCATTGTTTCACTCGATAATGATACAGAGAGTTTTCATTAGCATACTGTAAAGGGTTGATATAATTAACAGACGCTCGACATCACACACATATATAGTCTACGGTCAGACTGACCACAAGTCTCTAGAGTGACCACTTGTCTAAAAGTGACCTATTTATATCTGACACAGTGTCTAAAGTGACCAAGAGTCTTAGATATTACAGTGACCACTTGTCTAAAAGTGACCTATTTATATCTGACACAGTGTCTAAAGTGACAAATAGTCTCAGATATTAAAGTAAACACTTGTCTAAAAGTGACCTATTTATATCTGACACAGTGTCTAAAGTGACAAATAGTCTCAGATATTAAAGTAAACACTTGTCTAAAAGTGACCTATTTATTTCTGACACAGTGTCTAAAGTGACCCATACAACTATGAGTTTCTATACTTACCAATGGACTTAAGTGACCATTGGCCTAAATAACCACTTTGTCTATTTCAGATACAGTTGGTAGGAAACAATATAACAATCACTTATCTTACACCACCTACATACACAATCATGACAAACTGAAGAATGGAAACCTGGCTAGAATGACCACTTGTCTATGGTGACTGACCACATGACTTCACTGATTAAAACCAACAGAATATGATTATCAGGTATGTGTTTAACTGAACATATGACCTATAGATTTTACACATAATGATGTTATCCCACATTACATGCGAAGAACTTGCAGCTTGTTTCTGGCTTAAACGTGAAGGGATGGGCTTATTATAGGACACCGAAATAAGATTTTGTTGTTTAAAGCAATTCTTCTGTACAGCCACAGATATGGATTCTCTGGTGAAACTTATTATTGGATCAACATGGTGAATGAAACTATCTACAATTGTACCAGTGGCCCTAATTCTTTCTCAAAACCACAGTTGGTATGGGTCTTATCAGTCTACAGTTAATTGGTCTAAAACACAATGTCATATGTTTCATGTTGAAAGTTAAATCTTTAAAATGAGCTTTATTGGTTTGAATTTTCAGTCATTGTAGTAGAATAAATAGGATTTGATGGCCTATCTTTATGTTTGTTTAACATGAAATGTTGGTGAGATACTTTCTACAGTACCTAAACCTCGGACATCATTTCAAGGGTTTTCTTGGATACTACATAGCATTACACACCATTCTGATGTTAAATGTTTTTTAAAATGTGTTTGTGGTTAAGCTTCATCTTTAAAACAAGTTTCTACACAAGGAATATATAATACAGTAATATAGGACACTGTACCAGGTCTCCATATGAATATTGTTCTTGTATAGAGAGTTATATTCAATTTTCATATCAAGGCATCTTAATTTTCAAAGAAAAAAATTCTTCACAGTAAAAGTTGTTTCAAGGCTTTAATATAATCTTAATTAATTGTCCTGATAATAAGGGACAAAGGTTTGGTCACTGTAGACAGGTTCTCTCACATACAATTAACAAATTACATACAATGTATTACAATCTTATGCACAAATCTACACAGATTCAACACAGTACATACAATGTATTACAATCTGATGCACAAATCTACACAGATTCAACACAGTACATGCAATGTATTACAATCTGATACAAATACACAGATTCAACACAGTACATACAATGTATTACAATCTGATGCACAAATCTACACAGATTCAACACAGTACATACAATGTATTACAATCTTATGCACAAATCTACACAGATTCAACACAGTACATACAATGTATTACAATCTGATGCACAAATCTACACAGATTCAACACAGTACATACAATGTATTACAATCTGATGCACAAATCTACACAGATTCAACACAGTACAACAATGTATTACAACATGCACAAATCTACACAGATTCAACACAGTACATACAATGTATTACAATCTTATGCACAAATCTACACAGATTCAACACAGTACATACAATGTATTACAATCTGATGCACAAATCTACACAGATTCAACACAGTACATACAATGTATTACAATCTTATGCACAAATCTACACAGATTCAACACAGTACATACAATGTATTAAAATGTTATGCACAAATCTACACAGATTCAACACAGTACATACAATGTATTACAATCTTATACACAGATTTAAACAGATACATTGTACTAAACAAGACACATCTACTTTGCACTTGTATTTCAATGGATATCCTAACACACTAATGTTTACAAACATAAGACAGGTACATACTATTAGACAATTATGATAATTTCAAGCAAAAATGAAAGTAAATTGAAATTGTTTAAGATGACATACATTCTCATCTATATATACTTGCCCTGTATCAGACTATGATGGTCCAACATTTTGGACTTAAATGATAAGTGTACATTTCCTTTGTATTGTGGACATTTTTGTAAAATCTGCTTTACTGTTATGTTTGAACTGAACTAGGAGACTACGGAATACTGGTTACCTCTTACTTTCCTGACCGCTACCGACAGGGTTCTGACTGACCTCTAAATATACTGGAGTCACAGGGTTCTGACTGACCACTACCGATGAGTCACAGGTCACAGGGTTCTGACTGACCCATAGATATACTGGAGTCACAGGTCACAGGATTCTGACTGACCTCTAGATATACTGGAGTCACAGGTCACAGGATTCTGACTGACCTCTAGATATACTGGAGTCACAGGTCACAGAATTCTGTCTGACCTCTAGATATACTGGAGTCACAGGTCACAGGATTCTGACTGACCTGTACCGATATACTGGAGTCACAGGCCACAGAATTCTGACTGACCTCTAGATATACTGGAGTCACAGGTCACAGAATTCTGACTGACCTCTAGATATACTGGAGTCACAGGTCACAGAATTCTGACTGACCTCTAGATATACTAGAGTCATAGGTCACAGAATTCTGACTGACATCTAGATATACTGGAGTCACAGGTCACAGCATTCTGACTGACCTCTAGATATACTGCAGTCACAGGTCACAGCATTCTGACTGACCTCTACAGACTTATAACAGCCAATCAACAAACAACAAAGACAACAGAATTATGAAGTTTTTACAAGTCCTGTTTAGAATTGTCTCCCCTTATCATGTGAACCTTCACTTCAAAATTAATTTTTGAAAATTGATCCTATAAACTTTGAGTCCATTTTTCAACATGATTTTCTGAGAAAATGACATGTAAGATGGGTACAAAGCCGTTTGTAATCTTTGTATAGAGATAAATCACAGTGAACATAAATACACACAAAAATCAGACATAGATTAGAGAGGACAAAAGGGCACACTTATCTTATATATCATTAATGGAGGAATGCTTTACTGAGCTACATTAAAATGTTTTATACAAAAATACATTTAAAAATATTGTTTTTAATATTTACTTCCAATTGAAAGAAAATCAATAAAAATTATTCTACATATATCAAATTATTTACAATGAAAACAAATTATATTCTGATTTATCCCAGCTAGCTGATGAAGCTTTTCGTGATGCAGCTGTTTATAACATAAAAAAAAGCTGCTTACTATCACAAGCAAAAAACTACACTATTATACAAAAGCTATCCTCCTCCCACTATGGACTGGATCATCAACAGAAACTTAATGTCAGAATTGAGAAATAATGTATATATGAATAACGAAACGCATGTTTCAAACAAGACGGAAGTCAATAAAACTCTTCTTCGTGGATATTAATTAAGAAGATTAATTTTTCTTTTTTTAACAAAACATTCTGTCAAATGTCTTTTGAGCAAAAGTAATTTTAAATATTAGTAAGAATATTTTAAGGGATATCATATTCCAGGCATACAGAAATTAAAACAACCCCTAATAACTTTGTATCACCTGCAGTGACACATCAGACGATTTGGAAAGTCTCTATTACATGATATGCTGCTCATTTTTCTTGTTTTTTCTAATAGTTGAATTTTCATTGCTCTGGAAATATGGATTGTGTTTCTGGGCAAATATTGTGTTGATGGATGGGAAAATAAGCCTAGTGTAGAATACTATGTAACAACAAAATTCTATAATGATCATTTAATGATATAAAGTGGGACTGGTTCAGACAAATTTTCATGTCCAGGTACCTAAAGAGTACAATTTATGTCCAACTACAGCGTTCGTAGGCCCTGGATTGGAATGCCAGCCTTTTCCTCTTTCCAATTACTTCCTAACATCTTTGGTAATCATTTGAAATCAAGTTTCTTTCTCAATGTCATCAAACATTTGAGAAAGGTCCCACTTAGGTAAAAACCTTGTATTTATTACAGTTACAATTTGATACATCAATGCCTGTGCCATATTCTTCCTGCAATAAGCCCAGAGGAGGCAAAGACATTACATCTGTACAATGTCAGGGGGTGGGCTTATTACAGAACAATGAAAAAGCATTTGTGGAAAATGCTGCTTACGACCAAAGCTATGGGTAGACTAGCATTAATTGGAATTGTTGTTGAAGGTCAAAAGCTATAGGTAGGCTATCATTAATTAGAAATGTTGTTGAAGGTCAAAAGCTACGGATATCGATGCTGGATACATGTAATAACTATGTAATAACTATATAAATATACATATTGTACATAGAAGACTTAAGGTATAGCCCAGCCATCCCCTGTTAAATAATTAAACTAAAGGCATATATACAGTCTACAGTGATTCTCCACTAAACGAGTATTTATCTTATAAAACTGGACAGATTCTAGTAATAAAACTTTAAAAAGTAATTCTTTTTTTAGAATTTCAGCGAGACATGATACTACATCATCATGTAATCTGTTGTTAAAGAAGAATTTTAACAATCAAGATATTTCTCATGTAGGGTATGTATTCCTCTTTTTGAATGCTTTTCTTTATACAACAGAAAATATCACAGCAGGACTGTTAAACCCTGCAATTTGGTTTATCATTGAAGGAATGTGATGTAAATTTCATGCAGATGAGAAACTCTATTCCAAAAATCATCTGAAAAAAAATCTTATTTGTTGAAAAAAAATATGTGTAAATGAAAAGATGATCCATACCAAGGTAAAAAAACATGGAAAAAGCAAATGCTTTTCTATAGTATAGCAAAATGTACAACAGCAGGAGGCTGTCCCTATTAAGTATAGCTTGTACAGTCCTAACATGACTGGGTGACGAATTAGACATAAAATTGCAGGATCACTAGATGTAATCCTTATAGAACTTTTCAGGATAAGCAACACAATGAGTTTTAAAAAAAATCATAAAAAAAAAAAAAATTATCTAGGAAATAGTGCTTATATAACAATGATATATATATATCTTATAAACTGGGACCTTATCCTTGTGGGGAGCAGTTTAATCAAAATCAAAACTTCATCGAAGAAAATCTTGTATTAGTGAAAAAAGATTAGTCTGAAAATGAAAACAACAGTACTTTAAGTTAGTGTTTCTTTTCTCAGTATAATACTTAGTGAGTACTCCCAAAAAACACATCAAACAAACGGTAAAAACAACGAAACAAAGCAGGATGGTGTTACCATGGTAACTCACATGTTATATTCAGGAAGACAAAAAACCATAAACCACTCAATTTCTTCATAAAAACAACTACATACATCATGTGATTACACTATAGTGGTTCTCAATCCATGCACATGTACTTTAAAACAGTTGTTTGTTGAAAATTAAAATTTCCAGACGTTTATCCGTAATTTTAGACCTACATAATATTGTTAATATTTTATTTCATATAAGGAAAAATAATTGTTTTGATTTTTTTACTTCACTATTTTGGCTTATTACACTATACAAACAATAATACTACAAGATACCAGGACCTGTGTACTGAAAAGTCTATATCAATGCCGATATTCTTTTCCTGTGAAACATTTTTGTATAAAAAAAATTTCATCAATTAAAAAAAAACTGTGACAAAAACTTTATTGATATTGTCTTGTTCAATGCCACCTATGCAACATAGCTGGTTTTCCCTGATTTTTCCCCCTTATGCACAAATAAACACAAATACAACCATTCATGCATGAGAACAGTGGAAAAAGTGCTGTATAACATTAATTAAGTTAATTCAAATCCCAAAAAGTCGCATGTTGTGCTACAGATTTCTTTCAATTCGTGCGTATTACAAATATTATCTATGTCTGGTCTGTCTTATCATTAACCTAAAACATTAATTTATCATATTTAATTTCTCTTCATCAATAATTATATACAGCTCTGCATTCACTGAAGCTTGCATTGTAATATATCGTACCTACACAGTTTCACATTAGAGTATAAAGCAAGCTGTCGTCCTCCACTGAGTTTTCTGTATCATCAACGTCTCATATATATCTATACAACACAACTAATTTCACATCATGTCACAGATACAGAAATATACAATGTATATATCTATACATATATATTTACAAATTCAATCATTTTTTTTTAATTTCCTACATTCAATATTTTAAATATAGTACTAGTACAACATCTCTCTTGTCCATTCATTATCTTACATACAAAAACCAAAAATGTCCAGGATTTATGTGTCATAAGACAATCAACACGACAGAGAGAATCTGGCCAGATTTGAAATATCCAGGACCTGTGTGACAAAACTATTGGCACAGCAGAGAAAATCTTACAAGACTTGAAATGTCCAGGACATGTGTGACAAAACTATTGACACAGCAGAGAAAATCTTACAAGACTTGAAATGTCCAGGACCTGTGTGACATAACCATTGGCACAGGAGAGAGAATCTGACCAGATTTGAAATGTCCAGGACCTGTGTGACAAAACTATTGACACAGCAGAGAAAATCTGGCCAGATTTGAAATATCCAGGACCTGTGTGACAAAACTATTGACACAGCAGAGAAAATCTTACAAGACTTGAAATGTCCAGGACATGTGTGACAAAACTATTGACACAGCAGAGAAAATCAGGCCAGACTCCCTGTATCTAGTAGCACTATTTTACGTGTGTGTCTTTGTTTTTTTCACACTGCCTCACATGAAAATAATTCATGGCGTGGCACTTTAAGACATGGCTAAAACTAATCAACAATATACCTAATAAAAACTTTAAGAGAAAACCCCTGAAGTAATAATTTTCCCTTTCAAGAGCAACATCAATGACAACTTTAAAATTTAAACATTATTAATTTTTAATTATAACATGTAGATTTTAAATCATTTTCTATCCTGGACAAGAATAATGATGGTTTAATTCTTTATAATAAGCATCACATACAAAAAACGTTAAGGTCTAACAGCACTTCTTTTTCTTTAAGTTGCCTCCTCCTCGTGTCAAATGGATGCCCCCTCTATCTTCCTGTGGTTGATCTGCAGCTTTCTTCATTTGTTCTTTCTTGGTTACTAACACTAGTTTTGTGATACCAATAAACATCTGTAAAAACAAAGTTTAAACATCTTTATTTAATCTTAAACAGTGAATTACTGAATATCAGGGTTTTTTCACCAGTGTCTAATTTTTGATGTTTTTACCTGAAGATTGCATAGTGAATATTGTCAACTCGTGTATATTCATGACAGGGTTTTTCATGCCAGCGTCTAATTTTCGCAACTTTTACTAAAAGACTGCATAGCAAATATGATCAACTCATGAACATTTCTACCCGTTTTTGTTATTTCTAATCTAGCTGATGTTTTTATTGTCCTGTTTTGTTCACCTACCTCCTCTACATTAGTATTTTCTTTGGCACTCGTTTCAAATAGCTGTATCCCCATTTGTTCTGCAAATCTCTGGGCATCTGCAGTCAGGACAACCTTCCTATCTGGGTCATCATCTTTGTTTCCCACTAAAAGTACAACATCAAAATTCTTCAGTCCATCATACTGAAATGGCATGTCATACTTTTAAAGGAATAGGTACAACTAGGGACTGACTGAGGGGAACCTACATATGAAATCTGACAAAGTTCCATCATGTAATTCTCAAGAAATAGTGACAACAAACTTTCATTGTTGAAATCCAAGATGGCTGCCTGTCAATCACATTAACATGTAACCCATTAGCCTTCAAAGTGGACACATCCAATCCATTTTACCCAATTTCCACAACAAACAGCTTCTAATACTCAAATCCAAACACTGACAGTGATCACCGTGATAATAAGTAAATATCATTTCTTTTTAACAAGTTCAACCTGTGTGACCTTGAATAGGAGTCAAAGTGATTTCTTTTCTCAAACTTTGTCTGACTTCATCCTGGGAACCTATCCGGCAAATAACATGCTTCTGCACCTTTGGATTATTCAGAAGAAGTTTTTAACAAATCTGACCCTTATGACCTTGAATATGGGTCAAGGTCATCTCTTTTCACAAATTTGGTCAGGCTTCATCCCAGCAACCCACCAGTCAAATACCATGACATTTGGTTTGTTGGTAATTGTGAAGAAGTCAATTAAAAGGAAAAATTGTCACAACAGGGAATAAGCTCACTCGGCCCTTCAGCTGTCGGATGTATAATGATTTAGAAGAATTCACAAAGGGATTGAAAGTCCATTTTTAACATTCATCGGTATGGGTGGCAGTACAAAAGTAAATATAACGTCATGAAAGAGAACTTGACAAACTTACCTAAAATTCTGTTCACTACATCACAATTTTGGTCGATTTCATGCAGCCAACGTTTTACATTCGCAAATGACTCTCCACTGGAAACATCATACACAACTATGACACCATGGGTTCCCCGGTAGTACCTGTGGTATATAAACAACTCAAAGCTAGAAAATTATCTCCCTTTGTCTATTCTAAGAACTAACTATATCCTATGTCAAAGCAAATATATACATATTCATTCCCAAATAATTTATAGGAGAAGTACTTATTAGTGAATATGCCATGTAAAATAGTATTGTACAAAAGGCAAGTTACCTGTACATAGTATAATAAAAATATGACACTTGTATTATTGATCTGAAAGACATTGGTGTGATTGTGTTTATAGATTTGAGATAATTATGTTGATGTGATTGTGTTATGGATTCAGGTGACTCACATTGATGTGATGGTGTTTATAGATTTGAGTGACTCACATTGTTGTGATTGTGTTTATGAATTCAGGTGACTCACATTGATGTGAGGTGTTTATAGATTTGAGTGACTCACATTGTTGTGATTGTGTTTATGAATTCAGGTGACTCACATTGATGTGATGGTGTTTATAGATTTGAGAGGCTCACATTGATGTGATTGTGTTTATGAATTCAGGTGACTCACATTGATGTGATGGTGTTTATAGATTTGAGTGACTCACATTGTTGTGATTGTGTTTATGAATTCAGGTGACTCACATTGATGTGATTGTGTTTATAGATTTGAGTGACTCACATTGATGTGATTGTGTTATGGATTTGGATGATTCACATTGATGTGATGGTGTTTATGGATTCAGGTGACTCACATAGATGTGATGGTGTTATGGATTCAGGTGACTCACATTGATGTGATGGTGTTATGGATTCAGGTGACTCACATTGGTGTGATGGTGTTTATAGATTTGAGATAATTATGTTGATGTGATTGTGTTATGGATTCAGGTGACTTACATTGATGTGATTGTGTTTATAGATTTGAGATAATTATGTTGATGTGATTGTGTTATGGATTCAGGTGACTCACATTGCTGTGATGGTGTTTATAGATTTGAGAGAATTATGCTGAAGTGATTGTGTTATGGATTTGAATGACTCACGTTGATGTGATGGTGCGGAATCGTTCCTGGCCAGCTGTGTCCCAGATCTGTAGTTTGACTTTTTCTCCATTAACATCCACAGTTCTAATTTTAAAGTCTACTCCTATTGTTGTTATATATGTACCTGGAAGAACAACAAAACACCAGTCATAATTACCATAACTTGTTTGAGGTAGATAAGTTATCAAGTCCAGTTAAAGAGAAATCACAGTGATAAGGGTATATCATGTGTGTATGTGTACGGTATACCTTCATCTTTGTAATTACTGGATTAAGCCAGGTAAAGAGTGTTATAGCTATTTCTTTAGAAGTACTGGATGGATCTCTCTCAAATTTATACATAGGTCCCTCTTGGTCCCTAGCTATGCCTGTTTGATATTGAGACTAATAGTAAAACCTTGTTAGTTTGTAGATTTATTGATCTGTGAAAAGCCATTTGAGGTGGGGAATCCTTGTTAATAGCAGTTGGTGGCTACTGAACAACATATGTAAAGACTTTCACATGAAATACACAGTAATTATGGTAGGATGTCCTGCCTTACAACACAACCTTGACAACTGCTGATTCTTCGAAAATGGGATGGGTGATACATAGAAAACAGTAAACCACAAATCTCAGATCTTCGTCCGAAGTTGTGTAGGTCGACCATCTACCAAACGAGATATCACGACAATTCTGATTAGTTGATCTGTCTTTGATTAATATATGTACAGTAAGGAATACAAAATATATCCATTGCCAGACCTCTGTGTATATGTGTGTGTAACAGTAAAACTAAAGATATGTCGCTGGTCGTGGTCACAAGTTTAAGAGAATTAATGATAAAAGGGTCTGGTTTCAAAATTCTCAACAAATTCTATAAGCAGTGTTAAGGAGGAGGAGAAGGGTTGCTATGATAGAGACTGACATTCACAGGAACATTGCACTCATGTATTGCTAAGTAAACAAACAGCACTAAACAGGAACAAACAAATTAATGACAACTATTCCACAGCTTTTAATCATGGCCACAGTTAATGTAGGTGGTTATACGATCATAAAGCTGTAGTGAGGTGTTACCTGTAATGATACCTAGGAGGACGTCTGTGAGACTGTCTCACACAGCTAACAGAATAGACCTGGGACACTAGGAGACTGTATGTAGGACTGTCTCACACAGCTTACAGGCTAGACCTGGGACACTAGGAGGATGTCTGTGGGGCTGTCTCACACAGCTAACAGACTAGACCTGGGACACTAGGAGACTGTATGTGGGACTGTCTCACACAGCTAACAGACTAGACCTGGGACACTAGGAGGACGCCTGTGGGGCTGTCTCACACAGCTTACAGACTAGACCTGGGACACTAGGAGGACGTCTGTGGGGCTGTCTCATACAGCTAACAGACTAGACCTGGGACACTAGGAGACTGTATGTGGGACTGTCTCACACAGCTAACAGAATAGACCTGGGACACTAGGAGACTGTATGTAGGACTGTCTCACACAGCTTACAGGCTAGACCTGGGACACTAGGAGGACGTCTGTGGGGCTGTCTCACACAGCTAACAGACTAGACCTGGGACACTAGGAGACTGTATGTGGGACTGTCTCACACAGCTAACAGACTAGACCTGGGACCTAGGAGGACGCCTGTGAGGCTGTCTCACACAGCTTACAGACTAGACCTGGGACACTAGGAGGACGTCTGTGGGGCTGTCTCATACAGCTAACAGACTAGACCTGGGACACTAGGAGACTGTATGTGGGACTGTCTCACACAGCTAATAGACTAGACCTGGGACACTAGGAGATTGTATGTGGGACTGTCTCACACAGCTAACAGACTAGACCTGAGACACTAGGAGGACGCCTGTGGGGCTGTCTCACACAGCTTACAGACTAGACCTAGGACACTAGGAGACTGTATGTAAGACTGTTTCACAAAGCTTACAGAATAGACCTGGGACACTAGGAGGACGTCTGTGAGACTGTCTCACACAGCTTACAGACTGAACCTGGGACACTAGGAGGACGCCTGTGGGGCTGTCTCACACAGCTAACAGACTAGACCTGGGACACTAGGAGGACGCCTGTGGGGCTGTCTCACACAGCTTACAGACTAGACCTGGGACACTAGGAGACTGTATGTAAGACTGTCTCACACAGCTAACAGACTAGACCTGAGACACTAGGAGGACGCCTGTGGGGCTGTCTCACACAGCTTACAGACTAGACCTGGGACACTAGGAGACTGTATGTAAGACTGTCTCACACAGCTTACAGACTAGACCTGGGACACTAGGAGGACGTCTGTGAGACTGTCTCACACAGCTTACAGACTGAACCTGGGACACTAGGAGACTGCATGTGGGACTGTCTCACACAGCTTACAGAATAGACCTGGGACACTAGGAGACTGCATGTGGGACTGTCTCACACAGCTTACAGACTAGACCTGGGACACTAGGAGACTGTATGTGGGACTGTCTCACACAGCTTACAGACTAGACCTGGGGCACTAGGAGACTATGTGGGACTGTCTCACACAGCTAACAGACTAGACCTGGGACACTAGGAGACTGTATGTGGGACTGTCTCACACAGCTAACAGACTAGACCTGGGACACTAGGAGACTGTATGTGGGACTGTCTCACACAGCTAACAGACTAGACCTGGGACACTAGGAGAATGTATGTGAGACTGTCTCACACAGCTAACAAACTAGACCTGGGACACTAGGAGACGGTATTGTCTCACACAGCTAACAGACTAGGCCTAGGACACTAGGAGGACACCTGTGGGGCTGTCTCACTCAGCTTACAGACTAGACCTGGGACACTAGGAGACTGTATGTTGGACTGTCTCACACAGCTTACAGACTAGACCTGGGACACTTGGAGACTGTATGTTGGACTGTCTCACACAGCTTACAGACTAGACCTGGGACAACTTTGACCTTGAGGGACAGATCAATATGAAGAACTTTTACTACAGTGTAATGTATACATCAATAGCAGCCTGTCTTGTTAACCATACAAGATGTTTTCTTACACTGTAATTCACAATAGAGGGTTGGGATATATCATATGCGACTTCCATTGGTCAATACACAGAACAAATTTCTTTCGAAGGGTCCACATTTAATGGTCAAATCCAAAGCATGGAAATATGGAGTTTACCATGTGACCCACATGTTGATCTAGGTTTTAGGAGAATCCCTTTGCAGAAGTGAAATATAGAAGAAAGATCTTATCAAATGAGTATCAAAGAGGAAAGTCTAAGCTGAGGTACATGATGCTAACACAGATTACCATGAGAGTCCAGGCTGAGGGAAAACCCACATTAATCTGATTTTTAGCCTAAGCTGAGGTACAAAATGCTAACACAGATTACCATGAGAGTCCAGGCTGAGGGAAAACCCACATTAATCTGATTTTTAGCCTAAGCCAAGGTACATGATGCTAACACAGATTACCATGAGAGTCCAGGCTGAGGGAAAACCCACATTAATCTGATTTTTAGCCTAAGCCAAGGTACATGATGCTAACACAGATTACCATGAGAGTCCAGGCTGAGGGAAAACCCACATTAATCTGATTTTTAGCCTAAGCCAAGGTACATGATGCTAACACAGATTACCATGAGAGTCCAGGCTGAGGGAAAACCCACATTAATCTCATTTTTAGCCCAAGCTGAGGTACATGATGCTAACACAGATTACCATGAGAGTCCAGGCTGAGGGAAAACCCACATTAATCTGATTTTTAGCCTAAGCCAAGGTACATGATGCTAACACAGATTACCATGAGAGTCCAGGCTGAGGGAAAACCCACATTAATCTGATTTTTAGCCTAAGCCAAGGTACATGATGCTAACACAGATTACCATGAGAGTCCAGGCTGAGAGCAAACCCACATTAATCTGATTTTTAGCCTAAGCCAAGGTACATGATGCTAACACAGATTACCATGAGAGTCCAGGCTGAGGGAAAACCCACATTAATCTGATTTTTAGCCTAAGCCAAGGTACATGATGCTAACACAGATTACCATGAGAGTCCAGGCTGAGGGAAAACCCACATTAATCTGATTTTTAGCCTAAGCCAAGGTACATGATGCTAACACAGATTACCATGAGAGTCCAGGCTGAGGGAATGTGGTTCTATTTTAATTACCTACAGATGACAGACAATATTACCTACAGATGATAGACAATATAACTTTGATATGTGGTTCTATTTTAATTACCTACAGATGACAGACAATATAACTTTGATATGTGGTTCTATTTTAATTACCTACAGATGACAGACAATATTACCTACAGATGACAGACAATATAACTTTGATATGTGGTTCTATTTTAATTACCTACAGATGACAGACAATATTACCTACAGATGACAGACAATATAACTTTGATATGTGGTTCTATTTTAATTACCTGTGGCTCTATTTTAATTACCTACAGATGACAGACAATATTACCTACAGATGAGAGACAATATAACTTTGATATGTGGTTCTATTTTAATTACCTATAGATGACTGACAATATAACTTTGATATGTGGTTCTATTTTAATTACCTATAGATGACAGACAATATAACTTTGATATGTGGTTCTATTTTAATTACCTACAGATGACAGACAATATTACCTACAGATGATAGACAATATAACTTTGATATGTGGTTCTATTTTAATTACCTACAGATGACAGACAATATTACCTACAGATGATAGACAATATAACTTTGATATGTGGTCCTATTTTAATTACCTACAGATGACAGACAATATAACTTTGATATGTGGTTCTATTTTAATTACCTACAGATGACAGACAATATTACCTACAGATGATAGACAATATAACTTTGATATGTGGTTCTATTTTAATTACCTATAGATGACAGACAATATAACTTTGATATGTGGTTCTATTTTAATTACCTACAGATGACAGACAATATTACCTACAGATGACAGACAATATAACTTTGATATGTGGTTCTATTTTAATTACCTACAGATGACAGACAATATAACTTTGATATGTGGTTCTATTTTAATTACCTATAGATGACAGACAATTCTGATATGTGGTTCTGATTTTAATTAATTACCTACAGATGACAGACAATATTACCTACAAATGATAGACAATATAACTTTGATATGTGGTTCTATTTCAATTACCTACAGATGACAGACAATATTACCTACAGATGACAGATGACAGACAATATAACTTTGATATGTGGTTCTATTTTAATTACCTACAGATGACAGTTTATATACCTAGGGAGGTGATAGACGTTTATATAAGGGATGACTGTGTATAAAGTTCTATTTTAATATTACCTACAGATGACAGACAATATAACTTTGATATGTGGTTCTATTTTAATTACCTACAGATGACAGATTTGAATGGTTTATAAAATTGTCATCAATATGGATGCAGAATAAGATGTCTCCACTAAAGTACATCTCAAAGTTTTTGGACCATCAAAAAATAAAGGCAACACATAGCATGTAAACCAATCCAGTTTCTGATTGTCGAGTCTTTGAAGAGCTCCACTCGGGTGGTTGTAGCGCCCGAGAGCTTTGAAGACCTCCACTCGGGTGGTTGTAGCGCCCGAGAGCTTTGAAGACCTCCACTCGGGTGGTTGTAGCGCCCGAGAGCTTTGAAGAGCTCCACTCGGGTGGTTGTAGTGCCCGAGACCTTTGAAGAGCTCCATTCGGGTGGTTGTAGCGCCCGAGAGCTTTGAAGAGCTAAACTCGGGTGGTTGTAGTGCCCGAGAGCTATATATGAAATTATGTATGTGATAATTTTAATTTACTAATATTCTTCTAATGTTTAACAAGAAAACAGCTAGAAAATATCTGCAAGAATTGAATCCTCCTACTTCCATTCGTGTAAATATAATTGTTAGACAAATTTACAAAAGTTGTCAAAAGTGACCTTTGACCCATTCACCTTGACTTATGACCACCTTTACTACATAAGGTGAAGAACCTGATGTTATGATACTTTAACAAATATATGAACAAAGTCTGTTGAGAGGTTCTCAAGACATGATAGAGCAGAACATGACAGGACAGACAGATAGCACTACATAACCAATTACCCTGATCCTTCATGTCATGTCACATGGTTTAATATCTAAGTTTCATTGGATAGGGATTAAAACCCTAACATCCCTAATTCTTAACAACCTCTTCATTAATTAGCTACGGTTGTCTGAAAACTCAGCTTTATTGATGATGTAAACATTAGCATTTCATTATTATTTATTTCTTAAAAATGATCAAATTATTTTAAACAAAATTATCTAAAATGAAAAAGGCTGGGGTCCAGACTTCACTGACAAGCTGTATCAGTTGTTTGTTTCTGGTACAGGGTCCTTCATCACAATTACAATAAACTTTAACTTATAAGCTTCAGGTAAAATATCTGACAGAGAATTACTGATGGACTGCCAACACAGGAAGGGGTGAGGACAACGGACAGAATTACTGATATACTCACAACACAGGAAGGTATGAGGACAACGGACAGAATTACTGATAGACTCACAACACAGGAAGGTGTGATGACAACGGACAGAATTACTGATATACTCAAGAAACAGGAAGGTATGAGGACAACGGACAGAATTACTGATATACTCAAAACAGAGGAAAGTGCGAGGACAACAGACAGAATTACTGATAGACAAGGAACAGAGGAAGGTGTGAGGACAACAGACAGAATTACTGATAGACTCACAACACAGGAAGGTATGAGGACAACAGACAGAATTACTGATGGACTGCCAACACAGGAAGGGGTGAGGACAACGGACAGAATTACTGATGGACTGCCAACACAGGAAGGTGTGAGGACAACGGACAGAATTACTGATGGACTGCCAACACAGGAATGGGTGAGGACAACGGACAGAATTACTGATATACTCACAACACAGGAAGGTGTGAGGACAACGGACAGAATTACTGTTATACTCACAACACAGGAAGGTGTGAGGACAACAGACAGAATTACTGATAGACTCGGAACAGAAGAAGGTGTGAGGACAACGGACAGAATTACTGATAGACTCACAACACAGGAAGGTGTGAGGACAACGGACAGAATTACTGATATACTCACACACGAAGGTGTGAGGACAACGGACAGAATTACTGATATACTCACAACACAGGAAGGTGTGAGGACAACAAACAGAATTACGGATAGACTCAGAACAGAGGAAGGTGTGAGGACAACGGACAGAATTACTGATATACTCACAACACAGGAAGGTGTGAGGACAACGGACAGAATTACTGATATACTCAGAACACAAGAAGGGGTGAGGACAACGGACAGAATTATTGATGGACTCCCAACAGAGACAAAGGTGAAGACATGTGACAGAGAGTTATTGACAGGGATGAAGACACTATAGTTTAACACAGTAATTAAATCTTATGTCATATATAAGTAAATAAATTACATCTTCAGTATGAGTTTCTATTTCATATGAGATTTGATGAAATGAGTCGAAAACATTTTATTCAAGTTACACATAATAAACTTTGTGCTCTTCAGTGTTTAAAAGGGAATGTTAACTTCTATTTATAGTAATTAAAACTACAATCATAATGAATTTGTACATTTTCCCCGACATCACAACAGATTCCAGGAATTCATGGACAACAAACAAGATAAGAGAATGCTGTGACAGATTATAGAAGAAAATAAAACTGCTAACTTAACTGATAATTGTGATTTTTTTTATGTCTTGTCTAGGAAATTACTGCTTAATACTTTTTGTGTGTGACAAAAAGAAATACAAACATGATAAGACAGAATTGATAGAGAAGCCTCCTTTATCTGTTTGATCTATGATCAAGTGAAGAAACATCTGACATAATGTTTGATGTTGATGTTATACAACAATGTCACCTGTTCTATAGAACCACATACACACACAGTAGAAGTGTCTACATATCTAACACTGAGAGATGTTTAGGGACCTATATGTCCGAGTCCTGGACTCATGCTTTCCCGGTTTAGAGATTCACCCTGATGCAGGAGAACCCACTATATATATAATGTACTGTAGTATTGGCATTTATCATAATTTTCTAACTGGTGTTCTGGATTAACTTGAAAGTCCCTACAAAAAAGAGACTAACCATGCTTTTACATTTCAAAGCAGGTTCTGTATTCTTTTATATATCACAAGTCTACAAACCAGTCGGCATGCTTTTGAACTACATGTAACTCTTTTTCAGCATATGTTTAGGCTAACACAAATATTTTACCTTAAAGCCCCAATATACGTAACATTCACCAAAAATTTAGTGTAGAATCACACATAATTATTGAGATATTCTCTAAGATGTAGTTAAAATTAAGTTATTCAAACAATAGTTACCATGACTTTGTGCATAAAGTATTGATATATGAGCAGTTGAAACTCGCTATTTGTAAACACACCTCCATTTTAAACACGCCGCCATCGAAATTACGATTGTTGCCGAACCACGTCGGAAAGTTCATGACCTGATCTCGCGAGAGTTGAGGTTTCTACTTATAGAGGAAGCACATGTAGATATGTCTACGGTAAGGTTTTGTTTACAAACATTGTTTGCGAAGTCTTGTCGTAGACTTGAGGTATTCCTGTGATAAACATTCAGTTTTTGGGAAATTATTAGAAGGAATGATTAGTTTAGAAACGATACGACGCACAATTATAACGTAAGAATTCAGAACTGGCCTGATGTATGATTGGAAAAAAAGGAAGCGACTGGTGGACGTCTATACTGTGTCTGCCATGTTTACACACGTGGAATATGCGCATGCGCAATATCATCGCTACGAGCGGTAATATATGAATTATTGTGGGTCCCACATTGTTTATTTTCCGATTTTTTCAATTTTTATTTAAATTGAAAACAGTCAGTTTTATTTTCTTTAATTAAAGGAAAGTATTTGTTTTGTTACATATATTACGGGGAAAATAAGATAAAGTTTGTTTTTTTATAGTGATTTTTACGTATATTGGGGCTTTAAAATCTTAACATTAATCCCCTCACTTATTTGTCAAATAGATGAGAATACTCAAAACTGGAACTTTCATCTAAAATTATGGTAACTTACAATAAGGCCACCTATATCAAGGTCACCTATATATTAATTATATGTGATTGCTTGTGTCTGGTATCATAAAGCATCAACTTCCTGCCATTCATGACCCGTACATATGTACATACCAGAATAGTTATACATTAAACAGCTTTATATAAATTACTCACCTGAAAAGGTATTATCGGAAAACCGTAGCAACAAACTGCTTTTTCCTACACCTGAAAAAGAAGAAAAAAGAAACGTAAAATCACTATGATATAGCTGTGTATAGTAACAATTCACAACTTGATATTGTAGTGGAATAGAGCTTATTTCATTTGTACACTATATTTAGAGTATACATGTGCTAAGAAATGCCTTTAAAAGTTGATATTTTCCTCAACTGAACGTAAAAGAGAAAGTCAGAGATTATCCTACAAAAGATTCATCATTTACTCCAAGTTTTCCTGTCTACCACTGGGCTTTCTACAGGATCAATTTGGTAAGCATAATTGTTTTAACATCTTCATTTTAAAAGTGGCCTACCAAGAGATTGTAAAGATTGATATCGTTCTGTTTTCTGTGAACATCCTGAGTAGAGTTCTATATCTGGTATAAGGATGACATGCTGTGGGGCCTACAAACATGTCAAACTTTCAATCCATAGTTCTGCTTCTTGTGATCTGATTTTTGAGGTAGAAGCACATCTTCTGGAATGTTTCTCTAATATTAGTCTGATATACTGATTTCAACACCAAACCACCTTGCCAAACAAAGCATTACAAGGCTATTTAATCAAAGAATACAAATTACTAATTTCAATTTGATGTTATGACACACGAAGCTGCACTGCAGTGTTTATAGAGAGATGTAATTACTGAGATTGGTCTCCTGATATCCTTGGGGCACCTGCTTTTATGTTCACGTTCTATGGACTTGTTGTGATACTGTCTTGGAACATGATATAGAAAATCCCAATAAGTGATTAACAAAATTCCAAAATTATCCCTTAAATATTCTTTCAAGGTGAAAAATACTGAGACTTCAATTTGATCTTTTCAGAATGTTTTGTATGTTGTGCTGTATATAAAGATAAATTACATCCAAAAATCAATCCTTACAGATAAATTCTGTAATATTTTCATACATTTACTATGATTTATTCAAGCACTCACTTCTGGCTAGAAATCAAAAATTTAAACTTTGAAATGGTAATCACCAGGTTGAGGCATGTGGCTCTAACACAAAATTTGATTTGAAAGGTTGCAAACTTTAAGTACATCTTCCAGATGTAATTTTTCCTGTTTCAATGACAGGCTGCATCAGAGTATTAGCACTAATTGCATTGCATTATTTATGTATGTACAACATCTCACATGTTCACAAGTTTAAGCTGTGACTTTCCAGATCTAAGTACACTTGTAACCTTAACACACTCAGTAATATATATATATCTTTTGTCTATAAATCAGACTTCAGTGTCGACAGCTCAGCTGGCCCTCTAGAATAACTTTCTTAATTTGGTCAGTAGGTAATTACCCTTCTAATGGAAAACAGCTTTAAACAAACTAAAGTGTGTATACACTACATTAGTTCATTAAAATCTTATCAACTTTATCTACTGTAACTTATCAAATAGCTACAAATAATTTTTAGAAATTGGCATGACAGTTAAATCGCTGACAAAATTCATTATACATGTAGCTTTACTGATAAAATCTGCTTTAATAACTGCATGCAATCAATTAGAATATTTTACTACATAATCTAAGTAATTAGTGTTTTTATGACTAACTTACAATTGACAAAAAATGCACCGGTGTTTCATCTAGGAATAACAGTTTATCTGTAATTTGAGGAAAATCTTCTGACCTCTGATAACACAAGCGCAGGTGTGTATGGATTAAAATATTCTTATTTTTATTATTTATGATGATGCACCATAAAAGCCAGCTGCTGGTCAAATTGACCTTCTAAATCATCAATTTGGCTACGTAAAATTCTCTCAGGGTATTTAACACTCTGACAAATTTAATTTTAGATGACACCAACAGGTTTGTCTGATATGAATTTTAAATTTGTTTCTGTTTAAATCTCATTAAGCACTTCATGATACATCACAAGGACATTGCTTCGCTGGACATGTAATGTTATTCACTTATTATATCACGTTTTATTGATTTACACCTAGTAATAAAATTTTAGTTTTTCTGTAGGACATTGCAGACCAAATGAAATGTGAATATTTTAATGTTATGAAGACACTGAAACTTATATTCCAAGACCGCAAATGTTTGTCTTTCTTATCTTGGGAAATTCATTTGAGAGTTTTCACTTATTTTTCAGAAATACAAATTATATGATAAATAGAATCTAACATTAATGCCATGTGATATGTCACAAGTCTAAAGGTTTTAAGATACATTTCATTCTTAAACTGATTTAAGTATACAAGGCTGTAATAAGGTGATTAATTACACACAGGATTGAATTTAAGTAACCAGCCAGTGAAAAACATACAAACTGGACATTTTCAGTTTTCAAGTTTTGATCTGTGATGTAGTTTGTTACTGTACATGTAATAAAGACTACATTACAACATTATAAATCAATATGAACATGCACCAGCATGTGAGCCATCTCGATCCTTTTCTTTCAAATATATAACAACACCTTGTTACAATATGGATATCTATATTGATATGTTTATACAGTACATGTGAGAATTACAACACCTTTCTGTTACCCTGTAAATTACACTAGTAACACAAGATGGCCCCCATGTGGTGAACAAACACAGCTAAATATTACCTAGTTTCACTTAATTATTCGATACAATGACAAATAGAGCATCTTATTTACAACAAAGTCTACATCATCTTTATCTAAATCTGTAATACATGTCAGTGGTAAATTTTATTACATTTTAAGAGTCTGATATTTTTTCTTGGTCAATAAAAATAAATATCATAAAAGCATGTGTAAGATGAGCATCTATGTAATATATAGAAGTACTTTCTGCGGCTAAATATGATTTAAAATGCTTCTTGCATAATGTGCACACCCAAAAATTCAGCGCACCTAAAATTTCAGTCAAAATCAATCTCTAACACATCAGATCAATGATATCAAGTCCAAAACTTGAAAGAATTTTCCCAGAATTTTTTTCACCCCATAAAGTGACATTTAATAACCTGTTTTATTATATGTACAATACAACTGAAGAAAGAAAAACTGTCTTATGTTTGTGTATCTTTTTCTTTTTTTTTCTTTTAAATCAACCATGTCACGCTGTTATCATCCACTTATCCAATTAATCCTTATTTATCTTACGTACACAAACACTTGTCTTCACACTAGCCCTAACAGTGTTCAGTGTTGAAATCACAAAAAGTCAGAATAAATACACGATAATTGTACATCAGGGAAGAATCCAATGTATTTGTGCCCTGACGAAGACTCACATCTGAGGCGAAAGTAGTTGATCAATGAATACAAATTCCACTCACTGGTGACACTTGGTGTTTAATCAGAAAACATTCCACTCACTGGTGACACTTGGTGTTTAATCAGAAAACATTCCACTCACTGGTGACACTTGGTGTTTAATCAGAAAACATTCCACTCACTGGTGACACTTGGTGTTTAATCAGAAAACATTCCACTCACTGGTGACACTTGGTGTTTAATCAGAAAACATTCCACTCACTGGTGACACTTGATGTTTAATCAGAAAACATTCCACTCACTGGTGACACTTGGTGTTTAATCAGAAAACATTCCACTCACTGGTGACACTTGGTGTTTAATCAGAAAACATTCCACTCACTGGTGACACTTGGTGTTTAATCAGAAAACAAACACCAATAGCCACAATTTTGAGCTGAAATTGTCAATGCCCAAAAACGTTCAATTTGATAAGACTTCAAAAAAATAATCTTCGAAACCATCTCTGAATTTTCTGTTAAAGTTTATTTTACATCACAGAATCTGCATAACACTTAACTATGTATAGGAAGTTTTCAGTACTACCTGCTTTGTAATATAAGCTGTATCACTAGCTGATGAACAGTAAAACATATTTAGATCTGAAATCATTCAACACCTATTTGGTGGTGCCTTATGTCACATCAGCAACTTTTGATCATGAGTAACCAGCATCTGAACCATTCACATACATGTATAACATGCCTGTTAATTATGAAAGACACATCATATGTACTTTATTGTTCAAACTTCTGTGAAGCAATACTCCCTACACAAGATTCAAGTTCTAAAATCCCTAAAGCATAAGAGCTACACAAACCATAGCAAGGGTCAAAGTAAGGAGTCTGTCAACAGCACATAAACAACAGCACATAAACAACAGCACATAAACAACAGCTTCCTGCATTTTAATGTCATTCCCCACAGCTACAGATCAATATCAACATGGCACTGTGACATGTGTATTGAATATCGAAGTACAGGTAATTCTAAGAGTATCAAATAACCAGAGGCAGGCCAGTCAAGAAGCTATTGTCCAATTTTTGTTTTCAGAAATTTCTCTTCTGTTGGTGAATTTAGATCAGTTGAAAAATGGGTCTGCATGAACAGATACAAAGTAAGCCAACAATTTTTAATGCTATTCAAAACGAATAACCAATTCAGAAAAATGGCATGTTCCTGAAATATAGCTACATGTAATCATGCAATGCTCACAGTCCATATGATGGTACTGGAAAAGAGTCGACTATGATTTATATTGTATCTTATTTAGACCTGAGAATCCTGATGGGAACACAGTGTTATATTAACTTTGGTATGTCATGGCATGGAGACAAGGCCTGCACCTATCAGCTTTACTTTAGCCAAATATGAGACAGTGTCAAGGGAAACATTATGAAGGAAAACCTTGATTCACAGTAAAGACAGAAAGATACAAAGTTTGATTACTTTTAAATGAATATTCAACCATAGCAGTAAAGACATAATCAACAAGGAAAAACCGTTTTCAGGAGACCACATCCATTTTACCAAAGAAAAAATTTGAAAATACATTTACAAAGACAACAGCGTGTACCTTACTCAAGACACAAAACATGGATATATATTTACAGTACACACATATATATATATTTACAGTACACACATATATATATATTTACAGTACATATATATATATATATTTACAGTACATATATATATATATATTTACAGTACAAATAAAACATTTAAAACATCAGAATCATAAGTCTGCTAGGACTCATAACATAAATCCTGTATCGCCTTTTTTGTTGTTTCAAGGATTGAGTAGATAGTTTGTACATGTTGTAAAAGGCAATAATCAATATTGTTACCTATTTTTTTCTAGAAATGTTTACCATATAGAAAGAAGCCAATACTTTTGAAACCCTTAAAATATTGGAATATAAGATGTCTACATGTGTATTAGAAATATAATATATATTTTTTCATCAAACATATTCATTACATATATCAGGGTTTTCCTTAATTTTGTTAGTAGTAGGCTTTGTAGTGAAAGTAGGAGGCTGGCCTGTCGTGTACATGTAGTCGTGTACGGAACATTATTTATATGCAGAATCGTGTCCCATTTTATGTTATTTAATATTTGCAGAAAATAAATTCATAAACACTATACAACAGCTGTTATAAATCTAACACTGCATTTAGTCTGGAAATCAAAACAACTGTAAAAACAATTTTTTAACTAAATCACAAATGTTTACAATATGGTAAAGGCATTATTACAGTGTTTAAGCAGTTATTTCTCCACAGAATTGCAATTGTTTAATGGATCAAGAGCCAAAAAATTAAGCAATTATAAAACAACACATTAAAACAAATTGTACAGGACATAATAGTAACTGGATTCTTATAATTATTAAGTAACTTTACTGGTAATTACATTAAGATGATTTGTTAACAAAGGGACAATCCAATCAAGTGTGGTATTTTTACAATTACTCTGTTTTGGTTGTGATAACAAAATTATAGAGAATCCGGAAACTGTGTGACGAGACAATATTTGGCCATATTCACTTCATATCTTATCAGTTTTAACTGCGCACATGCATTAAGTGCATTCTCTACAATCAAAACAAGATTGGCTTTAACTTCTACATTGTATTGGTTTTTCCACTGTATCAGTAAATCAAGTTTCGTTTCTGACAACGCCCCAGCAAAAAAGTGTGATTTTTTTCTCACTTTGGTACCAAAGTTTTTTCACACCTTAACCTACTTGCAATTGATGGATAAAAAAAACTGTATATTCCCAGATTGAAAATAATATGTCTATCTCATAGAAGGAATTTGATATGAAATTTTTTGCCTTTTTTATCAGAAATCCAGATTACATGTATATGATAAATGAAATCTTACACTCAGGTATCAAACTCAAACTTATTAAACTCTTTAAAGAATTTAAAGGCCCTGACATGTCAAATTATAACTCAATATTTCATCAACATTCATGGATGTAAGATCCTCTCTATATAAATATCTCAAGAAAGACTTTTAGTAAGATATTTGAATGCCAATAACTATAATATAAACAAAAGTAAACTGTAATGATTACATTATTACAGATGAGAGAACATCAAGTGTTTCTCGTTCAATCTCTATACGTTGTATGGAAACTGACTATTGAACAAACACAGGATTCATAGAAAAGAGACTTGGTGTGTAAAAGAGATTTGACAATATGTCACCCCAGATCTCCTCTCAGTAACAGGGAAAACCAAGTAGGTTACATTAAAGTAGCATCATCATGGATGACGTGTGATTCTGTATTGTTAGCTTATCTTCATATGTACACTACGAATTATCTATTATCAAACAAGGAGACATAAGTCGGAGTCGGTGTAATTAAATTACAATATCCTTGTCTATTCTATCATACTTTTTGTGAAGTATTTGTCCATATTGGGTATAGTTTTGTAAGTTAGATACGACAGATTTGTTTGCTGTCGCTATAAGGCAAAGAACACTTCACACTCTGAAGGAAGCAATGTTACAATATAAGACCTACTGGGAACATTCCAGCCGAAAGGATCATCGTTCGAGTCCATCGCCAATATCACAATGAAAAACACTCATAAGCTACTTACCGCTGTCTCCTATGATTAGGAGTTTGAACAGGTGGTCATACTCGCGAGCCATGTTTCCATACAGAAGGGCGAAACAACACAGGTTTTATTCTCGAACTCGGAAGTTTCGATGAGTTATACCAGGAAATGAGGCGTAGGCGAATGCGCGAGTGCTATCTCTTAATCTAGATCACCCAAATGTTTTAATCCTGTATAAACCATTCAAAGTATCTCCAGGACACGGATCTGTGTTCATTTACTCAACTTCCGGTGATAACAGTTGTCTGCTAGGAACTTTAGCGTCTGCAAACAGCGACATGAGCAAAAGCCTGCTTTCGAAGTTATTTGGTTTAAGATGCATCTACAATGTGTCGAGAACGAATAGTACAAATACATCTAGGTAATGTTTGTGTTCTATTTTCACGATATCTTAATTAGTAACACTCGCCATCTAAATGCATGTCTATATTACATCAGATTTGACAGATGTACTGAAAGGTAACCTTACACTGCAGTGCAATCCTGGTGCTTAGCAGTCTTCTCAAGTGCCATGTGAATTGGTTACAGTCTAATTAAATGAATATTGAGCGTCCTGATTGCATGAAACATTCTCAGATTTTTTATAGGGAATTCATTAAAATGAATATGGTCTTATCAGAGACGTATTAATAACACTGTTATATATGTCTCTGGTTTTATATACTAATATTAGTACACCTGGCCTCCTACACAAGATGATCACGATATACTACATATTGCAGTTACCCCACCGATTATACCAAGCAAGCCTAATCTGTTTGCATACCTTTATACTCCAATTTGGCTATCATGCCTGATGATGTATCAGGATCTCTTGTTCGAATTATAGGTCTTTATTTAAAATGATGGTACGCTTTAAGCTGGGTGCCTCGTTGTGGCTTACCAATATTGAAAATGATGACAGGATGATTCATAGATTTTCAAAGTTTTGATTTGTTTAATACTGTTATTTCTTGATGAAAATTACAAGACTGATGATCTTTTCAAAATATCAGAAGTAGGTACCCCATTTTCCTATATTATTTTTTTCAACATTGGTTTTGACACTGAGAAGAGACAGTGGTGATTTAGTGATGAAGACATCTGACCATCTTTATTAGGTGCTTTCCACCTATGGGTGACAGGTTCAAGGCCTATTGTTATTATTATTGTTTTGATGTTTGTTGAATGTATTGTTTAAGTTCCCAAAGGTCCCGACTTTTCCAAGTTCAGTCTTTATATTGATAAAAAAACGAAATGGCAAACAGGTGGCCATCTTGGATTTCAACGATTCAAAATTTGATGACTAAACACTATTATTTTTACAACTAATCGACAATGGTAGTGTATATTAGCATTTTGCATAATAATAAATACAGATATACTGCAGTAATTACATAGCTAAGACTAAGCAAAATGTGTATTGTATTCTCTGGTATGAATTGTAATCATCAGTACACACTTTATATGCATATACATTAATATGCTACTAAAAACACAACAGATTCCTCAACTCAACGTAGGGACATTTGGTATGTTATTAGACTTACCACAAACTGTATTTTGTGCTAGGGTTCCACATTTCAATATAGACATGCTCAAACACCAATTTCACCACTCCGCTTTCTCACATGTATCTCATTCCTTCTGTCCTACAAACATTCACATTATGCACCCGGATCTGGTGTATCTGTCTTTATAATATTTACAATAAAATATCACAAGAATTACAATGAAATACAAAAGTAAGAAAACATTGGAATGATAAAATAAAATAATAACAAAGTTACAATTATCTACTGGATATTTGTTTATATGTAAATATAAATGATTGGGGCATATTGATTAAACATCACTTAGACCAAATTTGCTAAAATACTCGCATAACTTCATCTGATTTACCTTAAGGCCTAGAATCACAAATTTGTCAGTTAAGTTCTTGGAATCAAGACTGATTAATTTTGTGAAAAGAAATGACCTTGAAACATATTGATCTGATTAACTCAGAGGCCTTATTAACAATGATATTTTGCATTTGAGTTTCTTGGAGGAATCCTGACTAAAATTGTGAATAGAAATTAACCTTGATTTAATGACTTACAAATCGGTCATAGGAGTCAGATTTGCTGAATCTTTTCTAAAACTTCTTGTGATTAACCAAAAGGTCTAGAATCAATTTAAATAGAAGGTTCCTGAATGAAGCCAGGCAAAGTTTGTGGAGATAAAAATAGACCTTGATCTATATTAAAGGTCAAAGGTATCAAATGACTTTTTCCAGTTAACCAGGTAATGTTAAACCTTGAGTGTCAATATATTTTGATGCGAGAAGTGGATATATTTGTGAAAAGTATATCAATATCAGATGAGTGAAGCAGGCCCATTTGGCCTCTTGTTTGAAAGCCTACATCTAATAAGTGACATGATCACTTGTCAGTTGTCATATTGTGGAAATATGCGAAAAACATGAATGAGATTTTACATTTTTTGGACAGTTCAAAATATTTTTGCTGTGATTGCTAAAATATTCAGCAAGGAGGGCAATACAGGACTTCTTGTGTTGAAAACATTAAAAGAAAATAAAGATTTAAAACGATGTTAATAGGAATACTGGAATGACTTACAATTATCAATAGGGAATGTTATGTGGCCTCAGATATTGAAAATGTTTTGACTTCTCAGTAACACCAACTCAGCAGTGAAGCTGGCTCATCATATTTATAAAAGTGAGGAGAAAGGGTCAGACAAAACAAGCGTGGTGGTGATGCATGGTCTGATGGGATCCAGCAACAACTGGAGAAGTTTGTCCAAGGTGTTGTGTGAAACAGGACGGAAGGTAAACATAAGATATTTGATACTTGGACCATTGTATATAATTGTTTAGGGATGTGGAGATGGCATTGATTTTGATGTTAATTAAGTAGTTAACTATATGACTGAAGATTATCTCAGTATTTTATTATCCTAGATTTCACAGAAACATAAAACCCAAAACAAATTTGAAAAAAAAAACAATTTCCCCAAAACATTATCTTAGCCCCTTAGGCATCCAGTTTATAAATCATTGCACTCTGTCTCACCTGAAAAGGAACCCTGTCTTGGTTATTCTGCCAACCTGAAAAAGTCAACTTTAAAAAAAAATATTTTCCTAATAACCAAGAGTTCGGATATTAGGTCATTAAAATGCTAGGTTGAAGTTTTCAGATTTGTTCAGATGAATTACCTAATGATTGGCTCAGATTCCTTATCAGAAGGGTAAAAATGTTGCAATCTTCATCCAACTTCTTCTAAAAGCAAGATGACACAGGGCTATTAGTATATGTGAAATTTCGCATGACAAGACTGGAATAGTCGACTCAGGAAAAAATTTCAATGGCAAAAACACAGTAATTACCTATCTAACTATTAGTCTGTGGTACCCTGGGATGAAGGCCTACCAAGTTTGTTCAAATTAATGAGCTTGATGCATAATCAAGGTTATGAAAGTCAAATGTGTTTAAATCTTCATATCAATTCTGAGAATCGAAAAACCCACCAAGGATTATGCTGTTTCACTTTGTTTCTACTGGACAGAAGAGTATCAAACATCTGTATGGAACAAACTTGATCTTCCTGATTATAGGGTATCGTTTCCTTTCTACCACCCCTTTAACTATAGCTAGCCTACAAAATAACAGATCATTCTTTCCTTACTCTGTCAGGCCTTTAGCTAGCCTACAAGACAACAGGTCATGCTTTCCTCACTCTGTCAGGCCTTTAGCTAGCCTGCCAGACAACAGGTCATGCTTTCTTTACTCTGTTGGCCCTAAGACAACAAATTTTGATATTCCTTGACATTTCTTAGTTACCGAGTGTAGAATTTTCTAGTTGAATCCTTAATGAGGTCAACAATTATAGGAGTGCCCTCTGTTGGCAACGTTTTCTACTCAACAAAAAAATCTACAATTTGTGCTACAGTCAGTGGTAATGGGATTCAAATGTTTGCTTGTCTCATGAGTTTTTAACACATTCTTTTGAAATATTCTGCCATTACCTACTATGGTACTGTATCTAATGTGTACAGGTTATAGCAGTTGATGCCAGGAACCATGGAGAAAGTCCTCACAGTGAACATATGAACTATTTCCTCATGTCAGACGATGTCCTTAGATTGATGGACGGGCTTGGAGAAGAGCGAGTGAACTTGATTGGACACAGCATGGGGGGCAAAGTCTTCATGACCTTAGCACTAATGCATGTAAGAGATAAGTATCTGGACTGGTAATTAGTTATTGGTCTTTCTTGGTCAGCCATTAGACAATACATGTCCGTATATATTTTTGAAAATTGTTGTTGGAGCTCAATCAACGTTTACAATCATTATTCAGATATTGTTTAGCTAAATGGACAGAAAAGATCTCTGACTCCAGTGCCAATATTGGTGTTCATTGCAGCCACAGCGTGTAGAGAACCTGGTAGTTGTGGACGTGTCACCAAGACCACGCCCAGCCTCTGTCACTCCAACCACTAACTCCTATCTCCATTCTATGCTGAAGATCAGCTCCTCTCTGAGTGACACCACCCTGACCTCCCTATCAAAGGCTAAACAGCATGCAGACAGAATACTACAGGAGTCAGAACAGGTAAGTTTTATGTTGATGTTTATAAACAGCAGAAAAATGGATGAATATCCAATAGCATACGGAACCATTGGTAAGGCTCTGTAATACATTTTGTTCAATAGGTATTTCTTACATTATCACCTTACGTTCCAGAGTGACTGTTTCAGTCAACTTTCCTGTCTTTATGCAATATCAACTCATATACACGATTATGTTTTGCCTTAGCTTGAAGTGGACATGGAGGGCTATCAGAATTTGTAATGACTTTTGTGTTGTTGTACAGCAATGTCATGTAGACAGGACTAGAACAAGAAGACGAGATATTATATTGTGGTGTTCTAATGTTTGTAGTTGTATGCTTAACTTTTCATTTTACAGGATGTGAGCATTAGACAATTTCTTATTACAAATTTGGTACATAAGAACGGCAGATTTCGATGGAGAGTGAACTTGGATGCAATAATCAACAACATGTCAGAACTAGGAGATTTTCCAGAATTGAATAAACAATTTACTCGACCTACACTTTTCGTTGGTGGAGAGAACTCTGATTATATAGGGTAAGTTGATACTTGTGTTGTATCTGATCAAACTTCTTCTACAGATGATACCAGACTCAAAAATTTAATCTGTGGATTGCTGGAGTAAACGATCAAATAAATGACCTTGAACCACTTCCAAGGTCACAACCTTAAACAAAGTCCAAAGTCACAGCATTCAAAAATGTTGAAAACTGTTGCAGATGCTCCTCATAACTTTAGTGTAACTGTTCTTGTTTGAATATCAGATTGTATCCATGCATGATCTGCAAAGAGTGGACATTTATTGTTAACAGCAAGTGATGAAAGCCCTATCTGTTTTGTTTCCTTTTCATTTTAATATATTTTTCCTTTTTTCTCTCTTTTCAGGCCATCAGATATTGCAAAAATACAAAAGTTATTTCCAAAAGCAGAAGTAAACCACATAGAAAATGCAGGACATTGGGTACACGCAGAAAATCCACAGGCATTTCTAAAACTAGTGAAATCCTTTTTATTGGAAAACGACAGAAAGACAATGTGAATGATATCATTGGTTTTTAATTTTTTTTTTAAACACCATTGTTTTATATATACCCAGGGAATTTATAAGGCATCATGAAGAAACAAAAAATTTAAGTGCTAATGCTTTATTAGACATGTTGTTTGAAGTTATTTTAATATATATATATATATAAAGATATTTGTTTCATTGCACTATTGTTTCAGCATTATTTTCTAAATAAAGAAAAATCCTTATAGCACAGTAGTAAAAAGAAAAGTATATAATGTTTTCAAAGCTTTGATTGAATAAGACTTTACATTCACCTATTCAATATTTCTATCTGGCGAAAAAAAATCAGAAAAAAGTTATGTATCTGTTTACCCTTCTTAAGGAAACTGTTGTAAAAAAGTCCCATTTTTTAATAGATTTCATAATTATTTCTATAGAAGCTTGACCAAGTTCTCTGGTCATGGCTCAAAAATGTCTGATCACAAGCTATCAAAATCAAAATGTTTTGATCAACACAAAAAAAATACCCGAGTACACAATAACTGTAGATCTCTACACTGTATTTATGGTGGTGCAGATCACAAGGAAATCCTTTGGTAGAATCGTAAAAATATCAACCGTTGACCAGTAGGAGTAAAGTTTGTCCGAATCTCAATATAGATACATTAACGAATGCATTTTATATGGTACAATGTAAACATATCACATAACTTGCATCAACATTTGAAAATCTAATCATATCATTTTTTTTCTTCAGAACATTCTTATATTGTTTATGTGCTTTGGGTACAATTTTACAATGCACTGAAATTTACAGTTATGATTAAAGTTCTGTAAGATAAATACCTCCTATGAAATATACTTCGCTAGTGCAATACTGTAATGATCAGAATTTTATGTTTCAAACTTTTAATTTACCAGGTAGTTGCTGGAAAGTTACCAAATTTTCATAGTCACTTGTTGTTTTTGAAGAATAAAGTCTTTGTTTTATACCAGGTATTTATAGCAATTCATTTCTGTTTTATACCAGGTATTTATAGCAATTCATTTCTGTTTTATACAAGGTATTTATAGCAATTCATTTCTGTTTTGATCAATGATTACTCTAAAATGATCAACTACATCACTCCATATTTACTGAAGATGAAATGTCTCCAGAATACTGCAATTTAAATGGTAATTTGGTTATTAGAATAAAACAAATGAATAGGTCACAAAAATAGTATGGATTTACAAATCTTACAAAAGTTATGTGGGATACTTAACTTTAATGTATATGAAAATGAAATATGTAAACTACAGAACAGTATTTCTCACTTAACTTAAAGGTGTAGCATTTGAAATGAAAATGTTCCTTCTAAGAATCTTTTTTTATTCCTGTATCATTGTCACTGGTTAGTTTTCATCCCCCCCATCCCTTCGTTACCATACATCATCATCAAACAATTGTCATCCTACACTACAGAGCATTAAGTTTGCTGATACTGTCCTAAAAAAGCTCACAGACCTCAGGTACAGGTGGTTTAATGGTTAGTTAACCAGCTGTCAGTGAAAAATTAAAATTATTGCTGGAAATAAAACCAAGAGTGTTAAAGGCAAAATTAACACTCAAAATATTTCAATCTGGCCTTTCACAACAAAAATACAGCCATGATAAACAATTTACTTTAATTCATATTAGAAAATTTCCACTAGACACTGGTAATCTAACCATTCTCTGAACAACCAGGGCCAGGATTCTGGAGGTGACAGTTACACAACATATTCCAAGGGTATATATTCTATTTATCTGTAACCATTATATGAACAGCCAGGGCCAGTATTATGGAGACAATGGTTACACAACATATTCCAAGGGTATATATTCTATTTATCTCTAACCATTCTTTGAACAGCCAGGGCCAGTATCCTGGAGACAATGGTTACACAGCACATTCCAAGGGTTCTATAACTAACTGTTTATTACTGACACTCTGTTACAGGAGTAACTGACATTTTGTTTTTGATATATTGTAGCACATTCCATGTGTTCTATAACTGTCTGTTACTGACACTCTGTTACAGGAGTAACTGACATTTTGTTTTTGATATATGCAGCACATTCCAAGTGTTCTATAACTGTCTGTTACTGACACTCTGTTACAGGAGTAACTGACATTTTGTTTTTGATATATTGTAAGACTTGGTGCATAGATTCCTTGTTTTCTCCTTCTATCCACGTCATTTCTATTACTACATGTGGTGTAGATAACTTTATCTTCAACAAACATTTCAGAAATATTTTCTCTTCTACTGAATCTCCGAAAAGTTCACTGTAACCATTGGCCATTTCTTCTGTTGACTTTTTACCTAGAGATGTGGATCCAGCATCTGTAGTAGATGACGTAACCTGCTCACATTTCACATTTATTTCAGGATGGACTATAACACCTGATTCTGATGTTATTATTTTTCGTTTCGCTGGTGATTCCAAAGTCTTATCTATGATTTCAGACTTTATATCTGAATCTGATAATTTTCTTTTCTTATTGTCTTTGGTCTTTGATTGGTCAGGAGTACAGTTCACACCCTCGTCTTTTATTACATTGGTAGTACATTGTGGTTGTGCCAGATTAACCACACTTTCTTTGTTATCCTCCAATTCTTTACTTAAGTTCTCAGCATTAAGTTTTGGATTTGTCGTTTCCCCACTGGAAAATTGTTTCTCTCCATTTTCCTTGGCAACTTCACAAATGTTTTTAAATACCAAATTTTGTTGCATGTTTTTTGTGACATCACATGAGATTGTCCCTTGTTTCTCTTTGGCATCACAGTTATGATATTCTTCACATGGAGAGTTAACTTGAAATGTCTGTAAGTCATCAAAAGGTTCACATTTTGCTATTTTATCAATATTTTCTGCACCTGTGGAGTGTTCCATCTGCGCCGTAACCTTTTGCTGTTTTTGTTGTCGCCGTTTTCGTCTCTGATTGGACCAGGTATTTTCTTTAGCGACCAATGTCATCCTTACTAAAGACTTTTGATTCAATGTGACATCATACTGGATCTGTAATGAGATAAATCAGTGTTGTATCAATGTCTTACACTAATGATGTTGGGCTGTATAAACTAAGTACCCATTCAGTACCAAATATTTCGGGTTATAAGCCGCACTGGTATATTATCCGCCAATTTTTACTGATTTTCTTCTGTTTGATCCACATATAAGTCACACCTGAGTATAAGCTTCACCCTTTCTTACGATATGGTGACCACTTTTGTTGATGTTTGATATGAAAGGCAATTCTATGAAGTGGTAACCATTACACTGACCAAAGTTCGTTAATATATTGCACAAAGGAGGGCAATTTATCATGATCATCAGTGAAAATTTGCAAATGACTGATACACAGATAATGCTTAATTTTATTGATGTAGTTAAAAAAACATAAAATAGCAAATATCATGCTTGTTTGGTTTGGGTGCTTTCACAGATTGTCTACGTACAGATATAGGGCCTCTGAACCTACTATTACTCCCAGCACTGGCTACAGTCTTTTCCCGTCTCTAACTTTCACTTCAAGCTCTTGTTACAACCTATGACCCATTCTTCATTACTAACCTTGAGTCCAGCTAGTAGTGTCTGGAGCCTAGCACAGATGTTTGTAACATCGTAGTCAAGGTCATTTGGACAGCGTGGCACTTGATACACCAATGGAGGGCGTTCTTTCTTAGACTCTTGGAACAAGGACTTCTGTTATACAAAGAAATATTTGATATCAATATATAACAATACAAACAAAATCTACCAAAACACATTGTAAATACACTGTAATCTAGAGTATTGACAGAAATAGGGCTTCTCATTGTGTCCGACTCAAAACACAAGTTACATTATACTGATTTTTCACTTACTGCATTAAAGAATGGCCTTGACCTGTAGTCAAGTGACTTCTCATTTCGATTGCAACTAATGATACTTCATTATATCATAACATTTTACCAGTAAAAATTTCCAATTTGACCTCAACCTTTGACCTTACACATTTTTCTGCGAAATATTTCAAACTTAGACTTGATGACATTGACTTGCATTAAGTTGACTCCTCGTGTGATTTCAGTCATAAGTACATATTTACCATTACCTTTTAGCTTTGATTTGATATTTTTGCTGTATATTCCCATTCCTATATGTAGTAATGATTACCTTGACCTTTGACCTCTGAACATGAAAAGCAATTCAAAGCTAGCACTTCCTGATGAAATGGAGGAAGTCTGAGTGTAATCATCCAAACAGAACTGGAGATACTATGCAGAAACAGATCTCCTCTTCATAGTAACACTGACCTTGACATTTGACCTCAGGACCAGAAAATCACTCAAGTATCTTCTTCAAACATTCATTGTGTAATTTGAATGCAACTGACCAAACAAAATTTGAGACGTAATGCCAAAACAATGAAAGGACGGATGGATGACCCGATTACTATAGGGCAAATGTATAAATAATAGATTTTCAATAATATGTTTAAGTGCACAATTATAAGGAAGTTTTCGACAACTGTATATTGTAATTATTTTAACATAAAGTGATTGATGTAATTATTCAGTTTGTTTCTTATCGCTGCATTTACATGAACAGTCATTTTGAACTGGTATCGCCTTGTAACAGATGGCAATGAAGCACACACCTAGGTTCTTCACTTGAGAAATACAAACCATCCTCGATAGGGATTGAACCACACACCTAGGATCTTAACCTAAGCTTGTTTAACTCCACTGCTCTACTGAATGATCCATCTCCTCACAACAGGCCTCACATTACATAAATATAATCAATAATTAAAATGCATCAAATCTGAAGTTCAATCTTACCGGAAAATTGACATTATGATCAAATGTCCAAGCAAGTCCCCACCTCATCGTTTTCCCCTGGCAGAACTCAGTTGTAGTGAACTTGGGAATCTGAAATCAAATATTTCATTTTTTTTTCTTTTCCTTTACAGCAACATAACATGGATTCTTAAAAACATTATGAAGTGATATAAATCATTCTCCTTTTATTTATTTTGATATGATTAGTACAGAAATAAACTTATAATTATTTATGTATGTTATCACAATAATTATTTATGTATGCTATCACAATAATTATTGATGTATGTTATCACAATAATTATTGATGTATGCTATCACAATAATTATTGATGTACGTTATCACAATAATTATTGATGTACGCTATCACAATAATTATTGATGTACGTTATCACAATAATTATTGATGTATGTTATCACAATAATTATTGATGTATGCTATCACAATAATTATTTCTGATTTCCTCACTAGGTTTAATTTGCCAGATTATTACATATGAAAATGATCCATTCGGTACTTCTCAAAAAATACCCAAACAAACTGTAGATGTCAAAATGTAAGATGGTCTTTTATTACCTCTTTTGATTTTTGGATGAATCCCACTTCTCAAGAAAACTGATAACAAGAATTGTTTAAGGATGGACAGAAGACAGACTGTGGGTGATTTGAACAGCTTACCATTTGAAGATGGTGGACTAACAATAAAGAAGACATCATTCTGTACATCAACATTTCCTTTAGCTTTATGAGTTTTGAGAAGGATCAGTTTGGAGAAGTTGCACTATATGAGATTTTATGAAACTCATCAGAAATTTTTAAGTTTTCCTTGCCGAGGCTTGCAAAAGTAAGAATTTCTCAGATATGTTTAAAAAATCTCATATGAAATGAAAATTCACTGAAAATTCTATGTGTTCTGTGATGCTCTACCTTGAGTCTCCGTAGCTCTTCTTTCAGTGGAGGTAAGGAACTCTTCTTTCCAATCATACTAGAATAAATTCTGAAACAGAATGTGAAATACTTAAAATTCTGAAATGTTAAAATCAGAAATTGTGGTTTTTTTTTTAAATTAATACCAAAGATACAGAGGATTATTTTCATTGTGTATGATTAATCTAAAATGAAACAAAGAGATAAAGTTATCAAATCTTCTACTGGTTGTGTTATAAGAACTTCTATTCTCTTGTTACATTTAAACTGAAAAATAACCTTTATATGAAATCAGATATTACTGACAATTTTTGTCCAATTACCTCCCTTCCAAATCTAAAATGGAAATAGAAATATTGTTGTTCCACTATCTGTGATAATGTCACTGATTAACCTAATGCAAAATTTAGAAACATCATACCTTATTTTAGTCCCAAGTTCCATTGAATCTTTTATGATCTTCTTGACAAAATTGACCTCTCCCCCTTCCACAATACTCTCTGTAAAGCTGGCTGTACATACGGACTTTGGATCAGCCCGGCTGTAGCTACGAGATTTAGCAACAGCCTCGGCCTCCACATGGTCAGCAAAGAAAGGTGGATTACACATACAGAAGTCAAACTTGTCGGGATTGTCCTTGAGTATATCACATAAAACTGTCCCATCAACAGCATTAGCTCTCTTCACTGCAAAAAAATATATATAAATCAAATCTGCTTCCAAATAAAGATTCTTCATGAATGAGGGTTAAGAATTTTAAAATCCTAGCAAGTCAGTCCTCCCGCAAGAAACTGAAATAAAGCGTCCATGATAAGTGTCAAACTTCAAATCAGCTTTCAAATGGCAGGCACTTAAAGATTACATCTGTAAGATATTATCTAGTGTTAACCAAAATATGCTTTTGCTAAGAATGAGTTTTAGCTAAGAATGCTGTTGAAGAAAAGACAACTATAGTGCAGTTGTAGACATGAAAAGTAAAACATCAATACTAGTTTAGTACTAAGTAAGACTAAGTAAGTTTATACATTACTACTGTATTACCTGTAATTCTCTCCTTCATTCCATTGTTCTCTATGTTTCTTTGTGTATACATAAAATTTTTATCATCCACCTCAGTAGCCAAGAAAGTCCAATCCTTGTGTATTCTACAGGATAGTAGAGGATATATGCAGCTAGATCCTGTACCTACAGTAAAAAACATATTATCCCAGTAGTCCCTTATCAATATCAGATGTTACTTAGTATTTTATAAACATTGCCAAGAAAAGGAAGTGTTACTTACTATGAACATACAAACCTGAGCATTTTCTACTTAAGAGTTTTCATTTTTGTCAAATGGGTTATTAAGAGCTACCTTAGGGCAACTGAGTATTAATTATGTTATACTGGTCACCCAGAATAAATATGACAAAAAAAAATTAAATCAGGTATAGTGTTTTTCCTTCTTTGAAAATAATCAGTACTTCCATTTAGCCCTTGACCATCAAAAGTAATATCAACTTTTCGCTCCAAATATGGTAAGAGAAAGCTATCTAAACCAAAAGGTCAAAAACATATTTTCCAAACGTCAAATCAAAGCCTTCAGAATGAATAGAAAGAGGACAGCTAATGACCTTGCAGAGGTTTCAATGTGAAAAAAACTCAATTTCAACCTACCTATATCGATGCCTTTGATACCTTTGTCAGCCTTTGAGGCAGTAAGGACATCCTCCAGCCAGTGTATATAATTCAGACGCAGAGGCACTGTAGGGACAAGTCTGTCTAAAGGAAGTTCCAATTTCAAGCCAAAGTCTTCTTCTAGCAAAGTGACTGAAAGCTGCCTCAGAGAATCTGGATGCTTGAAGTCGAGAAACAACTTTCCAGTAACATCAGGAAACACAAACTTCCTGAAGTCTGGATACTTAAGTGCTAATTCTTGAAAGTTTGGCTTCTTACTTTTGTATAGGTTCCTTGGATGCATGAATTTATTTAAGGCCATAATAAAAGTGTTGTTCACAGCTTCCAAACTCTAACATCAAATACTGAGTAACCTGTTAATAAATGAGATTAATTAGAAACATTTACAAAGGAAATGAGCTTTCATCTAGAAGACTAATTATCGTGAGTATTGATAACTTACTTATCTCATCTTGGTGTACACTGGACATTCAAGACCGTGAAATTAAATGCAACAGGTACCTCTACTGCCATTTAACTTTACAGAAAAACTTCATTACTGTCAAATTTATATTTCTGTTCTAATGCAGACAAGAAAAGTTAAATTTTCAAAAGTAATTCCTGGTAATGTTGCAAAAGAGTATGTAACATGGTATATTTCTGAACAGCACTCAATACATGCATATTTCTGAACTTGATGTATTTCGGTATAGCTTCATCTGTAGAAGAATACCCCAACTTGTTTGATCCATAGTGAAAGCATAGTATTACATAATGAGACCTCTATTAAACCTGGTGCCCACAGCAACAAGCACTCTCCTCCTTAAGCACCCAATAAAACCCCGATAACTTAAGGGAAAGTTCTTTCCTAAAATGGAGGGTTAAAATGTACGTATATATGATCATGATAAATTATTTGTTTCTGACCAGGGAAAGGTTCAGGGATTATCAATCTTAAACGCAACAGACAATAAACATCTCGTGGCTAGATTATCAAGACTTCATTTCTGACCAAGCAATTGGAACTCTTCTTCATTGGAGATTTAACAGCATAAGCACAAGCACATGGACTGCTTCCATGTGCCTTGAATGCATAGTTGTACTTTTTCAAACGTTCAAAATTAGTTTTGATATTATTATTGAATGGAGTTAATTTCAAATCATTCTACATATAAAGGTTAGTAAAACATAAAATGGCACTTTATTGGCCGAGTCCGAAAAAACGGTTTCTCTAAACAATTACGATACCCTGATCGTCAATATTATTGTAGAAATAAATTACTAATCAATGTCATTTCTGTCAGAGATATGTAACAGTCTGAAATGGTACAGATAAATATCTTCACCTACGGACACATGCGACGTCTTCTTAAATTATGTTTTATCACCCAATGAGATACCAAAACAACGTTTGGAAAACGTCTTCTGGCGCAGACTTTGAAACAACGTCCAAATCTCGCGATATTTTGTTTACGATATGACTTCCGGATGAGGTAATGAGCATGCGCAGTTAGTCATTCTCGGGTGAAATTTACGTGTGGAGTCCTGCCAAAGAGGGTATTTTCGACGATTTCTGACAATTTTACAGATATATTTCAAGTATTTATAGAGGGTAAATGGTTTATAGTCTTCAAACTTTAGCTAGATGACAAGGATTTGATCGCTGTAACTAACAATTAATGTTTTCCTCATGGCTCAACTTTACAGATATGGCGGGGTGACATTTCAGTGTCTGCAAAAATTATCATTCATTAGCTGAAATTTCACATTGAATCAATACATGTTGATTCGCATCAACATTGTCTTATATATGATGAATATGTTTACATATAAATTTTTGTCATACTATAGGAAAATATGTAGAACACGTATTGATGACATTTTTATACCAACCCCTGATGGTCTTGACATCTGTCAGTGTCATTACGCATACGCCAGCCCACTATATATATTCCACATCTACCATGGGCTACACATCATTTCCTTTTAAAATACATTGCATTATTTACTATTTAGCACTCTTATATGCGTTCGAAAGCCAGTGTCGACTTGACCTTGAACATGTGCTGTATTTGTGATATTGGAGCAAGATTACACTACATTTAATTACTCTGGCTCATGATTTCCTTGAAATATGTCGATAGCTGACAGATGAATTTGTAACATGTGCTTTTGAGGGATGCTGGTTTTTAAAGACTATTTAGAGGTTTTATTGCTGCTATAACAATCTCTTTGGAAAATATTGAAATTCCTTGTAAGTATATGAATTGTGATTGTGATGCTTGTTGGGGTATGCCAGGTGTGTAGTTCAGTTGATCTCTGTTAGGCAGTTGAGGAAGCTGAGAAAATATCCATTCCTTGCTGTAGTGATTTTTTCAGTCAAGACACTTGATTGCTTTGGATAGCACACAATGATCATGTTATTCATTAATGTTGCTACTAGCAACTACATAGATGCTACACCTGAAAATGAAAGTTGACTTCACTTGAGTGTTAATGGAATAGTAAACTAAGCGCATATGTACTATGCCTGGTGGTTATGTTTGGGAATGGTAACATGACATTACTTACATGGATTCACTAAGTCTAAAGATTCACTTGAAGGTTGTTCTCAGTATAACAGGATAAGTTTAAACGCATCTCCAACATCTCTTCTTATTCTCCTGTTTTCTCCATATTAATCTTTCTTTTGTTATATTTTGCCATTTCATTTATTTTGTGTTTGTGTAAAGTAAGGTTTTCTTTACATGTCAGAATTTTAGTTATATAGGTATATTTTTAAGTGAACTAGTAATTATGTTCTGTTAAATTCAGTGTCAACTGTAAATTCAATGTCAACTGTAAATAAGAATATCAGTATATGCCAATAATCTTATTATCAAAAGCAAACCAAGGCAAAAATGAATCTTTGATAGCTGTGATGGTCTAGCAAAACAGTACAGGGCTTCATTTCAGTTCACTATGGACACAAAAATGTTCATACATTGTAGTCCAATCAGTTTTTCCCTTATGCATGAAGTTACATAAATGTAATGCAATGTAATGTAAAAAGAGATATGCCTTTTCGAGTCATAAAGCATTAAATTAGGTAATCACTGCATGCTGCTGATCATTTTCTTATTTTAAAGCATTGGATAATGATAAAATGACAAGACCTCTTCCTTCTCTTTACCAAACATTCAGTGTTGATAAATTGATAAATGCGTAAGATCTTGTTTTTATGATTATTAGTTTCTGTAAATATATAAATTGATTCAATTTTTATCATAGGTAATTTTGTTACATTCATTTTTTCAATGTTTCAGACTTGCCACAACATGAATTAAACTGTCTTGTTACATCTGCCTCCATTTGGTTAACCTTGGCACTTTAATCTGTTAAGTGATTGGTGCATCCAAAATTACAAAATGGTTTTATCTCAACGACAAAGAGAAGAACTGTAAGTTATCACATTAATGTTTAGATCACATAAAAGTTGTTCAAAATATAAGAGTTGGCCATTAATTGTCCCAGATTATTTAATATAATATAAATCAAATTCTTTATTATCTTTAAAATTTCTTTAATTCATTTAGTTAACAGATTGTTACAATCTGGAGACAAGCAAGCTAAATGTGTTTTTTTTCATGTCTGCTTGAATGAATCAATGTTGAATGTCCCTGAGATTTACTGACATTGATTGGAATGGGGGAAATGCAGCTAAAATCTGCAAATTGTTCTGGCACAGAAAAAGTTAGAAGTACAGCTGATTTTACAGCATTAAGAAACTTTTTGATTTATTTGATACATTAAATTAAATTAATTTTACAATTTTATTTTCACACAGAAATCGTGCAATAGCTGATTACCTTAGTTCCAATGGCTATATCAGTGCTCTTGGCGAATTCCAGAAAGAGGCCTCCATGGTAAGTTTAACCAACATTAAAAAAAAATTATAACGGTCATCAAACATTCAGTTGCATTGAAACATTGACAGATATGAACCTGATCAATGGGAAAAAGAATAGAAAAGTAATTATTATTATCGCTGCCAGTTGTCATGATAACAGAAATAAATTAAGTAAGAATAGAAACATAATAATGATTATCACTGCCAGTTGTCATGATAACAGAAATACATTAAGTAATACCGTTCTGTTGATGAGATGCTTGAACGCGTTAACAAGATAAGTTAAGCATTAAGATCCTGTTACTGACAGTTGACAATGTAGTTATGGCAATACATGTGTATCCTTTGTAAAACAAAGCTTGCCTCACTTATACCATTCAGGAGATGATGAATTTAAAAGTTGTGTTTCTAAATGAATTTCCTTTCATAGTTTTTTCATAGGTGCTCTGTTTTGAAGATAATATTTTATTTGGATACCCAATGAAAGTTGTGCCAAATATTGTAATTTCAGCAAGGTGAAATTGACAAGAAGTATGCTGGCCTCCTAGAAAAGAAATGGACATCTGTCATCAGGCTTCAGAAAAAGGTACCAGACATTTAGTTTCACTCGATTCTGCTTCTTGCGAAATGGACATCAAATACACATGTCTGTGTTATTGAGAAATCTTTAAATACAGTATTTGTCTTCAAGACATTGACCTTTAAACTGTAAGTGTAAAAGAAATAAGGTAAACATTTAATCAAGAAGGAAGGTGAATAGTACATGTGTGAGGTGTCTGTAAATTGTCTGCAGAACAGCAACTAGTTTCATATTTTATAGATGGAAAACGATCAACCCATTTCCAAAGTGCTCCTTTAGGGATTTTGATGTGAATGTCATGTATGAAGATACCTTAAATCAGTTTGTGTTATAGGGTTCCAAGGTCAAAGACATTGTTTTGGAAAGAAATTTTTCAAGAAATTATATAGGTTTGCATGGGAACAGAGAACGAACATTATATGGATATATACCATTTTATATGTGTATTAATTATGAGACATGTTATGATTTCCTGTTAATAATTCATTCTAGGTCATGGACCTTGAAGCCAAACTTTCGGAGGCAGAAAAAGAATTCAACTCTGGGGGTCCCACTCGGGACCGTCGAAGCCCTGCAGAGTGGATACCCCGCCCTCCAGAGAAATACTCCCTCAGTGGACACAGGAGCCCTGTCACACGGGTTATATTTCACCCAAAATTTAGTATAATGGTTTCAGCAAGTGAAGATGCTACAATGAAGGTAAGATACTTACATTTAACTCCTCAGAATAGTAAGATGTGTGGCATACAAATCGTTGGTTCATTCATAGTACAGTAGTATACTGCATTCGGTTTTAACTCATTATAAAGCTGAGCAATGTATTTTCAGCAATTTTCGGGACTCAATTATTTGAGTCAGTGACTCATGCTTTTTCCTGCGAGACTCGCTCAAATTTTGAGAACCCACTCATCAAAATTTTGGAATTGGTGTCCTGGATGACAAGAAAAACTCTACAAAATTAGTGATTGTGATTATCTGGGTTCATAACATCTGTATGTTTCATTGAATATTTATCATTATTGGATATTTCTTATGATAGTCAGCGGGCTTATTTTGAAGCAGAGTGACCTTAGATATTTACGTGTTGACATTTAGTATATATTATTGTCAGATTTCATTTTCATTGACAATATTTTCTCTGTATTAGTTTGTTTGGTTTCAGTGATATCAGTTGATTAACATCAAATAAGTAGTTAACAGCTTATAAAGATATAGGTTAGTTAAAACTTTGTTACAACATGCAAGGTCACATCATGAAATCTACTTGACAGATCCTGAAAAATACTGGTAAACAGCTGTCTGTGTACTAATAAAGTAAATGATGAGTGAACAGGTTCAGAAGATTTATGATGTTTGGATATTTTCCACAATGGTCCATGAACACACTGTTAATCTGCATCCCGCATTTTGCTTTCAGTAGACATTCTTGGACTATCAAAACACCTGTTAAACATCTTCATGATGCAAAGCTATCAATTCATAAGATACATTGATCAAACAAATGTTTCCTGACAAATGATTTATAAAAATTAATTTTTTTCAAGTTATGGGATTATGAAGCTGGTGACTATGAAAGAACTCTGAAAGGACACACAGACTCTGTACAGGATATAGCATTTGATCAAGCTGGCAAATCCCTAGGTGAGCTTTTCATAAATCTCATATGGAACTACTGTTTTGTAAAGAATTGTGACAAGATTTGAGGTATTTTTATATTAGATTAAAATAACTTGGAATTACATGTAAAGTTTACTGTTTTCTTTAAAGATATACCATAATGTTTCCCTGTATTAGTGTTTCCATTGGCTTTAAATGATTCTCTATTTTTTTCTTAGATTTAATGAATTTGGAATTACATGTGAAGTTTGCTGTGTTCTTACAAAAATATAAAATGTTTCCCTATATTGGTGGTTAAAAAATGACCTTAAATGCTTCTCTATTTGAATGTTGTCTTTTACTTTCAGTTTCGTGTTCAGCCGATATGACTATAAAACTGTGGGACTTTACAGGATCTTATGAATGTCTGAAGACCATGCATGGTAACAGTCTCAAACCAATCTTTTTGATCTGGTTAAAGTTTTCTTAGCTATTTTACAAAATAGCTTAAAACAAAGTATAAGACTGTTCCAACTTGTTATTGCTGTAAAATAATAATCTTTGTTAAATTAAGGAAAATAGTTACAAAACATTTCAGAAACATGAATTTATGTTGATATACATCAATTGTTTTTCTTGTGCTGTAATTCCTGCAGGTTAGAGTTATATTACTGAAATACATTTTGCTTTCGTCTGGAAGGAGTTGTGGAGTGAGACAGAGGTGCAACTTCTCCTACCCAGGCTCCTACAGCATTAACATGTGTTAAACTCAAAGTTGTTCAACAATTACAAGTTCTTATATCATCAAACCTGCTCTATATGAATAGCATCTCAGTTTTGTATTTAGCTCATTTTTGACCTGTAGAGCTGAACTTTACTGTAAGTAGATGTGCTGTCATAACCGACTCAAGAATATACCTATATGGCCAACCCAACATAATTTTCAGACTCTGAATTTCATTTCCATTTAATTTCTAACATACTTGATTAATTTATTGTACAGTGGTCTATTTGTGTTTAACACAGTGTTGGGCTTTAGATTTCTCTGAGTACAAGTGATTTCATAGTACTGTGGATAAGGTATCTCATGAATCCCCAATCAGATTATATTTATATTCACATTCATCATCATACCACTAGGGCCTACATCTATGTAGATTTTTGTGGTCATTTGTCAAGATTAAAAGTCAAAGATCACAGTCCACCCTTTGATCCAGGGTGGGGTATATATATATATATATATATGAGCTCTTGCACATTTTGTTTTTATAATAATTTTTTTTAAATGAATGATACATTAATAGATTTTCATTTAGTATTATTACTAACAAAGTAAAAATGTTTGTCCACCTGAGTTTGGTTAATGATGTTTAAAGCTAGTGAATCTTGGACCAAGATGTAGATTTACCTTTTTTTTTCCTCGTTCTCTCCATGAGAGAGCAATAAATATGGCTTTTAATCTGATGGAATCGAGAATCAGAGGACATGCAAGACATATATAATTATATATAATTCTGGTTGTCTGTGGTATGCAATATATATATATAAAAAAATAGGAGGATAGGAAGAAAATCTGGAAACATGTTTTTGAAAGGTTTTATATAGATTGATGATAATGTATTTATACAAATTTGACAGGTCATGACCACAATGTTTCGAGCGTGACTTTCATGCCAAGTGGAGATCACATTATTTCGTGTTCACGTGACAAGACCATAAAGATGTGGGAAGTTTCCACTGGGTGAGTATTTCTATCCCTCCAGCACTTGTATTCAGATAAATTGTACATAACAAGGAACTTTAGTGCATATAGTATGCCAGGTTTATTTAAACATACTGAAGGTTTTTACGTCTAATCTCCTGCCTTGAAAATTCAAATTGTCTGTACCTTGTGAGATTAATGCGTGGCAAAAAGTCATTCTCCAAGTAATGCATCAAGAATAGGCATTCTCTTGTATGTTCGTGCTTATTGATTTTACATAAAGCTTTAAAGAAATTCAGGAAAGTTTTGGGTGAAAGTTAAGAATGTTTAGTGAAACTGAAATCAAAATCTTGTAGTTGTGCAGTGGTGCAGCATTCAGCATTAATTGATTTACAATATTTTGCCATTGATCTCGAAAGCAATTGGGAAATGGACACCTTTTTTTTCCATTTTTTTTTCAAATGAATTCTTTTTAATTTGCATTCTCAGCTTTAAGTTTTCAATTAAATCACTTAACAACTTCCTTAAGGGACAGCAACAGGATGAAAAAATTAGACTTTAGTCTGTACTGATGTTCCTGTGTTTGAGCCAGCATTCATTTGTTTAAAACCACAGATGATATGAAATTACTCTTTTTATTTATGTCAACATTGAATACTGTTTTATCTCCAGATATTGTGTAAAGACTTACACAGGCCATCGTGAATGGGTACGTATGGCCAGGGTCTACCATGATGGCTCACTGATTGCTAGCTGTTCTAACGATCAGACAGTTCGCATTTGGGTAACAGCTACCAAGGAGTGTAAGGCTGAACTGAGGGAGCATGAACATGTGGTAGAATGTATTGCCTGGGCTCCTGAATCTGCACATGCCGCCATTAATGAGGCCAGTGGTGTAGATGTATGTACCTTTTTATCTAATGACCTATTTAAAAGCAACCATGATAAATTAAAGAAATTGAAAGACTTCATCACTTCTTAATTGTAAGCTCTGACTACAAATTCAATTTACCTTATTTGGAGTCATTAATTGACAAAACATATTTGTGATGCCTTTATGACTTTGGGTACAAGATACAATATAATGAATTTCCAGGTGAAGAAAACAGGTAGAAGTGGGCCATACCTGGCTTCAGGATCACGTGACAAGACCATCAAGATATGGGACATTAGCACAGGCTTATGTCTCTTTACACTGGTAAGATTTTAGTAATAGTCATTTGTGGTAAACATGTATTAACAGAATTTATTCAGGCATGCATAAATTTTTCAATACAATATGGAATAAAACTTTCATTTTTAAGTTAGTAATCTTTGTTTTGAAGAAGGTTAAATGTTTTGTTTAAAACCATGTATACTATCAATGTTACCCTTCAGTACATATATAGTTGCTAAGACTTATGATTTTAGAAATATAAAAAAAAATAAGTTTGGTTTCATTATTATTACCCCTAAAGAATAAACTCTTTCTGCAGGTGGGCCATGACAACTGGGTTAGAGGAATCTTGTTTCATGCAGGAGGCAAATACATCCTCAGTGCGTCAGATGACAAGAGCTTGAGGATCTGGGATATCAAAAACAGAAGGAACCAGAAGACACTAGAAGCCCATCAACACTTTGTAACATCACTAGGTAATTCTGTTCTGTCATCACTAGGTTATACTGTTCTGTCATCACTAGGTTATACTGTTCTGTCATCACTAGGTAATACTGTTCTGTCATCACTAGGTTATACTGTTCTGTCATCACTAGGTAATACTGTTCTGTCATCACTAGGTAATACTGTTCTGTCATCACAAGGTTATACTGTTCTGTCATCACTTGGTTATACTGTTCTGTCATCACTTGGTTATACTGTTCTGTCATCACTAGGTAATACTGTTCTGTCATCACTAGGTTACACTGTTCTTTCATCACTAGGTAATACTGTTCTGTCATCGCTAGGTAATACTTTTCTGTCATCACAAGGTTACACTGTTCTGTCATCACTAGGTTATACTGTTCTGTCATCACAAGGTAATACTGTTCTGTCATCACTAGGTAATACTGTTCTGTCATCACAAGGTTACACTGTTCTGTCATCACTAGGTTATACTGTTCTGTCGTCACAAGGTTATACTGTTCTGTCATCACTTGGTTATACTGTTCTGTCATCACTTGGTTACACTAGGTAATACTGTTCTGTCATCACTAGGTAATACTGTTCTGTCATCACTAGGTAATACTTTTCTGTCATCACTAGGTAATACTGTCCTGTCATCACTTGGTTATACTGTCCTGTCATCAATAGGTTAAACTGTTCTGTCATCACTAGGTAATTCTGTTCTGTCATCACTAGGTTATACTGTTCTGTCATCACTAGGTAATACCATTCTGTTATCGCTAGGTTATACTGTTCTGTCATCACTAGGTAATACTGTTCTGTCATCACTTGGTTATACTCTTCTATCATCACTAGGTAATACTGTCCTGTCATCATTTGGTTATACTGTCCTGTCATCACTTGGTTGTACTGTCCTGTCATCACTTGGTTATACTGTCCTGTCATCACTTGGTTATACTGTCCTGTCATCACTTGGTTGTACTGTTCTGTCATCACTTGGTTATACTGTCCTGTCATCACTTGGTTGTACTGTCCTGTCATCACTTGGTTGTACTGTCCTGTCATCACTTGGTTGTACTGTCCTGTCATCACTTGGTTGTACTGTCCTGTCAAAATATCTTTTAAAGATGTGATAATACTGTTGGGAAATATGCTTTTATCTTATTATAAAGGGACATTACTCCAATGACTGTGAATCTTGTTGCATTCGATGAGTACTTCAGGTAGAGTGAAAAAGAGTTCCCACTGGTTTCCTTTTAAGGTATACCAAAAGTCCAAGAATACTTTTTTTAGCATCTTCACATTATGTACTTCATATCGGGACATTTACATTTGTCATAGTTATTTCCATATATTTCAATGATTGCCACTGAAATGTTGATTTTTTCTCCTCTTGCTTTGAAAACATAATGATGAAATTTGATCAGAACAAGTGACAGAAATATAGCCTTCAGTAACAGGTTTTGACAAACATATCAGAGCTAAGATCTATCACATTCCTACATATTTCAAGCATAAATTTTGAGTGATTGGCAGCAACTGCTGTCACACATTCCAAATAATATAAAAAAATTTGTATAAAAATATTTTTCTTTAGTGACTTCTTTTCTTATTAGAAATTTCAAAACAAGAGCAATCAGAACAAAATTCCTTATTCTGAAAATTTAAGTCACAGATATTGAAAATATACAGATCAAATTTAACTCAGAATTAATCCTCCCTTACCGATGGACTGTCAATTATTATTAGTGGTGTTGTAAAAGGTGTAACACTGTGTGGTGAGACATTAAATTAGTTTGAACAATTGCAACTTATTTTTCATTTGTTTGTTTTCTTTGGAGTTATGCCTCTTAAATGGTATTTTTAATATATTTTTGGGGTGGGGAGGGGGGTATGTATGTGCTTATGTCTTCTACATAATGTAATGCCTTTTTATAATTCTTTTTTTTTTTTAAAAAATTGTGGTATGAAGTTTGTTTATTATGCTAATTCTGTGAAAGCACAATGTTTTTCTCAAGGTGAATATCCAATATATCTATTCAGTCTCTTCATTTAATATTTTCATAAACATAATTACCTGTAAGTTGGAGCACAAAACAAAAAATCATTTTTTCAGACTCCTACAGTGTGTGTTGCAATTTTTTTCAGACATGCATAAGACAGCTCCCTACGTCATAACCGGCTCTGTGGACCAGACCGTTAAAGTTTGGGAATGCCGTTAACTCATTCTGCCAGCAACTTGCATTTTACTTGGGCTAGGTATATACCAAGCAATGATACAAATATATTGTAAAACTGTCCGGAAATTTTACATTTCGTCACAAATCAAACCATCATCCAATAAAAAAAACCATTACATGGAGAGAATCGTGTTTGATGGTACCTGTCTGGGAGAGTTTGGATTGGTTGGTATAAAGCCTAGTTTTATACTTTTGGTCGAGAGTTCGGTCGAATATGTGCACTGCTAACAGTGCTGGTGAAGGATCTCAGTCAGTGATGCCTCTGTATGATATGACAGTGCTTGCTTACAGTGGTCTTGTCTGTGCGTCTTGTTATTTAGTCATAAACCTCTTTCACAACTTTTTAACAAATTTGCCATCTTTAAAATGAAATATAAGATTGATTTTTCGCTGAAATAGGTAAAAATCCTAAATGGGGTAAGACAAAGATGGCTGATGAGTTCAAGCTCAGTGTTGATAGTGTCAAATTCACGCTTATCTTACCTATATACATGTAGACCAGGTGATTATCGGACGTGTATGTGGAATATGCTATATGCTGAAGAACTGGTGTTGAGATTTTTAAACAGGATTGCTGACAGTGCTTCAGAGGGAGTCAGCTAGATGCAGAAATATTATATTAACCAATTAAACAAGATAAATGATATTCTAATTTATGTAGTGTGTATACAGGATCTGACATGTCTTTCACTACCATGTGTGCAAAATGCAATATATTTCAATGTATAGGATTAGTATTGTATGTTTTGTTACTGCCATATAAAATATCCAGTATGTATGAATTTGATATTTGATTTGAGCTTTCGCTATACAAATATTAACCAGTGGTTAAAGGAATAGGTTGGAAGTAATGTAAGACAAAGAGAACCTATTAGTTTCTTCAGTGAAAATATACAGATAAATTATCATATGTAGATAGTGGATTTATCTTTATTATCAGGTAATGTGGATCTATAATTATACAGGTAATATAAAGGTATATAGAGTCAGATAACTCACTTAGGATTAATATCTTGTTCAAATATCACAGCAAAGTCTTGAAACCTGTTTTAATTATACATGTTATTAATTTCAGACATTAGAGCTACAAAAAAAATTTAAGGATGAAATTGAATTTGTTGATTAAAGCATAGATTAAGTAAATTATATTGAGTATATATAAATACTCAAACTACCTATTAAATGTTTATATTATTAGTGTATCATGCAACTTTGCACATGGTGAAGATTTTGTAATTGTTTGTAGTTAATCATTATAATCATCCTTCTTCAATATTCCAGTTTTTCTCTTCGACACATACCAGAAGGTGCTTGATTCATTTTTTGCCATAAGCAATTCCAGATCACAGTTGAATGCACATGAATTAAGACAGTGTTGTCCTTAAATGAAACAAGAATACTTCATAGTCAAACCATCAATGTATCTACAAATGAAGTGACTCAACACCTTTGTTGGTTTTGGGTGTGAGAGACTTTGTGATAAGTCTCATTTTATATATATTGCAAACCAAAAAGTCTGTGATATACATTTTAAAATTATTTTCATTGTGTATTGTTTAGATTTTGGTAGTTTAAGCAAATTTGGGCGTCATCTTTTTGATGAGAATCCACAAGTTTGATATAAAATCATAAAGTTGTGCACTACCTGTCTGGGAGCTTTTGGCATCAAATGTCGGCACTAGATGGGCAGGTCCAAGGTTTTAATGGATTTTATACAGATTTTCTGATATCAGTGAATGAAACCTATCAGATGTGCCCTATTTTCCTGTTCTACAGAGCTAAGAACTACCGGGAGTTTGATATCAGCCGAGGCCGAGTCATACAGGAATTTCCTCTTGTTTTTATTGTGCTGATTTTGTATAATTGTTTTGAAGCATGCAACCATCCGTCCATACATTTGTGTTCTCTATTACTTCCGGTGATATTTCTTTGTGGTCATAATTTTCTCTTTTTGCCCAGTGTCAATGTCAGATACAAAGTATGTATACTGCGCAGCTCAAATCAGCATTCCATGACTTAAATTAGATCTTTATATTGAATTAAATGATATATATTAATAAAATACTATGAATTTTTACCTTCATTCACCCCTTTTAACAAAATAGAAAAACTGAAATGGTTGTGATAGAAAGATTTACATTCATTTCAGGGTTTTTTCTCATGTTCAAAATATATCAGAAGAATGCTTTACGATTTTGTTTTATTTCCTGAAATGTTGTGGTGGATGGTTGATGCAAGGATAAATACAAAGGCACTTGAAAACCATGGGAACCATATACTGTAAAAGATCTGTTCTGTGTGGAATCCATTAACATGGATGTGATGTGTCATTCTTTGAAAGCTTGCCATCCATATATATATGTAAAATCTCATAATATCTATAGCATTGTCATGCTACAGTCAGCTTCATCTTCATTGTTAAGTTTAAATTTAATTTATTTACAACACATGCTTTTTATTACAGGATTTCAATTATTATTTTGCAGTAGACACAGTTGTATGTGTTATCAAATTATGTTCCATATTGATGAATGCTACATTCTTGTGCATGATTTTGAAAGTAAGGAAACAAAATCTCATACTTGCATCACATTTCCTTTTAGAAGTTGTGCTGATGTTGGACTAAACGGGTTGTGTGTTTGTGTTCATAAAAACCTATTTAGTATTGTTTCTGAAATGAAAATATGGCCAGTAATCTTTTGAAAACACTTTTTGATTCTATTTTTGAAATTTATTGTTATCATTTTTTTCTCAAAATTGAAATGAAGAAACAGAAAGAACATTGTAATTTTGTTTTGGCCAAATGCTGTTCTAGTCCCAATTTTACATTCAAAGTGCTTTTTAATAGTATGAATGAAATGTGCAATTTTATTTGAAAGTTTTTTTCTGTTATTATTTGATGTAGTTAGATAGATGTTCACCTTGAGTATGGTAACCATTGGAGACTGTACATTATAATGCTGGTGTGTTTGGGCAAACTTTTTGACATAATTCAGACTCAGGTTTGTGGAGGAACATTTGGGAAGAGTCCATACATTTCTGCACACTCTCCAAAGGGAGGTGAAGATGATGCTTGTATAGAGTTTGTTTTCTTCCTGTAACTTCCATGTAAATACCAAATTAACATATATACAAGTCACTCTGTATGTGACCACCAGATTGATTTTGATCTCATCTGGGTGACTTATTGGCCTCAAATACGAAGAAACACATGTCATTCCAAACCGGCAGTGCTATTATGTAGCTGATAAAGTAACTGTCAACAGATATTGAAATTTTATATTTACTACAGTGATGTATAATAAATTGGTGATGACAGATTCCATGTTTAAAGAGAATGGATTGCATTTATTTATGTGGGAGTAATACACATGGATTGTTTTCAGTAAATTATGCATACAAGTACACCTGACCAGTCTGAAGACTTACCTATACACCAAGTGCCAATTTAATTTGATTTTTATTCACATATTTATGTTCTGTTTCCTACAGTTCTTGTTTTATTATCTCCCATGTATTTACGTTTTCTGCAATAAGAACAGCATTCCAGAAATTTTATACCCTTGTCAGTTTTAAATACAGTTTTCTTTTGACCTTAACGACTTTACCAAGAAAGTGTCATAGACTTTTGTAGCTTCCAAAGAACAAAAATGTTGTTTGAAAACCAAATAAGATAGTTTAAAGGCAAAGGTTGTATGAAGATTTAAAGCCAAACCTTTCTGCTGAGTACCACATTGATAAAATGGTATGAAGAGATACCATGTTATATGGATAACCACTATTTGATCCCAAGCCTTTTTGTTTGCTGTGCCAGTCCAGGAATGTTTATATCATTCATGTAATCTATCAAAGCTTAGATTGTTTGCTTGGAAAAGAAATGATGGAAAATCCCTTCATTTTCGCCTTTTCTATAAACAGAGGTAATACTTGAATGTGTTTGGGATTATACCCTGAATTATAGATGAAAACGAGGGGATTTTCTTCTCATGAGCTGTCCTATTTTCTGTTCTGTCTTTCTCGTTCTTTTTTCGATAAAGGGAAGGTGTTTGTAACACCACCACAGTTATATGTATTAAAAATGTCTTCATTGGTCAAATGGTGTTTTAACCTGCAATGAATTTCAATTTTAATACATCTGTGGTGTCCATAACTACAAATCCCTTTATAACTGTATATATTATAGTAATGTTAGTGTCCAACTTTGTCTCTAATTTTCATTCTTTCATAATTTGATATAATTCTCATTAACAGTCTGTTTACAGAATGTAATATGTATACATTTTTTTTTTCCCTTCTAGATGAATAAAGGAAGGCATGAAATATTGTTGATAGAAAACCCTTCAGGAAGGGAATAAAAAATATAAATAACATTGGGAAAAATAATTGCAGAGTTAAGTCCAGGAACAAATGTGTTATGGTATTCTTGTCAGGATATCAATGTGGTTCTGTACTATCAACACCATTTTACATCATCAAGTGCTATTCACAGTATTTATAATGTAACTAATACCTGTAAAATCCACCTGCCAATTTGTTTGAAGAGCCATGTTTGATGTATGATATAAAGTCTACCACACATATAGGGATAAGTGGTAACAACAATGGGCGTTAATTGATCCGCTCTTCACACAACATGGCAGGTTTCGTGTTGTAATATTTTAACTTTGGTTGACACATCCAGACTTGAAGGTCTATCTAACTACATTTGTGTTGCTTTGTACCGGCAGTCCTCATGTAACTTACGGTTTTATCATTGATCTGGTCGTGTCTACTGTCAATAAATGATAATGTCAGATTCCTGTATTTCGTACTTGTCATTTTTCGTAACCCAGATATTCAACGGATTTATTTTTTAAGATAGTTGCTCCTGATACACAATATAAAACAAATCTATGTGTACAAGTGACGGGAGATAAAATACAAAAGGGTGATAGTGGATTACTGGATAGGAAATACACATCCAAAAATTTAGCAGGACAGGGGAGATAATCATGTATAGTAGAGACAACCGCTGAAGCTTACAAAGTGTGTAGCAAGTGGAAATTGGTTAATCGTCATAAAACATCAACTAGAAAACTGAACTTTCAATGATTATTTAGATGATCCAACAGGTGATACATGCAAGATTGAAAATTTCTCTTTCGAGTTTCGATTTCATGTGGAACATTGGGCAAGTAACATGAAAAACTACAGGCATAACATGTAAATATTACTTTTATCGTTATAAATCTAGTAAGTAGAGGAGTAACTTTCAGTTTGACGTAAGGAAAAGAGTAAAGAAAAACGTGAGTACAATGTGACAGGGAAATGTAGGTTACATTATGACATTTCATTGTGATGGCACTATAAACTAGTTAAAACTGAAATGACATTTCGTATCTTGGTTAATTTCTTTTTATTGGTTAAACCTGTTCGTCAAGGGTTCATTAATGAAATAAGGACGTCCCATTGACTTTATCTTTAGTTTAGACTAGTATTGAGGTCTGTATCATTATTTGCAGCACCGTCCCGATTTTCCCACACAAATGTTGAAGTGTTCAGTTAATGATGGACTGTATGATTAACTGGTCTTGCTACGGACTTTTTCTTAAATGGCCTTGGCTTGAACCCCAGACAGGGACAGTCAATTTACGGAATCTGTTTTTTTTTAAAGACTTCTTCGTATTAAAATGACACATAAAAAGAAAGTAAAACACGGAAACAAAGACCATGATACGTTGTCCCTGTCACTGTTGTAGGTAAAAGATAGATCCACATGCCGGACTTAAGACCTCGTTAGTTAAAGGCACGATATTGATAAGTATATTGGCAGGTAATATTGAGGAATTTGAGGTGAACTTTGTTAATGTTCTGTAAATCTCGACAAGTTCAGTAGACCAAGCCGACAAGGAACACGGCTAATAATTCCCATGGGTTTGCTAACACTCTTGGAAGATCTTGTCATAAAATACTGTCGGTCAGTACTGATCACTGCAAGTTACATAAAACAATGTCTCCTGAAAATAGTGCTTTCATAATTAGATAATGAAGACGCTCCTTCAGGAATGGAAAAGTTGCGTGTTTATACAGGAGGTAAATAGTCTGACCTAGAGTTATCTTTCTTACCTTGTTCTAACAATAGTCTAAAAGTTTGCTGGCTGAGTGGAAAGACCGAGTTAACTCATTGGGTACAGTGCTTTGGCTTACAGCTTGGGTGTACTAGCTAGATTGAAAAAAACTTTGGTCTGAAAGCGTGAGTAGAAAGTCTTGGTCTGAAAGCATGGGTAGAAAGTCTTGGGTCTGAAAACGTGAGTAGAAAGTCTTGGTCTGAAAGCGTGGGTAGAAAGTCTTGATCTGAAAGCGTGGGTAGAGAGTCTTGGTCTGAAAGCGTGGGTAGAAAATCTTGGTCTGAAAGCGTGAGTAGAAAGTCTTGGTCTGAAAGCATGGGTAGAAAGTCTTGGGTTTGAAAGCGTGGGTAGAAAGTATTGGTCTGAAAGCGTGGGTAGAAAGTCTTGGTCTGAAAGCGTGGGTTGAAAATCTTGGTCTGAAAGCGTGAGTAGAAAGTCTTGGTCTGAAAGCGTGGGTAGAAAGTCTTGGGTCTGAAAGCGTGGGTAGAAAGTCTTGGTCTGAAAGCATGGGTAGAAAGTCTTGGGTCTGAAAGCGTGGGTAGAAAGTCTTGGTCTGAAAGCGTGGGTAGAAAGTCTTGGTCTGAAAGCGTGGGTAGAAAGTCTTGGTCTGAAAGCGTGAGTAGAAAGTCTTGGTCTGAAAGCATGGGTAGAAAGTCTTGGGTCTGAAAGCGTGGGTAGAAAGTCTTGGTCTGAAAGCGTGGGTAGAAAGTCTTGGTCTGAAAGCGTGAGTAGAAAGTCTTGGTCTGAAAGCGTGGGTAGAAAGTCTTGGTCTGAAAGCGTGGGTTTGAAAGCGTGGGTAGAAAGTCTTGGTCTGAAAGCGTGGGTAGAAAGTCTTGGTCTGAAAGCGTGGGTAGAAAGTCTTGGTCTGAAAGCGTGGGTAGAAAGTCTTGGTCTGAAAGCGTGGGTAGAAAGTCTTGGTCTGAAAGCGTGGGTAGAAAGTCTTGGTCTGAAAGCGTGGGTAGAAAGTCTTGGTCTGAAAGCGTGAGTAGAAAGTCTTGGTCTGAAAGCGTGAGTAGAAAGTCTTGGTCTGAAAGCGTGGGTAGAAAGTCTTGGTCTGAAAGCGTGGGTAGAAAGTCTTGGTCTGAAAGCGTGGGTTTGAAAGCGTGGGTAGAAAGTCTTGGTCTGAAAGCGTGGGTTTGAAAGCGTGAGTAGAAAGTCTTGGTCTGAAAGCGTGGGTAGAAAGTCTTGGTCTGAAAGCGTGGGTTTGAAAGCGTGGGTAGAAAGTCTTGGTCTGAAAGCGTGAGTAGAAAGTCTTGGTCTGAAAGCGTGGGTAGAAAGTCTTGGTCTGAAAGCGTGGGTTTGAAAGCGTGGGTAGAAAGTCTTGGTCTGAAAGCGTGAGTAGAAAGTCTTGGGTCTGAAAGCGTGAGTAGAAATTCTTGGTCTGAAAGCGTGAGTAGAAAGTCTTGGTCTGAAAGCGTGGGTAGAAAGTCTTGGTCTGAAAGCGTGAGTAGAAAGTCTTGGTCTGAAAGCGTGAGTAGAAAGTCTTGGGTCTGAAAGCGTGAGTAGAAAGTCTTGGTCTGAAAGCGTGAGTAGAAAGTCTTGGGTCTGAAAGCGTGAGTAGAAAGTCTTGGTCTGAAAGCGTGAGTAGAAAGTCTTGGTCTGAAAGTCGTGGGTCTGAAAACGTGAGTAGAAAGTCTTGGGTCTGAAAGCGTGGGTAGAAAGTCTTGGTCTGAAAGCGTGAGTAGAAAGTCTTGGTCTGAAAGCGTGAGTAGAAAGTCTTGGGTCTGAAAGCGTTAGTAGAAAGTCTTGGGTCTGAAAGCGTGAGTAGAAAGTCTTGGTCTGAAAGCGTGAGTAGAAAGTCTTGGTCTGAAAGCGTGAGTAGAAAGTCTTGGTGTGAAAGCGTGGGTAGAAAGTCTTGGTCTGAAAGCGTGAGTAGAGAGTCTTGGTCTGAATTCGTGAGTAGAAAGTCTTGGTCTGAATTCGTGGGTAGAAAGCTTTAGATTACAGGATTATTAACGTGCTCCTCTCCATGATGCAGAAAATACACATATAAAAACCGGTATGTATATGCATATTTAAAAAAAATAAAGATAAGGAAAAAATATAATTGAAGAATGTCTGGCAAACTCAGGAACAGAAAAAAATCATCAGTGACTAAATTACCTCTGTACGACTCTCTTGGTTGTGAAAATTACCCCCTACGTTGCTCTAGGTAGTGGAAATGACCCATACGAGAATCTAGGTAGTGAAAAAAATACCATACGACTGTACTGGTAGTAAAAATGACTCCCATACGGCTGTCTTGGTAGTGAAAATGACCCCCATATGACTGTCTTAATTGTGTAAATGACCCCGTACGACTGTCCTGGTAGTAAAAAAAGACACCATACGACTGTCCTGGTAGTGAAAATGACACCATACCACTGTTATGGTAGTGAAAATGACACCACTGTCCTGGTAGTGAAAATGACCCCATACGACTGTCCTGGTAGTGAAAATGACACCATACGACTGTCCTGGTAGTAAAAATGACACCACTGTCCTGGTAGTAAAAATGACCCCCATATGACTGACTTGGTAGTGAAAATGACACCATACGACTGTCATGGTAGTGAAAATGACACCACTGTCCTGGTAGTAAAAATGACCCCCATATGACTGACTTGGTAGTGAAAATGACACCATACGACTGTCATGGTAGTGAAAATGACACCACTGTCCTGGTAGTAAAAATGACCCCCATATGACTGACTTGGTAGTGAAAATGACACCATACGACTGTCATGGTAGTGAAAATGACACCATACGACTGTCCTGGTAGTGAAAATGACCCCGTGCGACTGTCCTGGTAGTGAAAATGACACCATACGACTGTCCTGGTAGTGAAAATGACCCCGTGCGACTGTCCTCGTAGTGAAAATGACACCATACGACTGTCTAAGTTGTGAAAATAACCTCGTACGACCGTCTGGGGAGTGAAAATGACCCTACAGTTCTGGTAGTGAAAATGACTCCATATGACTGTCCTGGTAATGAAAATGACACCATACGACTGTCCTGGTAGTGAAAATGACCCCGTGCGACTGTCCTGGTAGTGAAAATGACCCCATGCGACTGTCCTGGTAGTGAAAATGACAACCTACGACTGTCTAAGTTGTGAAAATGACATCGTACGACTGTCTGGGGAGTGAAAATGACCCTACACAGTTCTGGTAGTGAAAATTACCCCCATACGACTGTCTTTATGGTGCGATGATCATGTACTTAGTTTGCTATTTTTTATACTCGTAAAAATCGTTCTGGTTTTAACACGACCAGTAAATACATAAAAACAAACAGTTTGGATTCTGAAAGTGATGTAATTATCGCAATATCAAAACTCTCCAACCATTGATGATGTAGAAGCTCCGCCCACTTCCTGTCATGTCGTCTATAGATTCGTGTCAGAATGTAGACAGGAGCATGTGAAAACGTATAGTATGTTTGTCTGCGTGAATTATCCGTCTAAATGGTTTCTATTGATCACCACAGCAACGGAAATATTGAGGACAGACTCATCTGAAGTTTTCGGTACATTTCTTTCAAATGGAGATAGAGATTTATTCAATTTTATTATTCAATAAAACAGGGATACAATACCACGTGACATATGATTTACCACGTGACATATGAGTTGATTCAGTTGTGATACTATAATTGTAGTTGATTTTATGGTTTGATAATATCACAGACTGTACGATTATCGTCGTAATAATTCTATGATCAATTGAAACGGAGAAAAGTGAATTGGAATATTGTATTAAAGATTATCATTATGGTTCTCTCTACCATGTAAATCTTAAATACCAAATTCCATCAATAGATCTGAAAATAGAAAAGGAAGGTCTGTTGAATGCATTTGTGACCAATGCTTGACAGCTCTTCGATAGATTAATTAGCCTCGTATGAAAAAAAACTCGACAAAGGTATTGTCATCCATACTCTTAAGCTGTAAATGTTGGTGGGTAACTGTCATTCTTCAGTAACATAATCAGTAAATCAGATTTAAAGCTGGATGGAGCCTAACTCAACCCCTACAAATCTAACTGACCCTCTGTAAGCACAAACTTCCTGAATGTTTAGCGAAACCTGTAAAACATAAAGCTTATTTATCATAGAAGTCGACTCTCTTACACGAGATGGTTTCCATCTGTCTTTATGTCCGTGTTAAGGTATTTACTCCGGAGGCTAGTTTAAATGGTTGAAATATATACCATAAAAATGTTATGTGATATCTTTTTAATGTCCCTGTCCTAATTGATATCGGATGTGGAGTTCTGTATTCATGACATAAAATCTGATGTGGATATGTTTATGACAAGTTGTACATGTTGGTTAAGACTTCATCCCTTTATCTGGAATCCTGCTCAAACCGAAATACTCAAGATAATATTGTATAGAGTTTGACCAATGACGTGTTACGAGTGTGTTACTAGTGTCCGAATTGTAATTTTTATGGTCAGCTACCATCACGTCTGTAAAGGAGACATTTAATAAACCACTTTCTCTCTTGAAATGATAAATAAAGCATGTCATATGCTCAGAAGAGATAAGAATGTATTTTGTTGAGTTCACTGTATCATTCCGATAAGCAATACTATGTGTACCTTGTTACAATGTACGTCCTGTAGTGTGAAATATCGTCATTTTGTTTCGACATAAGAAGACGGTTACATGGTAAGCCTTTCTCTAGTACAAATAGGTTTTATCTTGTATATCTGTGATTTTAGGTGTCAGATTTCACGAGGTCGTAAATATTTTGAAACCTTATGGTAATTAAATATGATTCTTTGACAATGTATATAATCAGGTGTTGGGTTTTCGATATATGAATTATAATTTCTGGAGATAGGAGATAGTTATTTCTGAATGTTATCACAGAAAACACAAATCTGTAACTACAAAGCTGAGCATACCATCAAACTATTCAGGGTTTATCAGGATAAAATCTACATATCTTAAATCTTCTCAACAATTTTCTTTTGTAACTTTGTTGAATATAAGAATCAAGTTTCCCTACAAGGTAAGACGAAGAATTCCAGTATACGTCGTGTTTGTTACATTTTCTTACTTTTTCTTTCTGTTTTGGATGTGTGTGTGTTGTACAGTGTCTGTTAATGTCGTTGTTTTTTTTTGACATTTGTCTTCTATTACTATCCACAGTTGCAGTATTCTGTCTTTTTACGTTCAGGATATTCAAAAGGATGCCCCCCCCCCAAAAAAAAAAAAAAAAAACCAAAGAAATCCCTAAACAAACAAACATAAGTCACGTGACACAATCGAAAAGTTCTCATATTTCAGATTTTTATTTTTTTAACTGAGCGATAAATAGCTAATACCGTTTACTATAGAGGGAACATCTCTGCACGTTTACTGATTGTACATGTTTCAGTAGAACATAAAATCACACTGTTTTATTTTCTCTTTTGCAGAATATGATAAAGGTTATTAAATCATAATTTCTTTTTTAAACAATTGTTTAGTTAGATGAAAACTTTTTCGAGTTTTATTTAGTGGTCTGTACATACATGTAATGTGTCTTATTTTATTTAACGTGTATGCTGTGTGCAAACGATACAGGTGTGTTACCTGAAGACACCACGTGATATTAAACTTTACAGAGTGATAAAGATTATTATAATTATCACAGTAATAAATATATATATCTATATATGGTCGAAGGCGGGCGATTTTTATAGGAATATCGGTAATATTTTACACAAAGTGGTAATGAAACTTCTGTTCATGAAGGGTAATATCTCACAGTAGGCCCCATCTAATTTTTAGGAATACTCTTCATCGACCCAAGTGTTACAATACATACAGGTTGTGAATCGAAATTGATGTGTAATAAGTATGATGTATGATTTGAGCATTTAGTCATTAAATTGGAATCTCATACATGTACCGCATATATGTAAGAGTTAAGCTGTAGTAGTATTTCAAATTATCAAGATTCGTGGTGTGAAAGAAAATATTATTGTAAATTTTAGGAAGAATTCCACGACTCCACCCTGGCCTTCCTGCCATAACAGTGCAGAGGGGATCAAACAAAATATATAAAGCCACTGGAATTTCACAAAAACAGATGAAGGGTGTCGCATGTTGTGTAAGAAAATGTGTGTATTGGACTAAGCCAACAACCGAATTTATATATTATATATTGTACGGCTGTGTAGATCAGCAGATATGACATCACGCTACTATGTCTGCGTATGGAGGGAGAGGGACTTTATAGCGACGTCCATAAAGTGCCCTGTTCGGAGTTGGAGATCATAAACTATCCGTTTACTCCTCAGGAACACCTGGTCTTACCCAGGAATTTCCGTGTAAATCTTTCTTTTGTTTATGGTTTGCTTTCCTATTATTAAATTTGAATTTGGATTATGATTCTGTTGTATTTCCTGTAATGTTTTTCAACAATTCATGGAATGTTAATGGTTGATGTGGTTTTACTACCGGGACAGTAGCCTCGTTCTAGAGTCAGACATATATCATCACTTATGGTTCTAACTATGGGTTTGCCTTCATATTGTAGAAAACGAGATTCATTTCCGATGGGAATGTCTATAATGATATTTGTTATTTATTTATATTTTATGCATAATATAAATATTTCATATATGATATATGTTGATTTATTTCTTCAATCTGGCCTGCTAGGTAATTGGTTTTATTCTCTAAGTGACTTATTATCAAAAACTGTGTATTATAATGAGACATACTGTAGCCAGTACGTTTACAGTCAGTGGAATATTGCAGGAGGTAAGACAGCTGTTGACTGATCATTTGTAGATTTTATGATAACCTTAATCATTTCAATCTGAGGCTCTTTTGTATGATGGTAAATTAGTTCTAGATTTTACATGATTTAAATATTACATGTACCCATAAACAGTCTAATTTTAAAGCGTCTCGAGTTAGCCGAATAGAAATCAGTCAGTTGTGTTGACTTTTCTAAACTCTTATTGTACTTTATGGTATCTCATGTGTGACACAGTTAGAAAAAATTTGGATTGTATTGTTTCACAAACGATCCTCAAGCCTTGTTATATTTTAAGCCCCATTTCCAATGTAAATACTTGTAATAGTAAGTTATCGATTACGGATATTCCGATACAACGTGACTATATACCTAACATGAAAGTGATTTACACATTAAAAGTATGGCGTGTTACCATTAATGATGTTCCATTCCATCTTTTGTACTTAGATTGATTTTTGTATACATGAGCATAAATACTGAATCAGGTTTCAAAAGCAATGTCTCTATGTCTGCGAGTGTTATGCCCCATATTTAACCAGGTACCACACAATATGCCACGCTATAATTAATATAGGCTTCAGAATGGTAATGGTTGGAGAGCCAGGCACTCAGCCTGTATGGCCCTAATACACACAATATGTGTAGACTTTTTTTATTCCGTTCATCACTCAGTGATGTAAGCGTAGAACACAGTCTAAACTTAAATATGATATGTAGTCGTTGGCAATAACACACACGTTTAGGAGCGTGCGGCTGTGTGGCCAGAACGCGGAAATATACCTGGACAAACTTGGAATTAAACGCTAAGGTAAGCCTCATTTTGATGATACGCTTAACATAGCATTACTGAAATAGTAATTATATGTTTACATAGATTTAAAAAAAAAACATATAACTTCAATACTTTTTTTTCAGCACACCACAGACCTATAATCGATTCGGTTCTGTTGGTTTAGATATTTTCCTACGTGATCTATTAAAATTAATTAAAATCCTAAAACAAACAGGGAACTTTCACAACAACCCCCTCCCCCCCCCCCCACCCCCCTCCCACCACAACACACACACGCCTTTTTTTATCTCTTATGTGTTTTTCAATGGAAAAGAAACGTAAGATGATTCATAGTAAGTTTTTATTAAAACGTGGAAATATATACAGAAGTGAGGTCATATAAAACCTGAGAAATATGGCAGATCATATGTATATTCCTGATAAACACGTGAGACGAATACATTTCTCTACCCATCAAACTGTATATCAGGTAATAGTACCACACGGTTCATAGACTCGTCATACCTTCTATATACAAAGTTGTAAAATATCAAGTCGCTGGTATATCTCTGTCATTAGTTTCCAGTTTCTTCATTCCAACTTACTTATCTTCTCCGTTTCTTTTGTTTTCTTCATTTTCTTCCTAACCATGCTCTCCTCTGTTCCTGCCGATGTGTTCAGCTTTCATTCCTAGTCGGTAGTCATGCAAGCTCCTTTCGTTGTCTTCACTGTTCGCCCTAATGGTGCTATCTCCTCTGTTCCTGACGATGTGTTCAGCTTTCACGCCTGGTCGTGTAAACCTGCAATCTCCTTTCGTTGTCTTCACTGTTCGCCCTAATAGTGCTATCTCCTCTGTTCCTGACGATGTGTTCAGCTTTCACGCCTGGTCGTGTAAACCTGCAATCTCCTTTCGTTGTCTTTTCGCACTAACAGTGTAATTTCCTCTTTTCCTGTTGGTGCCTTTGTTTTGCTGTTCCCTCACGGTATTTGCTTTTTCTATTTTTTGGAGGTTTTTTTGCCATGGTTGCCATGGTTGCCATGTTTGTCTCTTTATTCTGTCTTTTCTCTAAACATGTTTGCTTCTCTCATGTGATCTCACGTGCTGCCTTAGTTTATTCTGTTGTAGGTCTTTGTTTCTTCATAATATTGCCTCTCAAATCCTACAATAGGTTCTACATTGAAATATGAATTATCTAAGCATTGAACTGCTTTCATTTGACATTCATTGACATATGAATGCCAACAGGACAAGTATATTCATGTTGAATTTACATTTATCCGGTTGACATTCATTGACATATGAATGCCATCTTAAAGCTATTCAGTTCCTATATCAATCGTTCTGAACCTTCATACTATCAGTTTGCTTACATTACTATGCACTCTGATAGATATGAAATGAGAAAACACTTGTATTTTTCATTTCCCTTCGTTTGGTATGTTAAATATAACTTGAATGTTACTTGTCGTATTAAAATACATTTTATTTCAAACCAGATATAATGTGATAAAATATGTGCATTTCGTGATTGAACCAGATAAAAATCATGATCTTGATAACCAACTGACGGAACATTGCATTGTTTGTATTTACTTACGTCATCAATGGAATAAGGAGACAAATCATCTTATTTATTCTAACAGCCTGTCATTTGTTACAGACGTTCAGCAATTTGTACAGTAACATTGCTTGATCTTTATCGCGTTCTGAATGTAATTTATTTGTGCTGTAGTTGGTTGAGGGTTGAATCCTCCACTAAGGTCATGTAACGATAGAAGGCCGACTTCATGTTTAAATGCAACAAGATGTCACAACCTGTGGTGATAGTGTGTCACTGGGGCACACAAGATATCAGATAAACGTATTGCTGTGTGAAGACTTACACCACACGATAAACATTTTATCTAAATTACTATGTGACGATGAAAGTGGTCGAATGGCGCAGTGGTAACGTTCTTGTCTTTCATCAAGAGGTCTTGGGTTCGATTCCCCGAACGGACGTGAAAAGATAAAAAAAGATCACCTGCCCGACCACGTGGGGTTTTTCTGGGTAACCTTGTTTTCTTTCACAATAATATCCTGTTAATTTATGTTGCAATATCTTAATTCGGAACTGTAGCAAAATAGATAATGAAATGACAATTCCAGAATAATTAATTATTACAAGATGACTATTTCAGTCTGTCAGGCTCTCGACAGACTGAAGATTGAGAAGTTAAGGAAAATTGAACCCTGATTCCGTTTAAAAACTGAAATACCAACACCAATAGATTTGGATGAAAACACTAGACCCGTTTCCGAAAAAAAATAAACAAAAGTTATAAGCAGCTGCTTGTTATAACCTGGAAACTCCAGATAAGTTTTACTTAGAAATGAACTGTGGCCCAGACTAAAGTCCAGTTTAAGAAAAACGTGTAAATGATAATAAAATGCAGCGCTTTATGTTATCTTAATCAAGTATAGGAATCGAACCGATAACCTATAAAGTCAACCTTTTTTACCAATTTGATAGCCACTTATCTGGACATGTCACATCTTGCAGTTGAGTGTAAAATAATCTTTACACCGTAGTTCACTTATAGTGCACGAGAGAAAGACTTCAGCTAGTTAAGAAGAAACAGACCACAGGTACACTAGACGTACACTAGGGTCCACACAGGTTGTGGACCCTATTTAAGTGTAAGGTATTTGTTTATAGTTTTTATTTATCCTTGTAGAAATTTAAAAAGGGGATTATTTTATTATACAAAATAAGATTTGACTATGTAAGGTGCTGTGCAGTAATCTCGAATTGGTATTTACGATTAATATTTTATCCTTGACAGCCTCACTGGTACTCTCTTCATACAGTGCATGTGTAATTAGCTTTTACATTTAAATGAACATTGTACAGGTGTGTTAGCCCCTCCTGTGGTTTCTTGACAAAATACCCCCCATTACAGTCACCTTAGCCTGGGGTGTCACCTCGCCCATATCAATAAATTTCACATGTTTTTCAACACCAAGTCATTTTCATAAATAGTTTATTTGCTAATCACCTTTATTTACCTGGATCCATCTCACTAGAAAATACACGTTTCACTTATTAAGTCTGTTCGAACTAAATCTTTTTCATACATCACTTTGATTCTGACTATCGTCAATCCATCATTTTCTGTGACTGTAACATATTTCTAAATCATGTACATAACATATTGAAATAAAATGCTTCTATCAAGATTTCAAGACACTAGACCTCGCAGCACTACATGAAAAGAAAAGGAAAAATGAAGCTTGTAACCTAAAATAGTATCGTTTAAGTTTCATCCCAAGGAGAATCTGGAAGTTCACATCTGATGCAAAAGTTTCCGGAGAAAGTCATAAACATTAGGAAGGACATCTGTCCATACTTCTTGTGTGGACGTTTTCTATTGTTTTAAACAAGATAAAGTTGAAAATGAAAAAGTTGCAGAATGGGCGACATTTGACTCAACAGCGAGGATTTTCACTTGACCTCTAAACTACACACATGTGTTGAGATAAAGATAATACATAACATAATCTATGAGTGATTACATGGATGATGTGTAATGGACTCGTATGGTTGTTAAAACTATGGCGGGCATATTGGACAACTTGAAAGTTTTGTTTTGATCCCTTCGCTCCACGTCATACAGTATGTGCAGTGATATACCGTACCACTTCGAAGTTTGAAGACAAAGTAAGACATAACAGAGGAGAAAAAAGTAAATAGAACAGAAAGAAGATGGGGTGATGGTGGGTGTGTGGTCCCCGTTCATGACCCCGATAAGAAATTGCTTCATTAACATCAGGCTATAGGGTATTCCGCAATGATTAAAAATGACAAGAAAACGTTTGTAGACATTAGAGATATTTCTCATGTTGTTGTTTGTGTTTAAGAAACTTATGAAATGACCTCCAGAGCGACAAAATCTTTGGTAGATTTTGAAGATATTTTTCCTGTTTAAGAAACTTGTAACATACTTTTAAACCCATGACCTCCAGGACGACAAAACTAAAAAGATATGAATTACATCTCAGAATGTTTAACAAAAGGGAGCAAGTTATTGTGTATACACTTCACTTTGTGGATCAGAAGTGTATCACTATGGAAGTAGGGTCATTTCAAATTAGAAATATTTTGCACCACAGCACTGTTGACGGAAAGAGGTATGGATTAAGGTGTTGCCCGCTGAAGGCATTCTTCGCGTAAGAGGTGCGTAAACATGCGGCGGTGGACAATGAAATTCTGTATTCTTTGTAAGGAAGATTTTTATTTTCATGAATATTCAAAGAAAAGGTTATAAAAGGTTAATATTTGAGGAAATAATGGGAGAAAAATTTGAGATGGTGTCTTTATGAGAGATAATTTCCGAAAACATTTGTCTTTGTGTGATGGTTATCCATTAAAGGAATAACTTGCTTACACAGTCAATCAAACGCACCAAATAATCTCATTTCTTTACATCAAAAGATGATTTTAAACTGTAAATCTTACTATGGCGCAGTTGCTATCCGTGTTTGGAAGTGAAGCCACATCTTCATTACAATCAAACCTGACGGCTTTTGGAAAAGAATCTTACCGACGGCACGATATACAATTTGCACGTGCATTACATCAGTGTGTCGTGTACAGTACAAAGTGTATCAAAACCAATATCTAAACCTAATGTCAAACAAATTGCTAGCGGTTTTTTTCTACCAAGCTACTGTGGAATTCCAACAATATTGGATTGGTTTTGCAAAAAAGAAGATGTCTTTTTCAAACGTATCTATTAGTTTTGTCGATTTGTCCTTTTTTTAAAATAAACATTTGTGTTTGGTGCCGTACTCTATCAAGTGAAACAGCCAACTGAACAAGTAAACTGGCATACGCTGTATTCTAACAAATAAAGTTTGTTTTATCACCTAAAGCAGCGTTTTCACGTGTATTACCAGTAGATCATACACGTGCACATACTGTATTTTTTAAATGGCACGACAAAAGTTTAATAATGCTGAAAGATGGCAAGATTCTAGAATGATTCAAGGTGAT